ACAATGTCATATCACGATCACGCCGTCCCGATCATTCTATACATCTATCGAACTAAAAAAACTTACTCCCTGCCATGTCACCACAATCAACTTAATAAACTCAACCGGTCAGGAACCGCTGGTGTGGATGGGATCCGAGGACCACCAACCCCAAATAAACCGGAAGGAAAGAATGACTTTGACCTCCTCCCAAGGGAAAGGAAGCCCCTGCTATAGTTCCCCATTAAGGTTCATACCATTTCCCCTCGAGTCGTGGCCCTTGATTCGGCATTCCCAGAATCGATCATTCAACTGGGAAGCCCATGGATGATTCGAGACCACCATATATCGGAAATTATCAGAAACTCGTCGACTCACAGGCCGTTCGGACATTTTCGACTGGACTGGGCTAGTCAACAGAAATGTGGACAAGGCTATACTACCTAGCTCCCAGTACCTGCTGCTCACTCGGGTTCCTTCATGACCTTTCCCCGTGAGTTTCATCTGCAGTGGGTGATATCTAGTTTGGGAAGGTCGTTCTATCCCTCCATTGACTCTCGTATCACCAATTCGGCACGTAACAAAGGTTGTGTCTTCTATGGGGTATGATGAGCGATGTAACCGCACAAGCTCTGAGTTTAACCATAACAATAACATACTTTTTTAAATTTTCTTCCCCCATGTAGGTCCCAGAGAAAGGGAAAAGGAAATCGTGATCATGTTCATGACCAGAATCCCAAAAAAAGGTTCGTGCCTGGGTTGCGCCTCTACGTGCCACATGTTGAGCTCCTTCTCCCAGGAATTCAAACAGGGTTTCTTGTCGGATTTGTTTCATGCTCTGGATCTGGCAGGGTGGAGACGTCGATGGATGAAAGGGACTGCCAACTCATCCGCTTATGTACGTGCTATATTAAGAGCCTCCACTCCTAACCGTCTCCCTGCCTAGCGTCTAGGCGATTGGGAGTCCGGGACTAAGCTAGGATTTGCTGGGATATCGCAGATTCAACGGACGGACTACTGTCAAGTGTCAACTGTTGGCTGTTAAGACTAAGGCATCCTTAGCGATGGCCGAGGAAGTGTCAGTTTCCCGATCGGGTAAGATTTGCCCTAAGTCAATCACAACATCTACCATCATAGAGACATTCCCCCCCTTTCGCCATGACTTTCTGTCCAGACTAATACAGAGAAGGGGATAATAGAAAAAGGTTAGGGCCAGACGTAGATCCGGGAATTGAATCAGGTGCTCGATGACGAATATTATTGGACTGGTTCTCATTTCCCAAGGGCTGGTGGCCGGAAGGGTCAACGTGGGGCTGGCTGAGAAGGAACCTACGGCCATGAGATCCATTGGATTCTTCATAAACTCGTCTTCAAATCTTATAGATCCGGAGGCCACGAATATGACAGATCTTATCCGCCTGCCATGCAACCCACCACCCCCGTCCTGAGGCGTAGCAGTTAAGTTACACATCACTATTGTTGCCCTTTGGTTCGTTGGTTCCGCGTCTCTCTCCTTTTCCCTCCCTGTTGCCCTTTTTCTTTTTCTTCTTTTCTGTCCCTTCCTCTGGATCATGACGTATACGGCTTCTGTTGGCCCGTCCCCGCGTAGTAAGGGCTGGAGATCCAGGTAGCACCACCACAGTCGACGGCGTCATCGTGGCGATTTGCCATGCCATTATTATCATCGATGCAGGTCTGCGTATCAGCCTCAAACGCCATTTTTCTTCCTTTTTCTCCAATACATTCTCCTCTCCTCCTAGGCTCCTCCCTCCGATCGTTTCGAGCGGAGATGCCCGAATTCGTCCGTTGGAGATGTCACTCCCCAGATGATTCCAAATCATTCCTGACCGGGTCAGTTGGTCACGACCAAATTAACTCGCCTGGGCGAAACGGAATAGCCTGAACTGGAAAAATCCAGAACTAACGACGACTGGGTCTGACAGCCGTCAAACCCTGGTCACTGGGATCTCCCGGTGACCCAGTTCGATGGGTCCCTTGCCCCCCTCTCTATCGGTCTATCCTCTCCAGTCCCCTCGGGGCTGTGGCGATCAAGAACGAAGGTCTTTTTTATTTTATTTTATTTTTTTCGGCTCCGCGTTTGGACCCTCCCTTGTTCCAGATGTGACCCCCGAATTGATTATTTCCTTTTGTAATTAAATTGATTCTGTGCGGGTTCGGTTCCATCCGGTTTGTATGTACGCCATGGGCCAGGATATTTAGGATCCGATCAGCATGGTGCCGATTGATAGAGTGATCTTCCACTTCGCGGTCCTTCCAGTAGCTACTCCGTGCATAGTAAGCCCACCCGTCGTAATTGGTGCCCGTTACTCCTCTACTGCTGCCTCCTCGCAGGAGTTGTCTCAGGTACTTTTGTCATCAAGGCAAAGTCCTTGCTTCGTGCTATTGGGCTCAGATCATCTGCGGAGTGATGATCTGCCCTCGGGGAGCTTCCTGTGCGTCGGATGTTTATGTATAGTACTCCGTATACTACTAACTATCTACTCAGATGGGTTCTCTTGCATCCTTCACGGCTTTCCGGTTTGGTTTTTATTTCCCATATTTTATTTATTTTCACAATCGTACTTCTGCCCTCTCTCGTAGAACAGATCCGTCGTTTCACTGGGCGGGTTACTACTGCAACTTATTCTGGTGAGTACGTAGGGGTTTCCAGGTTCTTTGGTTCCTTCTCTCTCGTGATGGCTAGTTCGCCATGCTATTGACCATCTGAAGACACACTAACTTTCATGTCTGCTTCGTCTAACTTTATAGTAGCTGCACGCATGATGTTCCTGAGGGCTTGGGGGGATACAATTGTACACATACGGTAGTATGCTCTCTTTCTGTCTCATCTGGGGAAAATACATTTGCCTCACTCTACGATCCCTTCTCACTGCTTCCTCATTTTTGTTCTATTTCCCCGGGGAAAAAAAAGCCTCTAGGCTGGCCACCTGGTTAGTTAAGCGCCGGAGCGCAGTTCCGCAACAAGCCACAAGGCATGGCGAATCCAGAAACACAAAGGAGATCGCGCTTGTTCAGGACAATGGAAACGTTCTGGAGCTCTGGGGACGCCCCCGGGGGCGCTATTTTCGGGGAGAAGACAAGCAGCAGGCCGGTTGGGTCTAGGCCTATACAGGAAGGGCAGGGAAGAGAAGTACACACACACATACACAGGTACTTTCCACCTGGTCGAGGGATTAGGAACGAAACGAGAGAAACATTAAATATTAAATAGAACAAACGATCGAGAAAGAATAAATAATATATAAAATAAGAAATAAAATAAAAAGGAAACCAGGTAGAAAGTGGAAACTCGGTCGAAATGGTCCACGATCATTGGCTCGACGACACTATTGATGGCTTCGATGCAAGGGGAACCGAATATACTCCATTTTCTGCCCACTTCTTCCCTCTGCGTGTATTATTCACTCCCCCCCCCCCCCCCATCGTCAGGACTTACCTGGCTAGTTACCTAGTTACCTAGTTACCTGACTTACTGACTATTTTACTTGCCTTTGGACCCGTGTAGATCGAAAACCCGCTGCAGCGGTGACAAATCAAGGGTCTTGGATCCCTCCCCCGTCCAGACCGGTTTGTCTATCGCGATCAGAGCACGTTGATTCGTCGATCTGGACAGGGCTCGGTGAGTGATAGAGAGCGCGAGAACGACAGAAAGAATGAGTGTTTTCGAACGTACACTCCACTGCTCGTCGAACTCTGCCGGAATCTTCTTTATGGTTCCCCGCGTCCTTCTGGACTCGCCTCCCCTCTCTCTACCTTACCCCCTTGGGAAGGGCAAAGGTGTCCATGACGGGAGAAGGGGGGCTAGAAGGACCAAAGTTAACGTCCGACAGACAAAGCAAAAGCCGGATTTTGAGGACAAGAGGGGCCTACACTACTGGGGTGGGTTGCAGAAGGCGGAGGGTCCGGTTTACAGAGTACAGCTACATTACATCCAGACGTGCAGGCAAGGTAAGGAAGGGTAGGGTAGGGGAAAATGGAATTTCGAAAATGAGAATAATAATGATTAAAATAAATTTAAATAGATTGAAAAGAAAAGAAAGGAAAACAGGAAGAAGAATAATGTGAAAGACCGTCATAATAATAGCATGGTTGAAAATCGATCTGTATGTCATCGCCAACCCTAATTTGCATCCAACTTTCCCGGTTGAGGTTGTCGCAGATCTGCTGGGTTGATACATCCTGCTGGGTCGGTACTTTCTCGTCCGGTCGACTATCCGTCTTGTCTAGTGCCCATCAGATTCTAGTATCGATAGATTGCTGCAGTTCATCGAGTCTGAGCGCCACTCTAGTTCCTCTCCCCCCCCTCTCTGCCTCCGTCGCCATGCCCATCCCCGAACAAGCCCCTCGTTCACCTTTCTGCATTCGAGATATAAAACATGCAGCGGATCGCACCGTATCCCTGGGGAAGCAAGCCTGTGTTCTTCATCTTTTCTGCACCTCGTGATTCTCTCAATCTGAATTCGATCCTCTCCTCCCTTTATTGTTTCTCGCCATAGCAACCTCCCTTGATTGTATATTGTCGCTGACTCCTGACTTTGCATCCTATTATTATAATTCCTCTAATCTATTATTATACATCGATTCTTTTTCTCTGCCTTTTATTGTCATCATCATTATATCACTCGTCGTGTCTGGACTCAACCGCCTCCCTGGATCTCTCCTACATATACCTCTCTTGATATCCGTCTCAGACATCCACTTCGTACATACATATCCATCCTCCACCTAAGCACATACGCAATTTAAGACATACATATCCAAACCCCTCTCTCATTTTACTCGCGGCCTATCGTCCAGTGCCATTCTCAAACAAGGACCATAATGATTGAAAACATGGGTCCTGTCTCAGAGATCTCTCAGCGTTGCTCTCTTCCGTGAGTTTCCCGCTTTACATCCTTACCTCCCATCTCTCCCATGCAATGCATAGCTGACAGGTGTCTCTTTTTCTTGCCAATAGCGGTGTTCGGTCCCTATCTTCGAGCACCTCTGCGGCTGCAGAGATGACAGAAGACCGCCGGCTACCGCCGCTCCCCCGCGTGGATCCCCTGCCTCGGGGGCCCTTCAACCCTTTTGACTCGACCGCACTGGCCCATAGTCCCCAGGGCTCCCAGGACTCGTTTGTGGTCAAATCTTCGCCATGGCCTGCTGCCGAACACATCGTGACGCCTCCGTCGCCGGCCAACTCCGCCGACAGCACGTGGCCCGAGTCGCAGCAGCCGCAGAAGGCCTTTGAATGGCCCCAGGAACTCACCGCATCCGATCTGATGAGCCTGATCGCCCCGAAGGAGATCAGCCGGAAGCCCCCATTGCAGCAGCTGTGCGGTCGCAAGCGAAAGGGAAGCATGATCTCCGGGGAATCCGACGATCAGCGGGAGAAGCATCGCATTGCGGAGGGCAACCGACGAAAGAACCTGAGCCACCTTCACCGGGAGTTGGACAGCCGCATCCATAGCTGGTTCCTTGAGCGCGCCGGATGGAACCCGGCCAAGAGCCTGCCGGAATCCAAGGAGCACATCGTGCAGGGAGCCATCTACCTCATCGACTTCATGCTGCTGGTCATCATCCACCTCATTCGCCAGGAGAACGAGATGCCCCGACAGCTGGCCGAGAAACTCCAACCGCAGCTCCGCTGCATGCAGCTTCAGCAGTTAGTATCCAACCTCCAGGAGCAGAACCAGCTGGCTCAGCAGCAGATGAAGGCGATGAAGCAGGAGAACCAGATGCTCGAGGAGCGCAACCAAGCCCTTGAGATCCAGCTGAAGTCCTACGAGCACATGTTCCGCTCACCCAAGACGGAGCATTCAACCCCCCAGTCGCTGGCACCGCTTCCCGACAACAGGCCTCGCCACATGCTGCCCGGTCTGCGAGTCTTTTGCGATGAGATCGGTGCTCCCGGAACGGAGGCATCGCGGCTGGAGCCCTTCCCCACGGTGACTTCGCAACCCTACAGTCACCATATGATCAGCCACACTCCTCCCATGACGGGGCCCTCGTCACCGGTTTTTGTGCCGGCCTATTCGGTGCCTCATTCCCGTCGTCAGTCCGTGATTCCTTCGCCCTGAGGGGGTCCTGAACTGGCGCGTCTGGTCGGGAGCATCCCGCCAGGAATTTCTTTTGCATAACACATAGACTGGGGATCTTCTGGATCTGGAGCCAATGCTCTTTTACTTTTCCGTTGTTCTTTTTTGGGGTTTATGTTCAACCGTCCTTTCTGGCATAGCGTGTGCGTTGTATCATCAATTCTTGACTTATTTTGGGGAGACAGGGGGCAATCTCACACAACTCCCCCTGTCTCATCGAGTCATCGAGCAGTGGCATTCTACCACTGGCTCGATCTCTCTCGCTTCATTCGTTTCCACTGTATTTTAGGCGAACCTGGAGAAGGCGTGACGTGGTGTACATCCAAAAACCAAAAAAGTCGGGTCGGGGCATTTATGGGTTGGTTATCTCTTGTTTCCTTGTTTCCTTTTTTTCATTTCCTTTTTGTGAATCTCCTTTTTCATACATAATTATCCTTTCGCTGTTGATATTGGGAAGCAAAGCCACTACAGCTGGCGGTCTTCCTATTGTGATCCTCTCATGAGCGGTCATCCATATATATAAACTGCCTGTCTATTAACAAACACACATACATACACGGCTGATTTCGGGGGGGGGTTTTTTTAATTGAATTTGCCTGTCTGACTTTATTGCGATTGCCTGTACGCGTTCTGTGGGAGTTTCTGGGACCAAGCGACTGTTGGTGAATTATCGGTGTTCTGAGGCAATACTTGTGGGAATTATAGAACGGGAGTGAGTGGTGTTTCGACGAGCAAGGAGGACCGAAATATGGAGAGTCATGCAAATGAATTTCATTTCCTATTGATACTATCTTCTAACTACACTCTGTATCCTATAAACTCCATATCAAGGGCTAGAACTACTCCGGACTCCGTAGGCTAAAGGCAACAAAAGCCCCTATTGCGGGTGCCAAGAAGGAGCGAATCCGCCTCGGACTGGTCCAGGCGCGATGGATGTCCACCGAGTTTGACACGACATGGTTCGGTTTTCCCACGGGGTAAAGGGAAGATACTAGTAGTTATATGGATTGTGGACGGTCGCAAGATAGCAATTCTGAGCATCAACCAAGAAGCTCTCTCGTAGATATCAGACGTGTATCCCATCGTTGTTCCTGGCCGCAATCGTAGGGAAACGGGATTGCGACGTGCTATAAAAAGCAACGGGCCCAACCGACGAATCTCGTTCGAGCCTCGTCGCTGCTGCCCTCTTTCTCTCGCTCGTTCGCTCTTTCGCTGTCTCGCCTTCCCTCTTCTTCTTTTCTCTGGTCTTTTTCTTTCTTTTTGGTGCCCTCGTTGCCCTCGATTGCCAGTCCATTCGTTTTATGTTGAATTGAATTTGGTTTAATTTCCTTTTGGTGGTTGTTGATTCCCCTGCCGCGTCCCGCCAGTCAACCTCTTTTTTTTTTCTTTTTTCTTTTTTTTTTTTTTAAAAGCCAAACCAAACCCTTTTTCGACCTTCCCGGCGATCGCGGATTTTCCCCTTCTCCATAATCGCATTAATCGACCTCCTTTCGCCTCCTCTCCGCCATCCGGATCGTCCACTTTCTATCGCCTCGAGGCTCTTTGGCACCGGAATCCAAACGCCACTGCCTGGCCTTGTCGACGGTCGCTCCTTAATCTCTCCCCCTCCGGCCCCGTCTTGCCCCCCCTCGACTTCCGAGTCGTGTGCTTCCGCTCGCAGGGTGACTTTTTAACGACCGTTTTCTGATCGATTCCTGCTCGTCCACCCCCAATCTTTCCCGCGATCGTCGCCTATCACGGGCGTCGACAGCTTGTCATCCGTCGATAATCCGGTCCATCCACTTCGTCTCTTCATCCCTCTTTTCATTCCCTTCTCGCGAGGATGCTTCTCCCCAAGGGTGGTGTGACGTGGAAGTCGGCTAAGGCTCGATTGCCTCCATGGAGGGCCGTTCTTTTCCTGGTGACGAGGACTCGCTTTCTCGTGTCGGTTGCCCTGACTGGCTTGATGATTCTGTTCTGGCGTGGGATTAGCAGGTCGGCTTCGGAAATGCAAAGGTAATCTCTTCATTTTTTCTTTTTTCTTCCTCTCCCAGGCCCCGGGACACGTTTCATTCCGACCGCTCGGTCGCGAGCCCGTCCGATTCGCAATCCTGGGGAAAGCGAGGGCGATTGAATCTGACTGACTCGCGGCGCCTTCTAGTTTCTACTGCTACGGTCCTCCTAAATCCCCTATGGAAATGTCCTTGAACGAAATGGTCGAATGGAACAGCCATGCTCAGTCGCCCGTGCTCCTGAATCACCACAAACCCTACGAAGTCAACTCGAGCACCATCAACCAGGTCGAACTGAACGGAATCAACTCGAGTCCCCAGGCGGTCGCCAACAACGAACGCGTTCTTATCCTGACGCCGTTGAGAGATGCGGCTCACTATCTGGACAAGTACTTCGAATTGCTCTACAAGATCACGTACCCTCACCATCTCATCGATCTGGGCTTCCTCGTCGGCGACTGCAAGGATAACACCCTGGAAATTCTGGTGTCGGAACTGAACCGGATTCAGGAGCAAGCCGATAAGGTTGCCTTCCACAGCGCGACCATCGTGAAGAAGGACTTTGGCGCCGACGTCGAGATGAGCGTCGAGGATCGTCACTCGTTCGCCGCCCAGGGACCGCGCCGTAAGGCTATTGGTCGCGCCCGCAACTACCTGCTATATTCGGCCATGAAGCCGGAGCATTCCTGGGTGTACTGGAGAGATGTCGATATCACGGATAGCCCGGACTCTATCATCGAAGACTTCGTGGCACATGACCGTGATATCCTTGTTCCGAGTATGTTTATTTTTTATTTATTATTTATTTTTGGATTTCCATGCGTTTGTCGCGTTGACCCCCGAGGCGTACGCTAACTGTTTTTGTAGACATTTGGTTCCATCGGTATCGCGATGAGGTTGACATCGAGGGCCGCTGTAAGTAACCAAAATGAAATTTGACCCGACCACCGACCTGGATAGTTTACTGACCGCGCACAGTCGACTACAACTCCTGGATTGAATCCGACAAGGGACGCCGTCTCCGCCAAACCCTGGACCCCGATACCGTCTTGGCCGAGGGCTACAAGGAGTACGACACCGGTCGAAAGTACATGGTCGGCATGGGTGACTGGAGAAATGACAAGGATGAGGAGATTGAGCTGGATGGCATTGGTGGAGTTAACATTCTTGTCAAGGCCGACGTCCATCGCTCAGGTATGTTATAACTCTTTAATCCTTGTTTCATGGGGATTATGAAGGAGCATGGCGCTAATGATGGCTCAGGAATCAACTTCCCCGCGTACGCCTTTGAGAACCAGGCCGAGACCGAGGGATTTGCCAAGATGGCCAAGCGCGCAGGATACCAAGTAATCGGCCTGCCGAATTACGTCGTGTGGCATATCGATACCGATGAGAAACCTGGCAACCTCGGAAACCGGAAAGCATACTAGATCTGACACCTCGAATGAGGGGCGTCAGTTTCACTTTGTCTATCTGTTATTCTACCACTAAATACCCGTTACCGTGTATATCCGACGCCGTGACTGGGGCGGTTACATTGCATGGAGTCTTCCCTTCGCTGTCATTTCTGCCTTCTTCGTGTTTTCAAAGTTTTCTGTCACATTTTCTTCCACGGACGCTTGAGACGGAATCTCATGATTCCGGTAATTATTCCTTTTAACTTCTTGTCGCGTGTTGAGGATTGTCCGCCTCTTTTTTATCTTTTTTTCTATTTTTCATCTTTTTTTTTTCACTCTTGTTGGCGCTACGGAGAACAGTGACGTTCAGCGGTATTGAGGCTCATAGAGAGAGAGGGGATGGGAGGGTTGATTTGAGCTCTTGTCATGACTGGGACTGTGCCATGATCTTGCGTTGGGAGGCCCTGCGGGCTTGGGTCGTGTTCTTGGACAGCTTCCGATGTTCCCCTTCGTCAGGTCTGGAGGCAAGATACCTCTGTCGGCGGAAAGGTGATCTGCATGATGCGTCTCATCTTGCGTGGTTCACAAAAATACCATGTTGGACAACGTCCTCGGAGCAGTTGTTCAGAAACAGACCGGATTGATGCCGAACGTGAGGAAATAGGCATATGGTGCTTGGCGTCCATGTACATACATATATAGGCTACAATTTGTCGGGCTGTTATGATTGATTGACTGATTGACTGATTGATGGTACCGGGTTAGGCTGGCTGCAGCGAGGCCGGAGTATTGAGAATTTGTAAAATGCATTGATATTCCATTGATATCCGATTGTGCTTGACTGCCTGAGGCCAAACAACTTGCAACCCCACCCGAATCATCCACCCCTCATCTCCATCCACCTTCAGCTATTCCTCAAACTCCTCACTGCTACCTCCTTAGTGCCTCCTTGGTAACAAGAGTTCTTTTTAACGATCTCCAAGATCAATACATAATGGCTCCTCTGAACGAATTCCTTTGCATCATTCCCGACAAACCGGGGACCTTGGCGAAACGCCTAGAAGTTCGCCCGTGAGTATCTAGGTCTTTGCAGTGCAATTTGGAATAATTACCCAGAGAGGACTTATCAACTGATCAATGGTACTTTATGGACTGTGAAGACAACATCTTGAGGGTATTAAACCGCTCGTCGAGGCCGGACAGGCTGTTTTGGGTGGTATGTTTATCTTCACTTCCTTTTCTTTTCTTGCCGCATACTACTTTCATCTTTGTGGTTTTTGTCTTTGTTTTTGATCTGTTATGCATACATTTCATATTTCTTCTCTCCACCTTTTTATCCTCTTTTGTTTTACTACCTAGCTACCTACAACAAGACTAATCAATCCCCAAAGGAGCCATGTTCGACTCGCACCCCACGGAAGGCCAAACCCCTTCCTTCAAGGGCAGTGCGATCATGTATCTGGCCGAGAGCAAGGAGGCCGCCATCGAGTTGATGAAGAAGGATATCTATACCGTCTCCGGCGTGTGGGATGTTGAGAATGCGCAGATTATTCCGGTATGTTCTCTTCTTCTTCCCCTTTTTGGTTTCAGTTCGTGTTGCTCTTTGATTTGCGTTCTGGGGTTCGTGGGGCTAGTTCTATTACTTGGGTTTGAATTTACTTTGGTTACTATTGGAGATTGGAGAGGAAGAAGTAGAGAGCTCTAGAGAGGACCCTGATGCTGATATTTGATATGATATAGTTCAAATCCGCCGTTCGGGTTGGGCTGTAAGGGTCTGTGCTTTGGGGATATTCTAGGTAGTATACATATAGGTATTCTCTATAGCATACTCGTACCATGCATGCAATGCCATTTCTCAGCCCTTGTCTATAGTTTCGCCTTTGGCGTCAACATCGTCTCTGCTACTTTGCGTCGTTGGATCTTGCCCGTGGCGGTCTTGGGGATCTGCGCTACAATCCAGACCTGGAATGCGGATTAGCTTTCGAGAGCCTGTAAAGCCTCGTGTCTTGAGGCCTGAGTATTGCAATGAGATAGACTGACCTTCTTCGGAGTTTTGAATTTGGCCAATTTACTCTCCACCCAGGCCTTCAGCTCCTCTTCTGTCGCGACGTCGCGACCCTTCAGCACCACGGCCGCCCCAATGTCTTCTCCGTAATGGCCCTCATCCGGGATGGCGAAACACACGGCCTCTGCCACCTGGAGATGATGCAGGAGGGTGTTGTCCAGCTCGATAGGGCTGATCTTCTCGCCGCCCTTGTTGATAAGTTCCTTGATACGTCCAGTGATGATCACGTAGCCGTCCGCATCCAGCTTGCCCTGGTCGCCCGTGCGGAAGAACCCATTTGGCGTGAAGGATGATTGGTTGGCCGCCGGGTTGTTCAGGTATCCCTTGGTGACGTTTTCGCCGCGCACGCAGATCTCGGCCTCGTTGCCCTGCGGCACCTCTTTGCCCGCCTGGTCGAGGATCTTGATCTCCACGCCCTGGCCGATCCCGACACTACCAGGTTGTCGCTTGCCCGGGGGAAGCGGGTTACTGGTCATCTGATGGGCGGCCTCGGTCATGGCGTACGCTTCCAGGACCGGGGCGTTGAACGTTCGTTCCAGATCCTGGAACGTCTTTGGGGATAGTGGGGAGGAGCAGGAGCGGATGAAGCGGATCTGGGGGATGGGGTTGGGCAAGGGGGTCTTGAGGAGGACTTGGTGGATGGTGGGCACGGCCGTGTACCAGTTGGCCTGGTAGGTGACAAAGTCCGACCAGAAGTGCGAGGCGGAGAACGTTTCCGGCACAATCACCGATCCCCCGGCGTAGAGAGGCGCCAGGAAGGCTGCCAAGAGACCGTGGACGTGGAACAGCGGCATCACCAGGTAGGTGCGATCTTGCGGCGTCAATTGGTACGTATCGCGGATATTTTCTACATTGTGGTTAGTTGAGCTTATCAGGAACGGTACGGCGACAGGATCGAGGGAAGTCACGGACTCATCGTGGTAGTGAGATTCCTATGGGTGAGCGGAACCTGCGTCGATCAGCGTCATCCTGGTAGTAGGTAAGCGGACTGTATGGAGGAAACGTACGGCCTTGGGCCTGCCAGTCGTTCCACTGGTATGCAACACGAGAGCAACGTCATCGGGCTGCGCATCGTGGACCCCGACACCTCGATTGCCAGCCAGCTTCCCTTGCTCCTTGACATCTAGAACGATTTCCGCACCATCCCAGTAGCACTCGGCGATCGCCGCATTGTATTTCCTCGCCGCCCGGACGGCCGGACCATTCTGCACAAACGACCCCCGGGGAATCAGCACCAGGGTCGAGCTGAGATCGTCGATGTAGAACTCAAACTCCTCCTGCTTATAGGCGGGGTTGAGCGGAGCGGCGATGGCGCGCTGCCATGACGCCGCTAGGAAGGCGACGATGAACTCGTAAGAGTTGACGAGAGCCAGTGACACTGCACCACCGTGGGTAACTCCCAGGTTAGCCAGCTTGGCCTGGAAATTGGCGACCTGGGCATGCAGCTGAGAGTAGGAAATCGACAGGGGGGCGGGAGTCTTGGGGGTCTTGGGAACCAGGATGGCGACGTCGTTGCTGTCGGACGAGAACGACCGAGCCAAAGTAGTGGCGACTGTCATTATGGGGGTCTGTCTTGGCTGGCAGGGATCAACAATGGAGGAGAAGCAGTAGTAGAGTAGCAGAAGTAGAAGCAATCCGAAGTAAATAATGGTATATTGTATTTGAGTAGAAGAAACTACATTTAAGAAGCAGGAGAAGAGAGGAGTTTCAAAAGTCAGGCTACCGGATTGTTGGTTTGACACCGACTCACTTAATCAATCATTTTTATCCATTTGCAGCAGTGACTCCGGAGTCCTCCGCGGAGAGAGCAGAGACCCAGGGGACTGAGCTTCCGTCTTTCCACGAGCGAATGCACGTAATTACGCCAGGACGGAGCGAGCCCACTTGGCGTCCGTTTTGGCGGTGGACGGTGGAGCTCCCCGAGGGCTGAGTCAGCGGGTGACGGCAAACCCATCAAACTCGACAAACAGCCCAAACCCAACTCTTGTTCCTTACTACTACGGAGTAGTGTTCACGGAGATCACGGAGTAGATCTCATTGACATCCTCGTCTATGCAGCCATGACGTCCGACTCGACCCCCTCAAAACCAGGGGGCATGCTATCTCTATACGCTAACCTCCTGGACCCCTCCGCCGACTCTGCGTCTCCCGGTACGATCTCGCGGGCCCCCGTGGTCTTCAAGCAAGCCGAGGGCGAAGCGCCGTCGGATGAATCGACAGCCAAAAAGCAACAGCAGTTGAACTCTGGTAGATACTCCGTCCTCCTTCAGATGGCAACCCTCCTTTCACAACGTTGATTTGCTCACTTGTGTCCGTCCTCGACTCTGATATCAGCCTCTCTCCGATTCCAACCGACCAAAAGACCTCAGCTCTCCGCGCAGAAACCCAAACCGAAACCGAATCTACCCAAGACCTCGCAGCTCCCTGCTGCGTCGAACGCCTCGGTCAAAACATCTCTAGCAGACTGGGCCGCGACCGAGGACGACGATGTGAATGGATTCTATGCCGGCCCGAAGCGACAACGCGGCGGGCGCAAAAAGCGCAAGAAGAACCGAGATGCCCAGGAGATGATGCAGAACTGGGACGATATCTACGATCCGTCACGCCCCAATAACTACGAGGAATACAAACACAGCGACGAGCAGGTATCCGAGGTGCGGGAATGGAAGGATCGTCTCTATGCACATCGCATGGCGCGATCGCCGAGTCGGGATTCGCTGAGTGATGATGATTATGACAGGCCGATGAACCGTGCGTTTATACTGATTATGCCTTGCCTCTGTTTGAGCGAGAGAGAATGTGTCGAAGGCTGATATTGTATAGGGCAATTCGCCCCTCCGAGTAACTTTGCGCCACCTCCGAATCTCAACGACCTCCCACCTCCTCTACCACCGATGGAACCCCCCGTCTCCGTTCATTCCATTCCCCCTCCACCTGCCGGCCCTCAGACAACGGCAGAACCTGCCCCTCCGACTCGGTCCTTGGATGCGCTCCAGCCGGCCTCGGCGACGATATCCCGTGCGCCGGTCCGATACACCCTGCCTCCCCCTCCGAAAGACATTCCTGCCTCGGAGGCGGAGCTCGAGGAAGTGTTTGCGAAGGAGCAACCGGTAGAAGACGAAGCCGAGGGGAACGGTCAGCGATCACTTCGGCCGGGACAGCAAGGATTCGCCGAACGACTACTGGCCAAATATGGCTGGACAAAGGGCTCTGGATTGGGCGCAACGGGCTCCGGCATGGTCAATCCGTTGCAAGTCAAGGTCGAAAAGCAGAAGAAGCGACCGGATTCGGAGGGTGGTGGCTTTGCTACACCTGCTGGCAGGGGCAAGATCATCGGCGGCGCGAGGAAGAAGGAAGACGAGGGCAAGTTCGGCCCCATGAGCGACGTCATCATTATGAAGGGCATGCTCGATGGCATGGACCTCGAGGCCGAGCTGGAGGACAACCAGGGGGGCGGTCTGATGCGGGAAATCGGAGAAGAATGCTCAGAGAAGGTAAGATATCTTTACTCAGTCCTTTCATGCAGCGTTTCTTGGATCTAACTGGCCTTAGTACGGCAATGTGGAACGAGTCTACATTTCTCGCAGCTCGGGTCCTCCCGTGCCGGTGTTTGTAAAATTCACCAACCAGCTATCGGCTTTACGAGTGAGTTATCAGACATTGCAGTGATATTGTGTTTCTGTTACTGTTACTGACAAGTGGGCTGGCCAGGCTGTGAATGCTCTCGAAGGACGAATATTCAACGGCAACGCCATCAACGTTCGATTTTTTGACTCGCAGAAATTCGAGCAGGGAATCTATGAATGACCGACCATAGCATAGAAATGAATATCATGGAACTGATCAATGAAACCGATGGCATTGTTTCATGACAATGTTGGCCGAACATATTCTCAAAATCTCGTCAAGGGTTATCGGTTTCTCCCAAATATTTGCGTCCCTCCCAGAAAAGCATGAAAGAAGAAAGTCCAGGGAATGAATCCCAATCGTCAAAAGGTAATTCTATTAAAAAGATCCATCTCCTCGCCCGCAGTACGATTTGTACAGCGGAGGACTGGCGCATCATTCTCGATCGGGGAGCCGGTTGGGCTTCTTTCGTGTATGCTTGTAGTTGTGGAAGATCGCCCGTCTGCCATCAGGGCAAATAACTTCTTCTTTTGAGACCTGTGACTCTTGCACTCGCGACACAGGCCGATCATGGGAATTTCGCACATTCTGAGTCCAGAACAGCTATAACCCGTTCGGAGGATACTCTGACATGCAATGCGCGAATTATAGCATCGGGTAGTGTGGGAACAGATAGCATGATACCAGATAATTGCATGGCACATTGCAGCAAATCTCTGATCGTATTATGCCGTCCTACATGAACCAGGAGGAGAGAATGGTATTTATGATAATGGACGTAATAAAAAGGCGTGGTAGGACAAGGGAAATATCACATAAGATATGAAAGATGGGGCATGTATGACATGGTCGGTTCTCTTGGCCTTTATATTGGGGGGACATGATCGCCTCAGTCTACTTGTACAAAGGTAGGGCAATGGGCTCCCAAAGATGCCCAACACCCACAAGGAAGCCCTGTCCTGGGATTTGCCCTGTTGTTGTCCACGAGTCTTTATTCGATAGATCGCCGCATCATCAGAGGTGTGGCTCCTATTGATTCCTTTGTGGTATTACACAAAGACCTGGGGACAGCAAACAAAGTGAGGCAGACGCCATAAGCTGTTCATATTTCATAGTTCCATTCATAGTTAGTAACGCTAGTTTATAACTGCAGGTGACCGGGAGCTGGTCAGGTGACTGGCCCGCCCGTGATTGGCCGTGGCGCATCCAACCCGCTGTACATCCGGGCAGCCTTTCACTTCCTCTGCCATCTTCCTTCTTGTGCCGTCACGAACTGCTTGCGCTTTTCTTTCTCTTGTATTCACTAGATAGTATTCTTTCCTTGACTGCCCTCTTCTTCATCTTTTCTTTTCGCTACTTGCATCTGCCTCCCGAAACTTCCATCTCCTTTCATTGGCATACTACTGTACCTCTTCAAGACCACACTTGGATCTTTCTTTACTCATACGATCTCAAATCGCTCCGTCGCAAAGGAAAGCTAAGAGCCCAGCGAAAATGTCACTCTGCCAAAACCGCTTGACTGAGGAGAGGTACGTAGCAGCCTCGCGCCATGGCCTGTCGCATCATCTCCAACTTCCGACCTGATGGTAGCCGCTAATCGCGAACTTTCGACCCCGCACAGGAAGCAATGGCGCCGTGACCATCCTTTTGGCTTCTATGCGAAACCCAACCGCAACGCCCAGGGTGTTCTGGACTTGAAAAAATGGGAGTGCGGTATTCCGGGAAAGAAGGATACGATCTGGGAGGGTGGAATGTTCAAGCTGGATGTCATTTTCCCCGATGGTGAGTTCTTGCCTCTTTTTCCGGTGGTGTACTGGGTGGTGCTATGATTGGAACTTGAGACTAATCCTACTGTTTCTTCTTACAGAGTATCCCACCAAACCTCCGAAATGTACGTCTTGCTGAGCCCTATGTCATGGCCTGCAAAATTCAGGCAGAGCACATACTCCGCTTCCTTGCTTTTTTTTCTTTTTACCTACGTTGCGCCTGTCTGGGAGAAAGAAAACTGACCGTGTCCATTTGCGCTATCGCAATTAGGCAAATTCAACCCTCCACTTTTTCACCCTAACGTCTATCCCTCCGGCACTGTCTGTCTTTCGATTCTCAACGAGGAAGAGGCCTGGAGACCCGCCATCACGATCAAGCAAATTTTGATCGGTATTCAAGAGCTCCTCAACGACCCCAACCCCGAATCGCCGGCGCAGGCCGAAGCCTACAACATGTTCAGACGGGACCGGGCGGCGTATGAAAGCAAAGTGAAGCAGATCGTGAAGGAGAACCCTGGGCATTGAGAGAAGGAGCCGGGAAATTAATGGACATGCGCTAGCTTTCTTTTTCCTTTTCTGTTCCATGATATCCTCTCTTATGTCCTTGTCCTTTTTTCCTTCTTCATTTTCTTCACCATCTTCCGTTAGATTGTCACATTGCATTTTGCTCTTTACCTCCTAAATCTGTGTCGAGATCGGTGGAAACTCGGGTTGATATCGGGAACCTGCGAGCGGTGATGCTTGGGTGGATTGCGCGCAAGACACTCACTCCTGGGGCACTGCCGTCATTGAGAATCAAGCCGCATATCGCAAGTCGTGGCGATGGAACATCTTTTTTATTTTATTTTCTTCTAGCGAGCAAGGAGTTTATAATGAACTGAAATGGGTGGATGAGCCAGGCGTTGAAGACTATGATTGGTTTTGGTTTCATTAGGGTTCTTCCATTTCCTTGGGTTCGTACACAAGTTGGTCGTAAGTAGACCGCAGTGCATGCCGGAAGTAGCGCAGAAGAGTGACGGCCAATTGTAACTGGTGGTTTACAAGCAATTGAGCGAAGGGATCGCAAAGCATGGGTGCATTCACAGTGGGGACAGGGGACTTGCCGGGAGCGGTTATCTTATCGGTGAGTCAGTCGAAAGATTTGTGGCCGAAATCGCCCCTCGATTCCCGCCCCGCCGAACAATTTAAACCAGAATTTCCCTCGCTGCTCGCTCCCCCATACTTAGTTAATCACAACCTCCTTGCCCCCCTCCATTCCTCTCCCGCGGATCTTCGCTGTCTACTTCTGTGCTTCTGTGAAGTCAATTGCTTGTAGCCAGCATGTGTGGTATCTTCGCGTGTCACCAGTATGTCTCACTTTCTCTTTTTCTCTTTGTCCAGGCTCGGTCAAGCCCCGCGAAATTCCGGGGCAGAAGAGGGCCGCCCTTATTATAGTGTCATTCGAGCTGATCATCATCCGCGACAAGTCATCCCGATGTGCAAAAATTCAAGCCTACGGCCCTGCGCATGGCCAAGGCGTAAGTCTTCCCTTTCTTCTTGCCAGCTCGCAGAGTTTGGTACTGACTGTCTGTTCTTTTCAGTTTGCGCCATCGCGGTCCCGATTGGAGTGAGTCACACCGGTGCTCGGTATACCGGAGCCGTTTCATGTTAACCGAACGACAATAGGTGGAAACTTCATCTCCGAGGGTACTCAGGGAACCGGTCAGTTTGACCCCCAAGGAAACAACAAGCTTGCTGAAAGCTAATTGACTTCGCAGTCCTTGCCCACGAGCGTCTGAGTATCGTTGGTGTCGGTACGTACTATGCCAAGAGTCCCGCTGCCGAGTTTGCTCGTTTAACACCCTTTTCCACAAAGATTCCGGTGCCCAGCCCCTGGTCAACGACGATGGCTCCCTCGCCCTCGCCGTCAACGGCGAGATCTACAACCACCGTATCTTGAGAAAGCAGCTCAAGACCCAATATACCTTCAAGACCCACTCGGATTGCGAAGTGATCATCCCTCTGGTATGTGCAACGGAGGTCGTGAGGCGCAAGGGAGGAGTGCAGAACACAAAGCTGATGAGCTCTAGTACATGGAGCATGGCCTCGATGCCCCCAAATACCTGGACGGCATGTTCTCCTGGGTTCTGTATGACAAGAAGGAGGACCGCGTGATCGCTGCGCGCGACCCCATCGGTATCACCAGCTTCTACATCGGCTGGTCTTCTCAGACTCCTGGTGCTGTCTTCTTCGGCTCCGAGCTGAAGTCGTTGCACCCCGTTTGCGACAAGATCGAGGCTTTTCCTCCTGGCCACGTTTATGACTCCAAGACCGGCGCTATGAAGCGGTACTTCGAGCCCAACTGGTGGGACGCTGAGAAGATCCCGTCCACTCCTGTCGACTATAAGGTCATCCGTCATTCCTTGGAGAAGTCCGTGCGGAAGCGCCTGATGGCTGAGGTTCCTTACGGTGTGCTGCTCTCCGGTGGTCTGGATTCCAGTCTGGTTGCCTCGATTGCTCAGCGTGAGAACCTGCGCTCGCAAGAAGCTGCTAAGCAGGCGCTTGAGAACCAGACGGGCGACTCCGAACTGGTCGGTATTGACGACAGCAACGAATTGTCCAGCGTCACTACTTTCCAGCAACTGCACTCTTTCTCCATCGGTCTTCCCGGTGCCCCCGACACGGAAGCGGCCCTCGAGGTCGCCAAGTTCCTCGGAACGAAGCACCACGCTTTCACCTTCACCATCGAGGACGGTCTCAACGCTCTGTCGGATGTCATCTACCACCTGGAGACGTATGATGTCACCACCATCCGTGCCTCCACTCCCATGTATCTGCTCAGCCGAAAGATCAAGGCCATGGGTGTCAAGATGGTTCTGAGCGGAGAGGGTAGCGACGAGATCTTCGGTGGCTACCTTTACTTCCACGCTGCTCCCAACCGCGAGGAGTTCCACAAGGAAACCGTCCGGAGAGTGAAGAACCTGCACTTGGCGGACTGCCTGCGCGCCAACAAGTCCACTTCCGCTTGGGGTCTGGAGGCCCGTGTGCCCTTCTTGGACAAGGAGTTCCTCGAGGTCACCATGGGCACGGATGCCAAGGACAAGATGATCACCGGAGACCGCATCGAGAAGTACATCCTGCGCAAGGCCTTCGACACCACCGACGAGCCGGACAACAAGCCCTACCTGCCCGAGAAGATCCTCTGGCGCCAGAAGGAGCAGTTCAGTGACGGCGTGGGCTACAGCTGGATCGACGGTCTCAAGGACCAGGCCGAGAAGCAGGTGACCGACGAGATGATGAAGAACCCCAAGCCCGAGTGGGGTAACGACATTCCCGACACCAAGGAAGCGTATGTTCTGCCTATCTGAACCCGGCGAAGCCAGTGACAAGACCGGATCTGACTGACTTGAAATAGGTACTGGTACCGCACGATGTTCGACGAGCATTTCCCGCCCTACTGTGCCGGCACAGTCGAACGTTGGGTTCCCAAGTGGTCGAAGCAGACCGATCCCAGTGGAAGGTAAGTGCTGTTCAAAGCACGGTTTCAACTATTTCCCCCCTCTTCGTCAGTAGTAGCTGACAATTGTGCCTCCAGAGCCATTTCCACCCACAACGCCAAGTACGACAATGCCGAGTAAATTGTATGAACGTTGGGATACATCCTGTTTGGGGTTTGGATTTTTGGCATAGAAGCATGCATAGATTCGTTTCTACCCGAGAACCTAATTTGGGGGGCCTAAAAAAGCGTTATGTTGCTGGGATAGATGCAGATGAGATCCATCTGCTCTCCCGAGGAAACAAAATCTAATCGATTCTCCTTATTTCTAGGGTTAATCTTAGGGGATAAGACACCCCCTCGAAAGTAAGACAGTAAGGTTTATGAGCCTTGGCCATGATTAGCGGTCCTCGTAAACTAGTAGGCTAGATTAAGTTCTTTGGTGGTGGTGATCATGGGGCTGGGTTGGCGAGAAATCCATGGATACCGGAGAGAACCACCTGCAGTTCCAGTCTGCCAGCTCAGGCTGTACACCGTATAGGTGGAAGCGGAACGGCGGTCAAGGGAGGAAAGATGGAAAGGAGTGCTCCGTCTGGAGTTCTGGCGTCGAGGTGAAAACAAACCGCTGGTCCATGCCAAACGCTGCCCAGTGCTCGGCTGAGTCAGACTGCAAGCCCCAGGCATCGAAGTCACGGGACTTTGCGGCTTTTGCCGGCAGCCGGGCGCCAGCCAATCAGAGGGGCAACCGGTTCCCGTGGCTTTCCCCATTGTTTGGCGACTCTCAACCTCATCTTTCCCCCATCGCTTTTCTCTCCTTCCCTTCCCTCTTTTCCCTCCCCCATCATCCTTCTTACTTCCATTCTCAATCCGACGTCATCCCCCTAACGTCCCTCCCTCTTTTCAAAATGTCTGCTCCTGCTGCTTTCTCCGACATCGCCAAGGCGGCCAACGATGTATGCCCTGCTGAAATCCCAGTCCTCTTACGTGCTGTCGACCTTAGCTGAGGACAGCTCCTCGGGAAGGGATTTTCGTGCTAACACTCGACGCAACAGCTCCTTAACAAGGATTTCTACCACACCGCGGCTGGTATGTATCTTATCGCCCGCTTTCGTTCACCATTGCGATTGCGATTTCCAACTCTAGAGTGCCTTTCAACTAACGGAATTCCAATTTAGCCAGCCTCGAGGTTAAGTCCAAGGCCCCCAATGGCGTCACCTTCAACGTCAAGGGCAAGTCCGCCCACGAGGGTCCCATCGCCGGCACTGTAAGTTCGGCCCGGCCGCCTAACCAACCAGATGCAATACAGAATCGCCTCTAATATGTCTCTCTGAAAATAGCTTGAGGCCAAATACGTCGACAAGCCTACCGGTAAACGCCCCCTACGACGCAGACCACCCGACCCCAATTGCACACCGCTGCGCAAGTACAAACCCATGGAGTTCATGTTTTCGTGTGGTCATGTCTTGTCCAAGCGGTTTCTATTCTTTTTCACCTCAAGGATAAGTGATCATGCAGTCAGGCTAATATTCCGTCCTCGCTCAGGCCTCACCCTCACCCAGGCTTGGACTACCGCCAACGCCCTCGACACCAAGCTCGAGCTGGACAACAACATCGCTAAGGGCCTGAAGGCTGAGATCCTCACCCAGTACCAGCCCGCCAAGCAGTCCAAGGGCGCCAAGCTCAACCTCCACTTCAAGCAGCCCAACCTGCACGCCCGTGCTTTCTTCGACCTGCTCAACGGTCCCTCCGCCAACTTCGACGCTGTCCTGGGCCACGAGGGTTTCCTCGTCGGTGCTGAGGGTGGCTACGACGTCCAGAAGGCCGCCATCACCAAGTACTCCGCTGCCGTTGGCTACAGCGTTCCCCAGTACACCGCTGCCATCACCGCCGGCAACAACCTGACCGTCTTCGCCGCCAGCTACTACCACCGCGTTAACGCTCAGGTTGAGGCCGGTGCCAAGGCTACCTGGGACTCCAAGGTCGGCAACTCCGTCGGCCTTGAGGTTGCCAGCAAGTACCGCCTGGACCCCTCTTCCTTCGCCAAGGTAAGTGATTTTCGCACCCCCGCGACAGGCTGCACACTCTGAACCAGGCTAATCACTTTCCGATGAACAGGCCAAGATCAACGACCGTGGTATTGCCGCTCTGGCCTACAACGTTCTCCTCCGCCCCGGTGTCACCCTCGGCCTCGGTGCTTCCTTCGATACCCAGAACCTCAACCAGGCTGCCCACAAGGTTGGCGGCAGCTTCACCTTTGAGGCTTAAATGTGTCCAATACCATTGGCCCCCCGTTTACTCCTGAGGTCTTTCGTATAGCCTGAGGATCGCAGATTTTGAAACATACATAATAGCTAGATATGCCGTCACGTTTGCGCTCTGGTTGGTCCTGACGAGAGGAAATGTTCTGGAGAGTGTGGGTCGTTACTGAATGTCATTTCTATCTAATCATGTATCGTAGTTGCGGACGATAATTGTATATCAATCCAGTCTAAATTTCCTTTGCTGATCTAGAGAGACGGCCCGAATTACAGTACTTGAGAGTTCTAAATGTGGATTATATATAATCTATGTACAGTGGGCCTACATCATGTGCCGTGAGTGAGGCATGTCAAGAATATCTAGTCATCCTTCCGACGCGTAGCGGCCTTGCGTGCCTTCTTCTCGTCTCCAGATGATCGAGTGATTCTCGCCACACCAGCCGATGCCACCAGCATGCCACAGACGATGATGAACCGCATCACGAAGTCCCCCGAGGTGGGGATATGCTGCTCATTCATCGTAGAGCCCATTTCACGGGATCGGCGCTGCTGCCGCCGCGCATCCTCCGCCGTCTGCGTGCGGTAGTGACCGTGGGCATTAAAATGGTATACGGGATTCCGATGAATAAACGACATAGGATCATCTTCATGCACACGACTACCACCACCACCACCACCACCTGGCGCCCCAGCGCCAGCGCCAGCCCAGGCTCCTGGCCCGGCACCCGGCGGTGGTTTCCGATTCCCGTAGCCCCCATGGGCATAGAAGCTCGGCGGCGGGCCACGGAATTGACCGCGGCGTTTACTGAGGCCGCTGGCAGGTCGGGACCCGGCGTAGGATCCGCCCTCGTTATGGAGGTTGGCGCTGTAGCTGCTGTGACTGCCCATGGGGTGTTGACCCGGGTGGGCGGTGCTGTGCGTAGAGGAGGACATGTGCTGGGCTAGGATGCCGTGGTCGCGATCGTAGGTGGCGCGTTTGGTGTGGTTGCCGAGGACATTGTAGGCGGAGGAGATGCGGGCGAAGCGTTCGGAGGCGGTGGGATCGTCGCGGTTGCGATCGGGGTGGTGGCGGAGGGAGAGGGAGTAGAATTCTCTGTGGGGGAAGGAGGGGTTAGGATTGAGGGGAAAAATAAGTAGGGTCTTCTTTTTCTATCTCTTGCTTGCAATTGGGATTGGGATTGGGATTTGTGGGGAAGGGAAGGAGGATGGTTGGGTGGTGAGTAATGGAGGAATAGTGGGAGATCAGATAAGATCTGTAGGTATGTGTGCTTCATTTGATGAAGATCACTTGAAGACCAAAATTGGGGCAGGTCAAGCACAAGAAATTGGGAAAATGAAGGCGCTCACTTCTTGATCTCCGAAGCCGATGCTGTCACCGGTACTCCGAGGATATCATAGTAATTGGGTTCTCGGTGGCCATAGCGAAAGGAGGCGGTGGTAGAGAAGGTGGCTGCGAGTTTGGGAAGAGGCGAATGGCGACGACTACTGCGAAGGGCAATCCGTAGTCGAGGGACTGTCATCACGCGGGAAAAGGGCATGCCGGAGATGGGAAGGGTTCACATTGGGGAATTGAGGTATTGAAGGAAGAGAAAGAAGTCAATAGGGAGGGAGAGAAAGAGGGAGGGAGGCAGAAGGAGAGCGAGAGCTAGAGCGAGAGCAGAGGAGGAGGGACTGAGGCAAGAAGGCAACGAGGCACGAGGGAGTGGAATTCCGCTGATCGGCCCTGCGTCATCGCTGCCTTAGAATCGAGGATCGCGTCACCCGGCTCAGGAAGGGGATGGGAGGGTTCGGTGGGGACAAGTATGATCACGGCAGACGAGGATCTGGAGACCCGAGGAAATCTGAGATGAAGAATGAGATCGGCCTCTAGATCGCCCTCAGATGTGTGTCGTCAAAATGTCGAGAGTATAGACTAATTATAGAGTATAGTTAGTCGGACTCTTGATTAAGTCAGTCTTGGCGCCTGAAATCCCGATTCTTCCTGCGGCTTTCCCCTCATTTTTTCTCTCTTCCGCTACCTCAACGTCTGCCTACCCTCAACCACTCCACAACCATGGCTGCTCAGGCTAGTGAGAACCTGCAGAAGCTTGACCGTAAGTGGCTATGTGGCTCCCCCTTTCCCCCCACCGGTTAGATTCCGAACATTTTTCAATTGATAAGATTCCTATAGTGAACGGTCAGAGCGCCGACGCAAAGGCCGACGCTCCTGCCGCCGGTCAAGCCGAAGCCGGAGAGGCGGACGATGATTCCGACGACGATGCTGATGACGGAAACCCTGCTGCCGAAGGCGCTGCCAACGGAGGTATGTCTGTCGAACGCTCCCCCGATCGGGTCTTCCCCTCCCCCGCCATGTGCTGATTCCGGTTCTTTATCCGCCACCCAGCTGCCAAGAAAAAGAAGAAGCGCAAGAGCAAGAAGAAGAAGAAGGGCGGCGCCAAGGTCCAGAGCTCGCCTCCGCGAGTCCCCGTCGCCAACCTATTCCCTAACAACCAATTCCCCGAGGGCGAGATTGTCGAGTACAAGAACGAAAATTCTTACCGAACCACCAACGAGGAGAAGCGCTACCTCGACCGCATGAACAATGATTTCCTGCAGGAATACCGCCAGGGAGCCGAGGTGCACCGTCAGGTCCGCCAGTATGCGCAGAAGAACATCAGGCCGGGCCAGACTCTGACGGAGATTGCGGAGGGCATCGAGGACTCCGTGCGTGCTTTGACCGGCCACCAGGGTCTTGAGGAAGGCGACAACCTCAAGGGTGGTATGGGATTCCCCTGTGGTCTGAGCATCAACCACTGTGCTGCCCACTACACCCCCAACGCCGGCAACAAGATGGTGTTGCAGCAGGGTGATGTGATGAAGGTTGACTTCGGCGCCCAGCTGAACGGCCGGATTGTCGACAGTGCTTTTACCGTGGCCTTTGATCCGGTGTACGATCCCCTTTTGGCAGCCGTCAAGGATGCCACAAACACTGGAATTCGCGTATGACTATCCCGGACGCCTTTGTATCTCTTTCTCCCAGGAACCCTGCAAACTAACGGCTCGATATAGGAGGCCGGCATTGACGTCCGTATGAGCGATATTGGTGCTGCCATCCAGGAGGCCATGGAGAGCTACGAGGTGGAACTCAACGGCACCATGCATCCTGTGAAATGCATCAAGAACCTCAACGGTCATAACATTGACCAGCACGTTATTCACGGTGGCAAGAGCGTTCCTATCGTGAAGGGTGGAGACCAGACCAAGATGGAGGAAGGCGAGGTGTTTGCCATCGAAACCTTCGGTAGTACCGGAAAGGGCTACGTGAGAGAAGATGTAAGTCGGAAGAACCTGGTGTCCCTGGACCTCTAGATAGACTAACGCCGGCTGTTCCAGATGGAAACCTCTCACTATGCTTTGGATCCCAACGCGCAACCCGTTCCGCTGCGTCTGTCCTCGGCGAAGAATCTGTTGAATGTGATCAACAAGAACTTCGGCACTTTGCCCTTCTGCCGCCGGTATCTTGACCGACTGGGCCAGGACAAGTACCTCCTCGGGGTAAGTTAAGACTGAGGATTTGATGTATATGCGACCGACTAACGGTGGCTTTCAGTTGAACAACCTGGTGTCGTCTGGCATTGTCCAGGACTACCCGCCCCTGTGTGATGTCAAGGGCTCATACACGGCCCAATATGAACATGTAAGATCTCGGTCCTCCCTTGTTCGACCCTCATAGTGTAGACTAACCCATCGATGCAGACCATTCTCCTGCGACCCAACGTTAAGGAAGTGATCAGTCGTGGAGACGATTACTGAGCAGGTCTTCATTGGATGACGAGGACTTGGATGGATATACTCAATGAAGCGAGATGTTTACGAACGAACTGTCTATAGTAGAAATTCCCAAAAGCAAATGACACATCAAGTATCTATACTTCAAACAAATCAAAGAACACATTGAACACTGCCCTGAATGCCCTGAAATCGGCCCATCGGTGGCGACGGGTACCTAGCCCCACGTGGAAAGCGTGACTCCGAAAGGCTCACGTAGCGGCGATTAATCAGAGCACTCGGATCACTCCACCCTCGTCCACTTTCTCTGGCTTTCGCTTGCTCTCCCTTTTCCCTCTCACCTCCCGTCCATGGCGTAAATTCTCTTCATCCTCTCAATCTTGCCGCCACCCCCTCGTCCTCCCATTTCACCATGCCGTCCGTCGTCGCTACGGCGCCCACACCGCAACTCCGCGTGTCCGCCGCAAAGAAGGGCTCCGCCGCCGATGAGAAGCTCTCTCCCCGAATCCCTCCCCCCGAGACGTCCGCCGTCGATGATCATTTCTTTTGGACGTATACAGAAGAACCGCATCGGTCTAGACGTCAGGCCATCATCAAAGCCCATCCCGAGGTACGGCCGCCGTCCAATGGACTCTTACAATAGTTGGCCTTTCTAACCGGTCTTCCCTTCTAAACAGGTAACGAAGCTATGCGGACCCGAACCGCTGACCAAGTATGTGGTCCTGGGCGTCGTCTCACTGCAGATCTGCTGCGCATATCTGCTTCGTGATACGTCCATTCTGTCCTGGAAATTCATCGCGACGGCGTATATAATTGGTGCGACGGCGAACCAGAACCTGTTCCTGGCTATCCATGAGATCTCTCACAATCTGGCCTTCCGGTCTCCTTTGGCCAACCGCCTCTTGGCCATCTTTGCCAATCTACCAATTGGAGTGCCTTACAGTGCTGCGTTCCGGGTAAGTGCTAGCTTGCAATCCAGAAGGACCTGAAGTGTTCGTGCTAATGTAGACTCTCGGTCCGATAGCCCTACCATCTCACTCACCACAAGTCCCTCGGCGTCACCGGCCTCGATACCGATCTTCCCACGGCCGTGGAGGCCTTCCTCCTCGATTCCCTCCTGGGCAAGGCCTTCTTCTGTACCTTCCAGATCCTCTTTTACGCCCTCCGTCCCATGTTCGTCTACAGCCCTCCGTTCACCAGCATCCACCTCGTGAACTTGATCGTGCAACTATCCTTCGACTTCGCCCTCACTAAGCTCTCCGGTGGGTCGCTGCAGCCGTTCTTCTACTTGATCGCTAGTTCCTTCCTCGCCGGCTCGCTGCACCCCTGCGCGGGGCACTTCATCGCGGAGCACTACTTCTTCTCCCAAGTACAGCACGGCACCGAGTCCATTGAGTACCAGAAACAGAACAAGAAGCAAGAACCCCACCCTCTCGACTCGTTGCCACCCCCGGAAACCTATTCTTACTACGGCCCCCTGAACATCTTCACCTACAACGTCGGCCTGCACAACGAGCACCACGATTTCCCCGCCATCCCTTGGACGAAACTGTACGCGCTGCACCGTATCGCTGCGGAATTCTACGAGCCGCTGCCCTGCCACCACAGCTGGGTGTGGGTCATCTGGACCTTCATCCTGGACAAGAACGTCGGCATGTGGTGTCGCGTGAAGCGGGCCCAGGGCGGCCGGGTCGTCGGTGGAGGCGGTAGTAAAAGTGGCCGTGGTGGCGAGGGCATCTCTGCCGTGTCGGCTGGTCCGGACGAGTCAGGGGATGGGTGGAAGGAGAGCGAGCTTCAGAGCTGAAAGTCTCGTAATTAAGTTTCTTTCCTCTTTGCCATCTGTTACATTATATGATATGGTCTGTTGTTACCTTGGTGCCCGGGGTCTTGTCGATATGGATATGGGCGATGAATGTATCAAAATATACTAGAATGATTTGATGTACTGTACTTCTGACAATGTTTCCTTGCATGTTGAATGTTTTTTTATCGAGATAGATTTCTCTTGAATACTACCTTTACCGACAGGAGCAGCAAGAAAACATACGCAAACAACATAAGATACAAGGTAGCAGCAACATACAAGTAGAAACCGACACAGAAAAGTAAGTACACATACATACATAGACCATTAACTAGCGTCATCATAATTGGCCGACGTGTCTGGGGTAATGCAGGCAGACATTCGTCTCATTAATTTACTCGCTGTTAGGAAACAAAAGACAAAGGAACAGACCAGATCAAGGGGGAGGTTTATGACGTCGAAGCGTAAAGAAGAGATGAACAAATGAGAACAGAGCCCTGGTGCCTGAATCCGATCATAACAGATCTCATATCCCCTGTGCACCACTGCGGACATAGTAGGCATACCGTGCCATACTGAATCCTGTCGGGCAACGGTATGAGAATACAGGCAGCGTCTGAGAAGTTCTTGAATGGATATGGGTGTTTTTTGGTAATCGAATTTATGATGGAAGTGGACTCGCTACTCCCACTTGGGTCATCTCGTAATAAGGCGAAAAGGGAAAAGGAGAAAAAAGGAAATGAAAAGCCACGACGAGGGGGAGAGTGATAATGAGCTGGGCACATAGACAGTAAAAAGAAAAAGAAGCGATCAAGAACATAACTTGATGCTGATGCCAGCGGAAAAGCAGAAAAATGGAAAGAAAGGAAATAGGAAACACTTCAGAAGGGAATACAGTTGGTCTGTAGAGTAAAATGGGTACTAGAAAATAGAGGGAGTTTGCAGAATTGAATCAAAGCAGGAATGAAAAGGAGAAAAAAGTGGAAATGAAGCGATCGGTGGCTAGAACAAGAAGTAGGCGATCAGGAAACTTAGCAGACACAAGCCCGCAACCACCTGCACCGGCACACCGGCCTCGGCGGGCTGGGATTGCTGTTGCAAAGCTGGCGCGGTGGACTTCTCGGTCTCGCCGGGGATCTTCCTCTGCCTGAGGCCCTGGTCCGCGAGCCTGTCCTTCAGTCTCTGGATCTGAGAGTTGGCGTCGGCAAGTTGCGATTTCAGGTCGGTGCTCGACGGAGAAGTGGCCATTTTCGAGGACGTGGCAGGAGCCCCGGTCTGTGGGCTAAGGAGTTCGCGCTTGGGCTTATCGCTAAAGTCTGGCGGTGGGATAGGTGACGTGTCGTTGGCGGCTTTGCTGGTCAAGCCCACGGCGGGGGTCTCGTAAGTAGCGTTAGGGGAAGTGTAGGCGGGGGGTTCCTCATCAGGGACACTCTGTAGCAAATGGTTAGCTATTAGCCCCTATAAAGATTGGGCACGTTGCGTGAGACGGAGAAACGTACGGTGCCATTGGCTTCAGCCCCTTGCTCGGTAGGTTCAGCGTCCTCCATAGACAACCAGTTCACACGGATCTTGCGCTCTTGGATCGCCGACTTAGAGGCTTTCTCGAACTATGCAGTAGTTAGAATTGTACGTGTGCGAAATCTATAATTCCGGGGAAGCTGGCGTACAATGGAGGTGACATTCGAGAATTCCATATCACGGGTAACTGCGACGGTCTGGACAAGGAACTTGTCCTTGCACTTGGCATCGGTGGCAGGTTCATCCTTCATAGCCTGCAGAAGGACTAAATAGAAGTGTTAGCAAGATTGTCCCCGGGAAAGAATATGACATGTGCCAAAGAACAACCCACCCTGGACCTCCACATTCTTTCCAGGCTCAATGCGGCCAGAGTTCGGGCGAACACAGTAGCTAGGAGGTGATTAGTTGTCATCCAACAGTCGGAACGGAGGGAGTAAATCGGTGCGTACTGCTTCGGTGCGGTGGTTTTGACCTATTCACAGAGTCCATGGTTAGTATGCGATCAAGGATTAGAGGGGGTTCTGGCATCCATACCTTGAACACAACGGGTTCGGCGTTCTCGTTATTCAGGTGCAGGACCTGGCAGACTTCACGGTTGAAGGGGCCTGTGTCTGATCAGTCCGAATGTTCCCAGAGATAGGGAGGTCATGATTCCGGGGCAGCACTCACGCTGGAAGCCCAGCTCAGGCGGGTCGAGGATGACAGACATTGCGAAGGCGAAAGCGAAGGTGAAGGCAGCAGCGCGAAAGGGTTAGGGATGCGCGGACAAACAAAGTGGCCAGAGAAGAGCAGTGAATCCAAGGGTTGAGGACAGAGGGTAGCGCGCTGTGGGGAACAATTTAAGCGGGCGAAGGGCGGCCAGACAAGAGTGGATAATGGGAGGGATATTAACACGGCCGACAGATTATTATTAGAAAGGCGTAGGGGAATTGTGATTGAAAGTCGTTTGGCTGTCTTGCGATTTCAGGTGTCCAAGGTGTCGACACTGGCTGACTCAGCAGTCACAGGGCCGCCGGTCAGGTGATGTCATCACGGGGATCTCCTGTTCCTTTTCGGCGGCTTCCTCTTCCCTTCCCTCACTCACTCACTACACCGGAGTATTCTCATGGCTATTAAGAGACGCGATGCCTTGACTTTACTATCAATCTAGACATTCCTTTTCAATGTCTCATATCTCTCACACCCACCCAAACTGACCCAGATCGAATTTCCCCGTTCGGACTATTGTTCTTCGGGATCCACCGGTGCACATCCTCGGAACCTTTTCCAAGAGTCTCCTGAACCAAAGACTCGGGGCACTAAACAATACATGTGATGAGGATCTTGCATCAGCTGGAGTCGCTACTTCACGGCTAATCTGGTTTGATGATATAATCGCCAGTCTCTTAATCTAAACAATAACTTCATTCACCTAAACCACCCGCTAGAACTAACTCCACACCGAACGACCTTTTCACGTGGTTGATATTGACGGTATTCAAATGCTATTGGTATTGTTCAACTAGCTACACTGTACTCAGATAGTGAGGGACGGACTCTAAGCGAAGGGATCTCGCTATACTTGGACCCCTGTGGAATATGACCTGCTGCGTCCGATCGAAGAGGATGTTGAGTATTGCTTCCTTGTATTTTGCTGGCCATCTATGCCCCTGAAAAGTAGACCAATACGTCAAGAATATTCCCATTCACCAAGCAATCTGGCGTCTTCCGTAGGTCTGCTCATTCCGGTAGAAAGAAGTATACTTCTCCGAAGTTTCAGCGCAGTGCGGGTCCTCCGCTCGTTCCATCGTTGCTAGCGATACGTCACCTGCAAGCTCACCTGTTCTGATCTCTTCACCTTTACTACCTCTACGTCGACCGATCATCCTTGTCTCCTTTCTGTACTTCCACATTATCTCCTTAATTACCGAAACACTTTGTCCCTACAGCTACCTTTGCATTTTCCGGACAACGCGCTCGCTTGATATATTACCCCGCATCCTAAAGCGTCACGTCTCGATCGCATTCTTTCACCTTCCATCTACCGACATCGTTGAGTTCAGTGCAAAATGGGCTCCTCCGATCTAGACCAGCTCATTGAGATGGGCTTCGACAAGGAGAGGGCAGAGCTGGCCGTGGCCAAGAGTGGTGGTCGTACGTACTTCCCGATCAGCGTTTGCTACAGTGACTTGGATCGTTTGAGTAACCCTCACTAACCCCGAACCACCCCCAACAGTGCAAGGCGCGCTCGAATGGCTCGAGCAAAACCAAGACAAGTCAATCGAAGAGATCAAATTGACTGCAACCAACGATGATGCGGAGGAGGGTCCCCCGTTGCAGCCTGGCGAAGAAGCGAGAAGCTTGGTTTGTAATAAATGTGGCAAGAAGTTCCGAAGCCATGCGCAGGCCGAATTCCACGCCTCCAAGACCCAGCACGTCGACTTTGAGGAATCCACGGAGGAACTGGCACCGTTGACCGACGAGGAAAAGAAGGCCAAACTGGAAGCGCTTCGGGCGAAGTTGGCCGAGAAGCGGGCTGGACAGTCTGAACAAGACAAGGCCGACAAGAAGAGAAACGAGGTAAGCGGATACATGCAGGCAAACTTCTTCTAGGCGATGACAGCCACTTACGCACCCTTCTTTACCACAGGAAATTCGACGAAAGGGCAACAAGGATTCGCAAGACGCTAAGGAGGAGCTCCAGAGAAAGCAGCAAATGAAGGAGGCGGCGAAAAAGAAGCAGGAGAAGCAGGATGACATCGAAGCCAAACGACGCGTCAAGGCCAAGATTGAGGCACAGAAGGAAGAACGGCGTTTGAAGGCCGAGCAGGAACGAGCAGAACGAGCTGGTGCGGCGCCTCCCTCTCAACCGGCAGCTGCTCCTTTGCCCACCAGCTCTGGCCCCGTGGCATCCAAACCGGCTTCAGCGTACACGGAAACTCGTTTGCGATTCCAGACCTCTAAAAGCAACGTCATGAAGACACTCCCGGTCACTACCACTCTATTCGAGGTTGCTTCGGCTTTGGAACAGGAGGATGGCATTCAAGTCCAGAGCTTCTTGCAGACATTCCCGAGGAAGGTGTTTGATCAGGAGTTCTTTGGGGAGTCTCTTAAGGACCTTGGTCTCATTCCCAGCGCTAGTCTCGTAATCCAGTGATTTTAGCTGCTGTGGACCTACGTCACATCTAGTCATAATGAAAGAAATATTTGCTATGAAATTGAACAGAATTAAAGGTAACTTGAAGAGTTTAAAATAAAAAAACAAATAAAACTTCCCTAATGGCAACATCTGGTATTGTCTGTTAAATGGGAGATGGCGGTTGTGACGACAGAGCACGTGATGTCGCGATAAGGCCGTGTCGCTATCGGCTCCTGCACGCGTCTGCCTCAACAGCTGCCTGCTCTCTCCTCCACTTCATCCATCTCTCCTATATAACTCACTCGGAAGACCATTGGATGGTTGATTATCGCGGAGAATAATTTGTCCTACTATTATGCCCGCGTGAGTTTGCCACAGCCCCCCTTATCCCCTTCCATCCACCCCGGCTCTAACTAGAGCTAACCGCGTCCGTAGCGTTGGTGACCAACATCGCGGTGGTCCAAAGAGCGTCATGATGCCAAACGCGAACGGATCTACTACAGGAAACCCTTTCGAGGAACCCCAGCGACGCATGAACGAATATACAGCCCAAGAAATCGCCACACTACAAGCACGCCTTGATAAGAAACTGGGCCCTGAATACATCTCGTCGAGACCAGGTGCGGCTGGACAAAGGGTGCACTATCTATCTGCCGACAAATGCATCAACCTGGCGAATGAAGTGTTCGGGTTTAATGGCTGGTCCAGCTCGATACAGAATATTCAGATCGATTTCGTATGTCTCATGGCAATCATCGCCCGCGGGGTCGACCGAGGGAACCGCAATGCTGACCTCAAATAGGTGGAAGAGAGTCAACATACTGGCAAAATCAGCTTGGGATTATCCGTAATCGTTAGGGTTTCTTTGAAAGACGGAACTTTTCATGAGGTATGTCGACTTATTGTAGCTATTTTGCCTAGCTCAAACCAGAAGCTCATGTGTTTATTACTTCCAGGATATCGGTTACGGTCACATCGAGAACTGCAAGGGCAAAGCTGCAGCTTTTGAGAAGGCGAAGAAGGAAGGAACTACCGATGCTCTTAAGCGTTCGCTGAGGAACTTCGGTAACGTCTTGGGAAATTGTATCTATGACAAAGATTATGTTTCGAAAGTCACCAAAGTGAAGCCCGCACCGGTATGTGTTCATCCCATAAGTACACTGTACGCCTTTACCTAACAATCCTGCAGGCGAAATGGGACATGGATGATCTTCATCGGCATCCCGACTATGCCCCGATCAAAAAGGAACCCGTTCAACCACGACCGGCTCCAGAAGATGACGACCTTCCCCCTCGTCCTGCGAATGCTCAGAGGGCAAACAGTTCTAAGGATTCTGCGACTTTCGATGGTGACGGGGAATTTGGAAGTATGTCAAAAGAGAAACCCCTAGGCAAACTATACTTGCTAATGACAATAGGTGATCTATTTGATGAAGCTGATTTCGGGGAGGCCACGAATGGGAACCCAGATGAAATAGTGCTAGGCCCAGAAACGCAGAAATTCCAACAACCTCCCACTCCCCTAAACGGACCAAATGCCTACCGGGGACCCCAAGGGAACTACGCCCGGCCTCCGGTAAGGCCTAATTCTGCGGTCGTGACACCTTCCAAACCGGAAAGGCCCTCTCCAGCACCTGGGGCCAGGCAAATACCTGCACCCGCGCTCAATGCCCGAAACGTTCCCAATGCGGCTCCAAATCCGCAACAAAACTTTACCAATGCAAGGCCCATGCCACCAGGTCAGTCTAGACCAAACCAAGCCTCTGCCTTAGCCGGCACAGGTGGTCAAGTGCCGATCAAACGAGAGCCGGGGCCACTGTCCAATGAAACCAAACCACAAGACATGCTTCCTCCCGGGAGCTCACCCGCTCCATCTGCTGGCTTCTTTTCCGCCCGGGCGGTCGACATGCTCAGGGACAATCCGAACCCTATGGCGAATGCCGCGCCTGCCTTCGATCCTCATGCCGAAAGTCCCTCCATCCGCAAAACAGCGGGCGTCGACCACACCAAAAGCGTGCCGATTTCGCGGCCTATGCTGGCAGCGGCCTCGCCATCTACTAATAATTCCCGAGACTTTGTGAATCCCTCTACAGACGCACATCGAAGGATCGGCGCACCCGGGGCTAGTGGTGTCGGCAGCCCCATGAATAGAGGACCGTCAACTTCATCCTATCGCCCACTGACGCGACCCAATATCGACCCACGCAGCGTCAACAACAACGCAGCAGCAGCATCAAATGGGGCCAATATAGGGGCCCAGGGTATGCCTCATAATATGAACGGAAAGCGACCTCCCCTAGGGGATGTGACGAACGCAACTCACCCCGGTGGAGGCAGTAGTGGGCCTGTTCCCAATGGCATTAATGATCCCAAGAGGGTGAAAATGGCCGATGGTTCAACGATTCAACAACCGCCGCAACAACCGCTGCAAAAACCACCCCAACAACCCTATCAGAGATAATAGAAGTTGAATGGGTGATAAGAGAATATACCCAACTGACCGCCTTATGTGATGATTGTTAATTTTAATTTCGGTACTTTGAATGGTGACTCGGCGTTCAGGATGCAGGGCAAGGACAAGGACCGGGGTCAAGAAATGGCTTCTTTTTTGCAGGATTGTTGATTTGATTTGAACTTTTATTTTCATCGATTGGCCTTGTGTAATTTCGTTTCCTGGCTATTCCTCCGTTTCCCCTGGAGTGGCATTTTTATCTTCTATATGGAGGGGCATTACAGGAAGTTGACAGCTACCTGTCCAATTGTCAAAGGGGAAACAAACCATTGATATTAGACATAGTTAGGCAGTAACTTAGTTGAAGAGAACGAACCATGTCTTTGAGATGGAGTTCTATCGTACATGCATGACATTTCCACAATTCCATTAGATGCCCGTCTTTATTTTTCTCTCTCTCTTTTTATTTTTCCGTCTCAGTGGAGGAATTAGAGTATCAGTGAATGTCAAAGAAACAAAAATGTGCTTGTGAATACATAGAACACAACAAGGTAGAAAAAGAAAAGATCATGACAACGAAGAAATAAATGCTGATATGCGCCAGGTGTTCCCCTATGACCATGAGGGTTCAGGCGATGACGCAGCATGAATTGACAGCTACAATGCTTTTTAATTAGGGTCTGTCATTCGAACAGGCTTTGATGGGGCTCGTCGACGGAAGAAAATGCTGTCGGTCACAGGAGGGAAGGGGGTCTCCGTTTTGCTGGCAGACGGCCAGATCGGGGATCTACTGGAACCTTCAGATGCATCTGTCAATGCCCGATGAGATCGCTTGCGCGATTGAACTTCGGATTTCACTATATCTATACTTAATAGGGGTAGTTGTCTTGGTGAAGGGTCTGGGATGAAGATTAGAACTAGAATGAGGGCTGGAGCGAGAGGGAAGACATACCATCATCCTTCATCCTTGCTGTTACCTCCATACGTTCACGTCTACCTTGGCTACCAGGAAGCATATTCCAGTTGCCAATAAGGCTAGGCTTGACCGCAGGTTGTATTGTCGGCTGTTCCTTCTCAACAGGTACCGCAAACTGCGATGAACCGCTTGAAATAGTGCGCGTTGGCGAACGATGATCTTTGAAAGATTGTGGAACAAACGCTGCGGCCTTGACACTCAGGCGACTTGGGGGACTTAATGCCGAAGGTCTATTTCCAGTCGGGGTGCTGTCCGTAGATTGATTGGGTACCTGAGAACCCTGGGTCCCAAAGCGTGGAGGTGTCGGTGTTTGCGGATCGTTCAAGAGCTTGCTTTGAAGCTCATCTTTGCATTCCTGCAAATTTTCTTTTTGTTTATCAGAAATGCTTGTTGATTTTAGAAGCTTACAGAGCATCTCCATATCCTCACTTCTGGATGACTCGTTCCCCTTGGCCATCGCTGAAACTGCATGGAAGTCAATCCGTCTTGCCGGGGTCGGCTGAGTTGGTTCCTGTTTTGGGGTCTGAACCTGCTGCGCAAAATCTAGACCTTCCAGGTCTTGAAAAGAAGGACTCATTAAGGGATCATTCTCATTGCCATTCTGTGCGGAGCTCTTTGTAGGCGTGGCGTTAACATCCAGAAGTATTCCATGCTTGTCTTGGGCGCTCTTAGCGTTGGATATCTCTTTCAGTGGTTTTGTAGAGCCTTCAGAAGACATTTCGAACTTTATCTTTGGCACAGAAGTTTGTACAGGCTTTGAAGGTCTTGGTGTTATCTGCGGCTCTGGGTTTATGACACGCTCGGAAATCGGTGTTGAATGAGCTTTGTCATCTTGACGCCCATGAACCGAATAGTTCGAAGAAGGCAGTCGGACCGTCACGAGAGATCTTGCAGCCGATTCATGTGATCCTTTGGGGTTAGCGGTCTTCTCATCCTTGAAAATACCACTCGAGCGAACCGAGGAAGTTGCTGACCTATTCTGAGGATGGTTTGCCGGGAGGTTGGAAGGGGCATGGGAATCGGCAGCACTGTCATCTTTAGGACTGTGAGTCGAGCGAGTCAGGGAAGTAGCCAGCTCCGTCGTGGGATGCTTAAGGACCATCCCTGATGGTTGCCTAGGATGCATTGTGGCGTCATTGGTCTTATGGATTGAATCACTCAGGGAAGTACTGGGCTTCTGAGAAGTAGGGGCCTTGCTGTCATGGGGGGCCTCATGGGCTTTTTGATTCGATTGAGTAGTCATGCCCGGAAGGACATATTTTTCGAACAGCTCAGATGAAAGGTCTTGACGAGACTTCTTGTCATCGGCAGGCTGGTGAGTTGATTCACTCAAGCCCGATGAAGTGCGCAGCTTCTTCTGCGGAGGCTGTTTTGTGCTTAAGGGAGAGTTGTCGCCACTGCCATTATTAGAAACAATTTCATCAGCAACAAATAGACTCTGTGAAGGCTTGGGGTTCTCGAGACTGCGCTTGGCTGCGTCGCGCGCAGCTAGGAAAGCTGCCGGTGAACTCATTTCCACAGCAAATTCGGGCCTGTTGCTGGGATCAGATGGGCAGACTGGGCAAAATAGTGAGACTTACGCTGGTCTTCTGGTCCTCAGGGAAACAGGAGGTGGTTTTTTGAATGCTGAAATCGTGGAGAGAATGTACTCAGCTTTGATACCCTTCACAACTTCATAAGACAACGTACCTCCTTTGTTCACATTGTGCTTCTGGTTCTCATTGCTAGCTCCCCGCAAAAGATTCACAGACGGCTTTCGAGATAGAGTGGGTTGTCTCGAGGATGCCTCGCTATTCTTGCTTATAGCAGACACACTAGCACTTCAAGGTATCAGCCCGCGTATATTATTAGACCAAGAGTTATCAACTCACCTGCGCAGCGAGTAGCGCTTCGATGTCCCCACACTAGTATGATTTCCTGCGTGCATCGAAGGTTTTGGCACCGCCTTCGAAGCAAAGTTGCTTCGATCAGCTCCTTGTGTGTATGATGGAACATTGCTTCCGCGAATGGCAGCATTCAACTGGAACCGATGGCTCTGCCCGTCGAGAAGGCTGTCCAAGTTTTCCAAATCTTCGGTGTCACCTATGCCTTTGTGGACGTCTTCCCTCGGGTGTTAGCTACAAGAACCGCTTAAATGACTGAGTGCAAAGCGAGTGCACTTACTGGCCCATGCTGAGAGCTGTTCCTTGTTGGCTTCGGCTTTCCGATATGCGTCGGAGCCCTGCACATTGGACATGCGACCGGCCTCTAAGAATTGCAACGAAACGTTGTTTCTTCTTTTGATGTCTGCGGTGGAAATGTACTCGCGTCTGGCAGACCCAAGGTCCTCCTGTGGATGATATGGTCAGAGTCCGACAAACACAAGTGATCATGAAAGGTCTATGGAAATGCCTACCATCTGCAGCTGCCTGAGCCGCTCAGCGCGTTTTGCGGCTTTCTCATCTTCTGGGTCCATGATGTCTCTTGTTAGATGACCAGAGGTATGAAGATAGACCAGAGTACCCAAAAGTGATGGGGGGATTCAATGTTAGGGAGAATTGAGAAAGGTAAAGAGGGAGTAGAGTGAGTAGAGGGAAGGTTTGAAACGAGTGAAAGTGTTAAGGAGCAAGGACAACTGCTTGCCACGTGAGCAGGCGAGGCAGAAAATTAATGATTGATGGTGTAAACGCAAAGAGAAAACGTGCGGCGTGAGACAGTGAGACTTGTGGAAAAGGTAAACGAAAGACGGCCGCCTGAGGCCTTGAGACACGGGACAGAAGGCGGGCTTGATGGAATGTTTCTGTTATGGCACGTTCGACAACATAATGTGGATGAATGAGATATTTCTACACAGAGAGAGGGAGAGAAGAAAAGAGAGAGTGAGTGTGAGGGAGAGGGGGATTGGTAAAGGTGAAGATCAGATGGAGGTTGGAGGGGGAGAGGAAAGGGAAGCAGAGGACAAACGCCGAGAAGAGGAACCATACTTCTTGTTTTGCAGTGTGCATCCTACACAGTCTTAGTCCCGTTTGCATCAAACGTGAATACCGGTATGGCAATCTACACTGTATTTTGCACGCTATAGGATATGGATAGACCCGGTTTATTGCGGCTAAGTGAAGAATTAGAAATCACCACTTCCACACATACTGGATATTCCCATTTATTTTGAAGAAATTACCGGAGATTGTCTTACGAGACGCATAGCCAAATCTACTGATTGAAGCCCATGTCCAGGACTATCAGCCTCGTTTATGAGAAGTGCAATCCACCAGGTGTTAAATAGCATGACCTCCAGATGGCCCTGTGGCGCAATGGCTATATAGAAAAGCGTTTGTTACATTTAATCTCATATAGTGTAGTAATACATCGAACTTCCTTCCAGGTCGGGGAAGTCAGAAAGGCCAGGCATGGTGACCCATAGGAATCTGGGGGATTTGGTACGGGTATAGCTATCTTTATGTACAGTTGCCTGGTAGCAGCGAAAGCAGAATTCTATCCGGCTAATAAGACACAAATTTACACTGGCTAGGCACTACAAGTGCTTGCGCCTCCGTCATCTATCAGGCGAGGGTCAGTTGTCAGTAATCTCATTCTAGAATGTGGTAGATGAATGTTGGTCATATACGCACTTCTGATCATTTTGGCAATTGCCTGCAGTAGACTGACACCCATGACGGTTATTCCAAAAGCAATACACACGTACGCCGGTATCTTTGCCTTCCGACTATTGTTACTCAACTTGATGTAACATAGAGGCGGAAAGATGTATGCCAATGCCGAGGCACTGGTGGCCCCGATTAGCTCAAAGACTGCGCCGAGATCGCAGGTAATGAGAGCCATGGCCATCGAAGTCAAAATCAGTGCGGTGGTAAATATCAGATGGCGGTTCATATTGAACGGCTCGTCCGGGAAATAATAGGTTGTCATGACTGATCGACATACAAACGCCTCCAGAGGCAAGGTCGTGAGCATGTTTAGGCCAAAGCAGCTATTGCGGTTAGCTCGACCGAAAATCACAATAGACCGCCAAGGAACCTTACAATCGCGCAATGTTAACCATGATGTTGTCGGACGGAAAGTTGTTGAGCACATTGCCTTGGGTTTTCGAGCCAAAGAAAAGGAATCCCGATATCCCCATTGTCAAGCACATCAGCAGCGAGATTCCCGTGGAGTAATGAGTCACCATTGCGAAGCGATCCATAGTTGGTTTTTTCAAGGAGCCGTAGATGAGAAGACTGTTATGGTCTGAAGCTAGTCAGTTTGGGTCGCTGTCTAATCCAAGACACAGGGCTACCTACGGCAAACAAAAGCTGTCCAGTGTTAGCTTTACGGAAGTTCTTAAGTAGCTGGTACGGTGAGAGCGTGACATACCAAAAGAAATCACACCGACAGCTTGGAAAAAGCCAGAGTTTACCAGGAGCAGACTTTTGACCTCTCCTCTAGAATCCGACGTGACACGGAATCCTTGAGTGAGCACAGCCACCAGAATCACAATCATACTTAGTAAGGCCAGTGTGGAAGCTTTCGCTAGCTATATGACTGTTAGAACCTGAAAGCCCGATAGTGTAGGAGACCAAACCTTCGCAATATCTCGATACAAAGAGAGCGGGTACGAAACACCCAGGACAAAAAGCACGATAGTGGCGCGCCTGTCGGTAAGAAGCCAAAGGAACGACATATCTCGGAGGGAGGGGAACAAGGCGCTGAATACATGTGGAATGGTATCTCCTACAATAATACAAAATGCAATCATGCCACCGAACGCAAAAGCCCATTGGGCAATCGAGATAGCAATGAGGCCACTTTTGCCAAAGCAATGCTGCATCGTGGCCTGAAAGGAGTCCGCGCCGCTCAGCTTGGAGTTGACCACGATGAGACGGATTGTCCAATCCACCACAATGGTCAGAGCAATCAGAAGCGCAAGACCTGTTATCAAGCCTGCCTGCTTCAGTGCGTAGGGTTGACCTATGATTCCGGCGCCTATGATGCTGTTGGCCATGTTCATGAATGCCATGCGCATTCCGCTCCGGGGGCGGGCATCTTCTAGGTATTGTTCGGGAAAGAAATCCTCAGACGTCGCGAGAGTCACACTCGGGGCTTCGATATCGGTCAGAAGAGGCACCATCTGTCCCCTGTTATTCCTTCCAGATCGATTTCCGCCGTCGCGAGCGTAATCTTCTTCCTCCAACCACGGCGAGTCCTCCGAGGTGCGGGTATATGCGGCCGGTTGCTGATCATCTTCTGGGTCGTCCTCAAGATCGAATCGAACCCGGTTTGTGGTGCGAGGAGGGCGACGTTGTCCGTCAGGCGTAGGTTGAGATATGGAGGATTGTTGCGGCGTTGCATTGGGGAGTGCGGAGGGCGAAACCGGGGTTGCGTTGACGGGGTCAGGACGGGCTACAAGCTCATGTTCTTCGTTAGGGGTCCCTGGAAATGAGAGGGATCCATCTGGCCTGTCAAGGCCATCGTGGTCAGCCAAGAGCGATTCCTGTCCTTCATCCCTGGGCATTGCGGGTTGTGATGGATGATTCTATTGCCAGACAGATTACAACTCCACGTGTAAATGGCATGTTTTGGCGCCAGGTAATCACGGGGGAGACACGTGATGTCTTATCGATAAGGAGCTATAGAGATAAGATAAGCTCAATAGCCCGCCGATAACCGTCAATAGACAGACTCGCGCTCTCTTCTTCTTGTCTCTTCAATCTCTCTTTGTTGACATTCTAGTTATCTATCTATCTATCTATCATCTCTAATTCTTCGATCGTCGGAATACGGCTCTATACTTTCCATCTCCCACGACTGCGCGCCCCTCTCCGCAAGGCAAAAATCCAATACCCATCAGATATTGCACACTCTTCTCCAGAGCCATAACGGTGTCTTGTCGGTATAAATAATCGCCGATTTGATCCTTCGGCGGGACTGGGGTCAATTGCCAGTCATCGGCATCAATACACTGGAGCAAAGGCGTGAAGGGGTGATCCAAGGGATTCTGGTCAACTTGTTCCCGTAAAGAGGCGAGCCACCGCTGATGATCTTGTGTGCCAATTCGAAGGCCAGTCTGGTCACTTAGAATGTTGCAAAACTCATATACGGTGATGCCCTGTCGACAATCGACAACGCTTTTAGTGTTTTTATGGAACACCCCTGCAACGACGAGAGATGCGATCTGATCAGCCCCAGCAACGGGAATCCACAATTTCTCCAAATCTTCGCTCACGGCGCCGAGTGATACAATGCAGTAGGCCAGGCGCCATAGGAAATCCTCCGTGTGGGCGATGCCCTCCCATCGTGTGCCGACGATGAAACCTGGCTGAACAATCCGAATTCGAGGCCACTCGAGAGATTCTTTTGATTCGAGGCGACTGTTATATTCCTCGATAATCAAACGCGAAAGGTATTTTGTTTGGTCATATCCGCTCGCTGTGGAGAGCTTCTCTCCGATTTGATCCCTCGTGTCTGTGGGAAGTGGGAGATAGCCCCCTGACACGTAGGTGAATGGACAAGGCACTGGCCTATAGGAATATGCTTGCAAAAGCGCGACGGTACTGTCGACGTTGGCAGCCTTCAGTTTGTTGTAGTCTTCCAGCCAATTGACGCGTGCCCCGTTATGGATGATACCATCAATATGTAGCTCCGGAGCCCTCCCACGCAGGCAATTCCAATTGTTCTGGCTCAGACCCAGTTTGGGCTTCTTTAGATCGCCCAACCAGACAATAATTCGGGAATCAAAGTCACCCTTCCACCAGCCGCCAGCCGCTGCCTGTGCATGAGTTCTTTCCCTTGCATCAATCTCGCTGTCTGCGCGTACCAGTCCAACTATGCGATCGACTTCTGGATTATACAAAAGAAATCGCAAAATCTGAGTGCCGAGAAAGCCCGTCATTGATGTCAGGAAAATTGTCCGCCCACGGATATGCAGATTGGGAAATTGGGTGCTCTGCATCAGGTTGTCGAGTTCCCGAAGAATGTCCCTCTGCGATGCGCCTTCCGCGCTCTCAAGGTTCTGTAGCAGGTGCTCCTCCAGCTGACATACAGTGATGCCGGATTCCAGCAAAGTCTGGATGCTAACACTTTTCTGCCAACGGCGACGGATCCAACCAGCTAGATATGCCAGCTGGATCGAATTCAAGCCCACACTGGAGAGACTGAAGTCTAAGCCCTGAAGAGTCTCCGAGCTTGAGTCCTGTGAGCCGATGATCAAATCCGAGATGGTTTTGCTAATCTCAAGAGCTATCGCACGCCTATGGTCAATCTTCGGCCATTGATGAAGTGCCTTGCCACCAGGTCTCAGCGCCACGAGCTCAGTGGAACTGAGCTGCGTGAACAGTGATCGCAGCTGGGGCCGATCAATCTTTTTGGACTGATTGCACGGTAGCTCTGGCAGGGGTATGTACACCGTCGGTACCATGTAGCGTGGCAGTGTTGACCGTAACTTCTCACTTAGCTCGCCAGCAGAGACTGATCTAGGATCAACGTTGCCCACTTCCACAAAGGCAATAATCTCCGTGGTGTCATGCCGGTCATTGCCCCCCGCCGCTATCACAGCTGCACGTCCGTGGTCAAGGCAAGAGCTCATCGCTATCTCCACTTCCCCAAGATCGACTCGAAATCCCCGAATCTTGATAAAACCACTTTCACGCCCGCAGTAGGTGATACTGCCATCCTGCTCACACCGGGCTAGATCGCCAGTCCTGTAACATCGAAGGCTGGTGTCGCCTCCTACCTGAGCGGCGAAGTTGGGAGCCGGTAGGAACACATTTGCACTTGTCGCGGGCTCATCTAGATATCCTCTCCCGAGGAAGGGGGTCTGGATAAGCAACTCGCCCTTCACGCCGACCGGCTGCAACTTGCTGACATCGCTTGGATTGACGACCCAGCAGTTGGCACCAATTCCCCGACCGATGTTCTTTGCGCTATCGCTGCGGATGATCTCGAGCTGAATCGTATCCCATATGCCAGTTTCACTTGTCCCGTAAATGTTGCTGAGCCGGACATGATTCGCCCAGCTGTCAATAATTCTTTGCGAGGGAGCCTCGCCGCCAATGTAAAGATTTCTAAGACAAGGTACTTGATTGGCTTGGAGTTGATCTAGAACGACTGGCGTTAAGGAAGCGTCGGTGACTTGAAGGGCCTCCATCACCGATTCAAGAGTCTCGACTCGTTGTTTCTCAGATGGCACGCACACCTGACCTCCGGAGACAAGGGGGCCAAGTATCTCACAGATACTAGCGTCAAAGGCAAAATCTGCAAATTGAAGAAACTTGGTACTTTGATTAAGCCCGAAGCTTTTCACAATCGCTCGTAGCCCACCGGAAACCGCATGATGCTCATGCATCACCCCTTTAGGCTTGCCTGTGCTGCCGGACGTGAAGACAATATATGCGAGACTGGAGGTATTGAGGTTAACTTCTCGATCCCAAGCTTTGGGAATCAATTCCAAGTCCAGAGAGGCTGGGTCAATCATTTGAATGCCTGACAAATCGATGTCCTCGAATCTCTGCTGAACGTGTCTCTCGGCGATGAAGAGTTTCGCCTCCACTCTCCCAAGGATATCGGACATTCGATGAGCAGAGCAACCCTCGCTGATCGGTACATATACAGCACCGGCACGAAGAATTCCCAGGATCGTGATGATGGCTAGTGTAGATTTGTTCATGCAAAATCCAACTCTACATCCAGGCTGAACACCAGCCCCCCGAAGAATGTCAGCAATGACGGCTGATTTCTGCCCCAGCTGCTTATATGTAACTTGTTCTCGAGTGTTCGAGACTGCGACTTCAGTTGGTCGCTCTCGATAGTGTCGACTGACTAGATCGTGGATGCAGGGTGATCGTTCTTCCTCACCACATATCGCCCATGACCGAAGTCGCTGAACATCATAAGAACTGATCAAGTCGAGTTCTGTGATTGGTGTTTCATTGCTATCCATGGCATTAAAGCTATGCTTCATAGTACCGATAATAGCTTGAAGAGGTATGTGAAACTGTCGGTCACAAGGCGAATAGACGCCGAAGGAGAGGCATTGGCTTGTCGGGCACACCGTCAACAGTAACGCAACCTCGTGAACTATCAGCAAGAGATAACGGCATCAAGATAATTTGGCTCTGACAAACATTTCCCAACTGCTGGAATAAAGACTCTAGCTCCTTGTGGTAGCAGACAGCATCCGTGTCGGAGGCCTCGAGAAAGAGGACTGCCGTATTAGAAGCTGAATCCTTGTCAGCAGACTCCCCACGTGTATCCTTGGCTTCTGAGAGGGCTTCCTGCAATTGTTGAACACTCCATTCATGCTCAATCCGAAGAGAAAGACTCTTAACAGCATTCTTTCCCAGCGGCTTATCTTCTGGACCGGCCCTCGCCACGACGAAGGAGACAAGAGGCGTATCGAAATATCTGTCAACGAGGAGAGCCCACGCAGATAGAACCCTGGTTTCTGCATCGCGGAATATCAAGCTTTGATCCCTCAGCACCAGCTCACGACCAGTCAGACGTCCAAAGTTCGCATCAACGGACTCTGGTCCATCCAGGCAGTAACGAGCTTCCACAACTTCTGACATTTTGATGATTGTAACAATCAAGTAGAACTTGCCTTCTTCAAACACACAATGCCTCCCATATTTATAGAGCTTCTTTGCCTCTCCGATAGGTCAAAATTCAGGGGGTGACGTAGAGACTATAAGTTGATGCAAGATCTGAACATTCCTCGATCTCAGAATTTTAGGCAACAAAACCTTGTATAGACCCTCATGACTGTACCAGGGTTACCATTTTGATCTTTCTGCACATTGATCACGAAAGAATTCTCTCCCTATATCAGAAACATAATGTCATTGGTTGTCATAACTATACTGTCTACCTCGGTAGAGAAGGGTTCTCCGGTCTTACCGAAGATCACAGCATGCGCCTTGCCTTTGGGTCCTTCCTTTTAAGGAAGTGCAGAGTCATGGAACTCAAACTCTTAGTAGGATTTACCGTGGACTAATTATTTGTCTCGTACTGTCATGCTGTATAGATACCAGCGAACTCCCTTGCATGACCTCAGCTCGACAGCATTCCCGTTGAACATGCAGCCCAACAAATTCGGTTTTGGATTGATAATGGAAAGTCTGAGAGGGGTGCCCTTATGCACGCTGTGCAAAGTTACTAATTAACGAGGTATGTCAGTTGGATCAAAGGAGAAAATCTCCAGCCTTATGAGATTTCATCAAAAAGTTTCGTCATTCCTCGGGAAATTGGTTTACAGCCAATAACCTGTTCGTCAGCCCCAATACGTAATTGGCATCTCTGTGCTTATTGCTCACATATATACTAATGCTGAAAGCTTATAACAGAAAGATGACCACTGACCGATTCAAAATATCTTGAATGTCTGCACCTCGTTCTACTACCATTCAGCTAGTCAAGCTCATATCTTTATTTTCTTTTCTCTCAACTGGCATTGTCATTCAATCGGTTATTATGGCCGACTTACTTGGTCTTGGAGATGTGCCGCCTCGAGGCATAGATCCAGCTCTCGCTGAGAGCTGGATCTATGAATCCCAGGCTCAAGATATAGCCCCTCATCGGAACGTGGGCAGGTAGGTAATAGTCGTATCTGTTTTTTCTTTTTGTCTTTCTACTAATGCAAACCTATCACATCACCTTAGCTTCGTCAACACTGCTTGCAGCGAAACAGCCCAGAACCTCACCAAATTGAACTTCCAGAAGAACCAGGCCTGTGTCGAAGAGTATGCGTCTATTTCAGAGTATGCCAGCTCGTTAGGTCTTTCGAATCTCATCAATTAATATCCTCGTCAGATGTGCAGAGAGATGCCTGGCGATCATTGGCCATCTGTGGAATTATGAAGGCGAAGATCCAGTCGCCGGGACAGCTACGAGTGGATCTTCTGAGGCCATAATGCTCGCTGGCCTGGCCATGAAGAGGTCCTGGGAGGAAACGTCTGCCAATGCAGGGCGCCCCAACATTATCTTTGGCTCGAATGCACATGTATGCGTGTTCAAGCTAGCCAACTATTTCAACATGGAAGCGAGAGTTGTCTCAGTAAGCGAAGCTACGGGTTTTGTATTTGATGTATCGAAGTTGCCAAGTCTAGTAGATGGCCAGACCGGTGAGCTTCCTGTATATCCGAGCAAGATCTCTATTTCCAACTAACTGAATTAGTGGGAATCTTTCTTACCCTGGGTAGCACATTTACTGGTCATTATGATCCAGTCGCCGATGTGTCACAGACACTTTCGTCATATAAGATGAGCACCGGTCGGCATGTTCCCATCCATGTTGACGCGGCAAGTGGTGGTTTAGTCGCGCCATTCGATCACGGCTCCAGTCACCGTCCCTGGTGAGTATAAAATCAGTATAGCCAAGCGGGAATACAATGACTGACAAAACATATACCACCCCAGGGATTTTCGGAACAGCCATGTGCAGTCGATCAATACGTCAGGACACAAGTTTGGCCTATCATCCTGCGCCGTAGGCTGGTTAATCTGGAGGGACCGGTCTTGCGTTCCACGGAGTCTCCAGATCGAATCAAACTATCTGCGAGGAACACGCACGGACTTCTCTTTGAGCTTTTCTCGATCCACTGCTCCCATTGTGGTCCAGTATTTCAATTTCCTTGTACTGGGTTCTGAAGGATACCGCTCGAAAGTCCTTGCCCTCCTTGATAGCGCACGTTCATTTGGAAACTTGCTTGAAGGCACCTCGCATTTTCGCTGTCTTAGCCCTGTACAGCGTCAGTCATCCATGTTGGCACATTGCAAAGATCCGTGTCGTTCATGCTCGGAAAATTGTGCGGCAAATCAGCCGCTCAGTCACTCTCATTCCCAGGCAGGGATCCCTGTTGTGGTATTTACTTTCAAGCATGACTACCAGACAAGCCATCCCTTCGCGGCCATTTCCCGCCTGAGTGATTGGTTATACGAACGTGGATTTTCTGTCCCTCGTGAGTCTCATCCTGTCCAGTAGATCTTCTCAAATCGACCTATTGACGCTGATGGTTGCCAGATTATGTTTTGAATGGCTGGGGGATGAACGGCGATGACATTCACGTTCTTCGAGTCGTAGTACGAGAGGATGTTGTTCCTGAAATGCCAGTGTTACTCGATCTCCTACTAGAGGGAATGGCATATCTCGAAGGGAAAGGGTGGGAATGAGCGGGTTCAATTAGATTCCACATGACTTGGCTTTGTCTTGCCTTAATGCCATGTCAGGCCGACAGGCATCCAGCTAGTATCTTTCTTTTTCGGCTTCGGAGACTCCCGTTCAACCCAACATTTGGTGTACTCTCGTTTCTCTTTTGGCAGCCCATCTAGAAAGAAGTTCCTCGTAATGACATTCCATTTGAATCTCGGAGCAGAAACCTTCTCTTCATCCAGCTACGACTTGAATCTAGCTCTCCACGCCTCGGCCGAACTTTCCACGCCACCAGGAACTTGGAACCCATGGAGTACAGAAGAGTCTTTTAGAAAGGAACTCATCACAGGAACCATATGGGTCGATCAGGGTGCCTATTTCCAATTGCATCTCTACATCACTTTCGATTCGGAGCCAGGCATACTGCTTGGCTCAAACTCGAAGTTCTTTTCTTGGTTAGGTGATATTCTGGGCAAGTCGAAGGTACGGTACCTACAAACATATGTCCTAGGAACCAATTCGCATCTCCTTGTGCATCCATTCATCTCACAAAGTGAATTGACACTGCCTACAGTTCTGGTCCGAACTCGGTCTCGAAGTTTCATTCGAAGGTCCCAACAACATTCTACATGAGCAGCACCTCCCTCCGAATCCCTACCTATCATTCAACTTCCGCAAAAGCACCGGAAAATCTCCAGCATCGAAGACGTCGAGAATCCCCACCGCACTACAGAGCCCCTGCGACGCGCTCCGTGTCGATATGATCCCCACTGTCTTCCTATCGTCAATCACCGTCAGACTAGAGTATACCAGTTCCGGCCAGCGCGCTCGCCAACTCCTACCGTCGTGCTTGGCCACCGAAACGGCGCAAACCCCTATACCGGATACCACCCTCTACAACCGTCCAGTGGGCACATTCCTCCACTACAATCCACCCGACTTCTCCTTCGACCCGCTTCAAATACCCACAGACAAGTTACAGTATATAGAAGAGGAACTGGAAGCCTTCCAGTCCCTGATCTCAGATACTGAACCACCTCCTGGACCTGGATCCAGCCCGCCGAGCTGCTTGCGCGAGCTAACTACACTACTCAACACCGCGTTGGTAACTTTGATCGTTGGAGCACGAAAATCCACCCGCAAAGGCCTTCCAAGCGAGCAAGAAACCCAAGAACAACACCTGATACCTCTCTCCCGCATTGCGCCATCGATTTTCAGTCCTGGATACCGCGACGTGAGTTCTCCCATACCCTCTTAAATCCACACACATGACTCAACCAGATCAACCGCTAATGCCATTCTGAGCCCCTACAGTCCATGAACCAACGAGCCCAGTTCATCCCCTCCGTCGCCAAATCTATCACGTCGATCATAAAACATAGTCGGGATCCAGGCCTCCAGAGCAACGCCATTGGATTCCAATGTTCTAGCCAATCTAAGCCAGAGGTAGAGGCCGAAATAAGCAACACACATGGCCATGATACCGCTACAGTGGGTCTCAAGAGCAAGCTAAAAACCTCGTTTTGGCGCGTCGCCGCCAATCAAGTTCTTACGACGCAGAGGTGCCGAAAGAAAAAGCGCAGTGTCCTGATCTTGGTCCCCGAGGTGGAGACGGAGAGCGAAGACGAACCGTCATTTGAAGATGAGATTTTGTTTGCTGCGACACCCACAGACGAGATTAGATACTCCCTAGGAAATGAAATTAATGGGGATGGGGGAGACTCTGATCGGTACTTAGGGACTGAGGATGGGGGTTCTATCTGTGATGGAACCGACGCCGAATCCTTTGAGACGATTGATAACGAGTGCAGTGATTATTCGGGAGATTTAATCGACTGTCATGAGAGGGAGATAGGCTGCGTCGACGGGTCTATATCTTTTTCAGAGGGTTTGGTGTATCATGGTCCGCAACGCAGTTGCGAATGGCAGTCCGATGATCTGAAACATCCACAAAGTCCTCTTCTCTTATCGGATGGGCCAATAATCGAGAACAACCCTCATGAGGAAGCAGACGAAATCATGCTATGCGATAACCTATAATCAATGTATAATTAGAATCCAAGATAGCTATATAGTGGAGATTAGTATCATATATCGAGCGCTTTCAAGAACTGGGCCGTTCTAAACTTGGAAAGCTATGATGCAGCAACTCCCCGGTCATGGTGACACGGGATGATCAAAGTCTCGTTTGGGAGTGCAGTAAAGAGCTAAGCATACGTGATCATAAAACAAAGTCTTAAATGAATCAAGAGAAAGCAAATAAGGGACCAACCCATTAAGGTCTCCGTCTGTCTAAGCCGGGGAGGAATGAAGACAACACCAACAATAATGAAACAAGCGTATCAAGTCCAGCATAACCTCCAAGTCCAACACGCTGCATCTTTGTCTTTGTCGGTATCAAAGTAGGTAGTAGTGGTTTTAGGAAGTCGAAAGTAGATAAAACATATTATAATGCGCCGGCTCAATGCACTGGTCTTTGAATTTCAATCAATAATTCGGTGAGACTTGTTGAAAAATTCGCTCAAGATGGGTGAAAAAAGACAAATCGGGTCGTAAGGTCATCATTACGCAGCGGGTAGCTGTCGCTTAAGACACTCTGACTCCGTGAGGCACAGGAACAAGATGTCTAGGGAGCTTTCCGTTGCGTTCTTTCTGTTCTGGAGGTTTGGTAGGCTGCCACAAAGCTGCGCCGGAGATTCGAGCCGAGGGAACAAGCCTAGATGCATCGAATTCCTGGATGAACTTCTCGTCTAAAACTCTAGATTTGGGCCATGAGTAGTTTCGGTATTCGCTGAGAGCGTCGCGTAGTTCCCATCCCTGAAGTTTTCGGAAACAGGCCACCATGCAACCAGTACGATGCTAGGCAGATAGTTAGTTCCCGGAAGCCTGCGGAGTTGGTAGTAGCTGGGGACTAACCTTTCCCTTATTACAGTGGACAAGGACGGGATGATTCGCCTTATTGAGAAGGATTTTGAGCATGTCAATCACAACGCAATCGGAAGTTTTAACAGCAGGATCCTTGTTGGCCAGGATAGGGATGCGAAAATGTGCGATGCCGTTGTCTTCGAGAAATCTCGCGTGACTTGCGGTGTACGGCTCATCCACCAGAGTGCTGTGATCGTTAGACCTTTGGGCTCCAAAAGTACGATGATTAAGCCACATACACAATAGTTTTTAATCCCAAAGGCCTGAGAGCCGGGAGGTTCCAAGGATGAGGGAACGCGCTGCGATAGATCCCCTTGACAACCTCCCCGAAGTTGGCGGGCAGCTCTGGATGCAGAAGCTCGGGTTCCATCGATGAAGTGACACGACAGGCTTGCTTCTCTGTCACAGAGTAGATATATTAGTGCACTCGTGTTGATATTGCCAAGGAAGGAGGTGGTTTGTTTCTCTAGATCTTGCTTTTGGGGGCGGGGAGGGGAGGATCAGGAGACTCACCATTTTGCGCACCAGGCGAACCGTTAGCAGTACCCTCCGTCAACGGAGGCTTTGCCACACTAGTAATCATACAAACGGAAGAGCTTGAACTTGAGCTCCCTGAAAACGGGTTGATGGTTTCCATGTTGAAGTAGGTAGAGCTTCGTGGACAGTCTCGGGACGCGGTATCTCGGAATAGGGAACACGAACGCTGTGCGCGCGAAAATTTCCAGGCACAACTTAGCCTGATCAGGACCCAGTTGTTTTCCTAACTGGAAAATCAACAGATCTCGAGGGAGGCGAAGAGACGCAGTCTAGTCAACCTGAGAAAGACATGAGAAGTCTAACCCGGAGGTTCAGATAGACACGAGAGCTTGAAGAACCAACATTGTGAACAATGGGGAAGAAATTGTGGAAAACGACGATAAGACGCGTAGCGAAACGTGCAGCTCAACCACAGGGTAGTTGTCAGAAGCAGCAACAAGGAGGCGATAAAATGTTGACGGTGAAAGAGAAGAAAAAGGGAAGTGCAGTTGCAGATATGGGCGGTGAGCTGATGGGGGAAAAAATGAAGGGGAAAAAAAGGAAGCTGGGAAGCTGCGTTTGGAGGCTACTGCCGGGTGCAGGCTCCAGCAAACAAACCTCAAGCAGGAAAATATCAGGACGTCAAGATTGAAGAAGATCTAGAATTCAAGACACAAAAATAGTTTGAGAGGGTTTATTGGTGGGGAGAAGCTCTCTAGCTATTTTACCCACTTCGCCTGCAGAACGTGCTTTCCTCCGCAAAGGAAGTTTCCAGGCCCGAGATTGACTCATATCTTCTCGTCGGACACTGGTCAATCTGCTGTCATCGAGACCTGAAGAAAGCCACGGCTAGCCACTGGGAGCGACCCAGGGTTCGGTTAAATCAAGGATGAGGGACAAGGTCATTTCGATTGATTAAACCCATCGCATCCGTGGGAGAACAGAAAGGCTAAATAAATGTCTTGAGCAAGCCCAAGACAGAATTTATGTGTGTATTTATTAGACGAAACGGCAAGAAAGTAAGTGGTTGATGTCTACGCTCTAAACCAAAAGTGAATAAATAAAGAAAAAGAGATAAATCATCCAGATGAACAGGGTGTCGCAGGCTCATGGAAGATATACGCAGACCTTCGATCTACGACGCTTCTTCGCCAAGTCCGAACATTCGAATAGAGTTGTTCCACGCACTAGAAAAGATTAATCAGGTTAAGAATGGAGCCTCCGCGGAGTGGAAAGGTACGTACGCTTCGCACACCTCCTCCACGGTGATGCCCTTAACTTTGGCGATGACATGGGCGACATGAGATATTGCCACAGGCTCGTTGCGACCCTTGACCATGCATCCCTTCTGCCATCTCTCCTTCTTGACGGTCTTGGGGAGCGCCGTTGCCCCTTCCAAGTATTTGGCCGATGCGTGGGAAGGTCGGATTTCGCACTGCGTTCCAAATACAGTCAGCAAGCCGGTCGCATCCCAATTTCAAGCCCCAGAGATTCCACAAACCCAAGGACCATCTGTCTCGATCTGGATTCGGTCAAGCGGAATGGATTTGACCACTTCTAGGTTTTCCTCGGTCTTCAAACTGCACCCGTTGACCCCGATGTCGAGACCAATGGCCACCATACGGTTCATCTCTTCCAGCGTGCCCGTAAAGCTGTGCACCAGACCCCGTTTGGGAAGTTTCGCCAGGCGAGGCGCTAGTAGCTGCTCGAAATCCTCACTGGCTGCTCGGGAATGGAGGAAAAGAGGAAGCTGGATCTCCACCGCCAGATCTAACTGGGCGGCGAAATATTTGAGTTGAGGTTCTTTGGGACTGAGGAACAGGCGATCGTAGTCGAGACCGATCTCCCCAAATGCAACGGCGTGTCCGGCCTGTTTTGACTCCAGCGCCATAGTCTTCACTTTGTCCAGCATTTTTGAAGCACCCTCGGGATACTCATCAAATAGTTTTGCCTGACATGGATGTACTCCGACCGTCGCATAGCAGAAGCCCGCTGGAATCTCGCGTGTCAGTCAACTCTGTCGGACGTAGAAAAGAAGGCCCACGAAGGTATTGCACACATACGGTAGGCCTGAGCAAGTTCAATAGCACGCCGAGACTCCTCCAGATCCGAGCCGGTGACCATGAACTTCTCGCAACCGCCATCCCGAGCACGCTGGATGATATCGTCTAGGTCACTGTCATGGACTTGTCGTCCATGGTATTCCCCTCTGAAAACGGGATCGCTGAGATTGATCCCAATCTAGAGATTAAGGGGTCCTATCAGTTACAAGAACTAGATGTTATCCGTTAAGAGAGGGGCAAACCGACATCGACATATTTTAAAGGCTTACTAGAGTCGCCCATTCTGATCGATGCTGCGCTTCTGGGGGAGTCTGTAGAGAAACTGTGTCTGGTCTGAGCAATCAAGAGAGACTGATGCGGGACAAAGAAACTACTGCCAGATACTGCTTCTAAAGTGAGCACGAGACCACCGATTCGCTGCCCGTCTTCAAGGAGACATTGTTTAGGTGTGCGAAACATACCTGGTCTGGAGAGAGACAGGCGTTGATGCAACCGAGCAGTGTGTTTTACGCAGCCTAGAAAGGGCGTATTACTATTCCCAAGAGATCTCAAGAGACTGCCTACACCAAGAGCCACGTGCATTGAAGAACGTTAAAAGACTTAAAGTGCCGCCTTTGATTGTGGACCAAAAACCCTTCGGCAGCGCAACCCAAGATCCACACTGCGCCGATGATGTTGGAGGCAAAAATCGCGGGATCTCCAGCCACGGTGGCTGGTGCATGTGGTCTGACATAAGCGCCTCTCGGGCAACCAGTCCGCGTTCCTCGTCGGCGTTGGTCCGATTTCAGGCACCCAGGCACTCAGGCATGTAGGCATCCAGGCACCCCGGCACCCCGGCACCAGGTGGACGGAACTTACACCGTCTCGCTTCTCCAAATCAACTCGATTTATCAGTCACAGCATTGCATTAACCCATTTCTAAGCATATATTCACCTTATGAATTATACACCTAATTACGACTTCCTAATCTCGGGCCTCTCGCTGGTCTGCACCGCTCGGCGTCTTTTACCCCGGACCTCAGGCCGCAAGTGGAACCGGCGAGCATCAGTGGTTCTCCACTCTCGTTTTCCTGATAATGCGGAGGAGCTGCTTCTCCTCTGCGACTTGGGTCTAATTCTCTCTCAGACTCAATTACATTCGCTTTGATCGCGCCATCTTTACCAGGACTCTTCTTAACCCAATCAGCACCCACGCTGCGTATTTGAAACCGACAGACTGGAATTAGCTAGGGAGAATCTCTGTTTACCATGACAGACAATAAACTAGTGTCGACCAACCAGGTCGCAGGGCACAGTACTCCCGAGAATTGCTGGATAGTGGTCAACAAGCAAGTGTGGGATGTGACCGACTTCGTTGAGGACCATCCGGGGGGCTCTAGCGGTATGATCTACTCTGTAGAGCCTATCCGACTATACATGCTAATCTGTCTGGCTCCACGATCTAGTTATTCTCAAATATGCCGGCCGCGATGCCACCAAGGCCTACTCGGAAGTCCACGTCCCCGGCCTTCTCAAGTCCAATCTCCCGCCGCAGAAGTACATGGGCATACTGGACGAATCGACCATCGACGACGAGTGGGTCAAAGAGCCCCCCGCGGAGAATCCGCAAGTGATCCTAGAGAATGAGAAGCCGCCCCTCCACACGCTGATCAACTCGTACGACTTTGAGCTCGTGGCCTCCAAAACTGCCAGTTCAAAAACATGGGCCTTCTTTTCCAGCGCTGCGACAGATCTCCTCACGCGCGACGCGAACAAGTCCTGTTTCGACCGGATATGGTTTCGTCCGCGAGTGTTGCGCAACGTTCGATCAGTGAATTCCAAGACGACGATGCTAGGGGTCGATTGCAGTCTGCCGTTGTTCGTAAGCCCGGCGGCCATGGCCAAGCTCATTCACCCGGAGGGCGAGCGGGCCATTGCCAGAGCGTGTGAGAGTAAAGGGATTATGCAGGGGGTATGTTCATGAAAATATCAAAAAGAAGCGATGCCTGTCCATCTAAACCCTGAAACGAGCAGGTCTCCAACAACTCCTCGTACCCGATGGAAGACTTGAGGGAAGCCGCCCCGTCGGCCAGCTTCTTCTTTCAACTGTACGTCAACCGGGACCGCGCCAAATCGGCGGCACTCCTCCAGCAGTGCTCCGCAAACCCCAACATCAAAGCAATCTTCGTGACGGTGGACGCCGCCTCGCCGGGGAAACGCGAGGCCGACGAGCGCGTCAAGGCCGACGAAACGCTGTCGGTCCCCATGGCGCCCTCCAAGGCGAAGAACGACAAGAAAGGCGGCGGTCTGGGACGGGTGATGGCCGGGTTCATTGATCCCGGTTTGACGTGGGAGGACCTGGTTTGGGTACGGAAGCATACGCATCTCCCCGTCTGCCTCAAGGGCGTGATGTCTGCCGACGACGCCATCCTCGCGATGGAGGCCGGGCTGGACGGCATCCTCCTGAGCAACCACGGCGGGCGCAACCTGGACACGAGTCCGCCATCCATCATCACCCTGCTGGAGCTGCACAGGCGCTGTTCGGAGATATTCGACCGCATGGAGATCTACGTGGACAGTGGGATTCGACGCGGCACGGATATTCTGAAGGCCGTTTGCCTCGGGGCCACCGCGGTGGGCATGGGCCGAAGCATGCTCTACGCTGCCAACTACGGTCAGGACGGGGTGGAGCATCTAATAGACAGTAAGTACCGAAGCCACCCTATCCCCGTCTCGGTGGACAAGTTGCTAAGAAAGCACACCGCACAGTCATCAAGGACGAATTGGAAACGGCCATGCGCAACACCGGAATTACTTCCTTGGACGAAGCCGGCCCCGACCTGGTGCATACAGGAGACGTCGACCACCTGGTGCCTCTTGCCCGGCAACATCCATATGCGCGCAAGGTCGCTAAGGGACGTCGTCGACCGGCGACCAATTCCAAGCTCTAGACGGGTTTTACACAATCTAACGGAATTTACGCCACCACGCTCACATGAACCACATGAGTACACATAGATAGATACAAATCGCCGACCAACAGGATCAAGGGGAAATACAGTAAACTAATGCAACGGGTTGCATAGCCTTTGGATGCCAAAGCTGAACCATGCTTTGTTTTTATCTTTGCACCGGCACTTGACAAGGCTTTTGTTTTTCTGCATGCGATGCTGCAGAAATGCCTAAAACCCAGCCGAAGCTCGAGAGGAAATATCTTTCTTCGGGTTGTTGATGTGTCCTAGATAGAAGGGAGGCCGGAATTTGTAATTCAATCAATCGATACCATTTGAGTCAGCTATTGCGTGCCAATGGCTGTGCAGTTCCTTTTCGAGTATGCGCCTTCATTCTCCGCTAGAGAGATCGACTACCTGGAGTATGCGACCGGCCGCAGTGGCAAGCGACGACGGAGCGGGAAAGCAAGACGAGGGCAAAGAAGGAAAAAAAAGGGGAACAGACAAAGGATCCAGGGGGTGACCCGATGCGGCCTAGTGATGCGCAATAAATAGGAAGCGACTCCGCAAGGATCGCCCTCACGTGCGCCGCCCTCTCCACTCACCGCCTCTCCGGCCTCAACAGTTGAGAAAAGTCAGGCAATCAATCAGCGCCATTCCAATGATAATCCGATCCGTCATCAATAATTTATTCTCGTTTCTTAAGTCCGACATGGGACTAGTCCTGGTCAGCCTCTTTGTCCAGAAGAATTACTCCGTACGCTCCTCCACTCGACCGTGGAAAGCGTTGTACTTCCCCGCGGTCCTTTGGAGAATCATTGCGTCACCTGTCCGGGGGGGTAAACGGAGAGTTACCTTAGTCCCTCCCAGCTGTCGGTGAAACCGTGCAATAGAGCATCCATTCGGAGCACGGAGTCGGTGGTGAAGGAGGGCAGATAAAACACCACACCACCCCTCCTTTATACTCCGGATCTCTTTTCCTCTTTCGCTCACCTGAGAGCTCCGAAGCCCTACACAGTTGCTTATGTCTATATTGTTTTTACCACGCGAGAGCATGACACTCGGCGTTACGACCGAGCCCTCCGCGTCATGACCGGTATCGATTACACCTGGACTAAGACAGGTCTCATCGACGAGCTGAACCTAAACCCACCTCGTTTGAGCTGGCATCGCCCCTCCAAGGCGGCATCATGTCGATCGGTCGTTTGCTCGTTAGCTCGAGCCTAGCGATATCGAATGATCGATAGCATCGAGGAGTAGCCATCCGCGGGGCTGTTTGTAAAAAAACCGTAAGAGATCAACGGTGACGATGAAACATGTGGAAAGTCGTGACTATCTTTTCCGTAGACGAAGAATTAAGGGACAATGAGAAGGATCATCTTCCTATCACGATGCGAGATCGTCGTATTTCCCCGAGGTGGGTTACGGGGACAGAACGCAGAGTCCCTCTGGACATCCAACCGGACCGGGATGGGAATGGAAGAAAGACGGAGGAGAAGGAGGGGAGCGATGAGCGATGAGGGAGATGAGTGGCCAATGCGATGGGGGATCATCAACTGACCTTTTCCTTCGGTGAAGACGAGGAGTCATGGAATTGTCCGTATTGTCTGATCGATTGGCCGTTTGGACGCCCGCGGCGCCGGGAGATATGCAGGCTTGACAGTAGGATTTATAAGGGTACAGTGTTGTTGGCTACTGAAGGAATTATTTTCTTGAGTATGTAATCTGTACGGAGTAGTGTTGGTGATTGATCGGGTGGTGTATCATAGTCAATAAAGAACAACGTATTGTAACACTGGGAAGAGGGGGGAGGCTACTAGTATAACTGCCGGGACTATGGAGCTACAATAGTACTGACTACTGAGTAAATAAAATGGAAGACGGAGGATTCTTGCTAGAAGGACGCGAAGGGATCTGCTGGAAAGGCCAGACTTGGTCGGCCCCACCGACCCCCGGTGGAGCCCAGTACCTTCTCTACTGTGTAGATTGAATACCTTCTTACCTTACATGTCGCTCTCATGCTCAACCCCCCCAACCATTTGTCTGTCCTCTGCCCTTTTAAGTTGACCGACTTCCCTCCTCGTCTCGTTTTCTTCTTCCCTTCCATTCATCTCTTTCCCCTGGTACCTGTACTCCCCGTGGTTCTCACTTGACCAAGCTCTGTCCTACCCGGCATCACTTGGTACTACCTCAACTATACATTCCTGAGCTCAACCGATTTATTTATCCTTGATCCATCGTCTCTTCATCTCTATCTCATCTATCTATCCATTTATTCCCCCTTGTACATCGTTTCTTCATACACATCCACATAATGGCTGCCCCCCGATCGACGTCGTTGCGTGCTTTGCGCCTGCTGTCTCAGCAGCACGCTGCTACCCCCAGCATTCGCCGAGGGTTACACATCACTGGTGCCAACTCGGCCCAACCGGCCAATGTCTCGGATAAGAGCACTTTGTATGCTGCTCGCAGTCTGCCCGACCTCAAGAGCGAGTGCCAGAAAAGATCTTTGAGGGCCAACGGTAGCCATCCCGAGGTATGCTTGAAACCCTAGGTCCAGTCCACTGAGTACAATCGATGGCTCTTTCAGACCAGCTAACCATGTCTTTTCCTTCAGCTCGTTGAGCGTCTTGCCAACCATGACTTCCTTCAGTCCCGGGCCTTCAGCATTGCCATGCGGAGAATTAATGGCAGCCCCACTTCCGAGTAAGTTTCCCATCTACCGGTCGTCGATCATCATCGACCCCTCGGGGAAACGGCGGAAAGGCTGACATCACCTTTCCATCTTTTAGGAAAACCTCGGGTCGGCAATTTAATACCTCGCGTGCTCAGAAGGCCGTAAATGACTCATCTACTGTGGACTTTGCCTACCTGCCGTCCCTGGCGGACATTGACCCTCCTGCACCTCGCGCCGATCTGCGCATCCCGGTTCTTCCCGATGCCTACAACCACCACGAGACCGTCCAGACCACCGGCAGCTCGCCGATGCGACCCCAGGTCTACACGGTATCCGGGGAAGGGGCCGACGTCTCCGTCAGTCCGATGACGGAGGTCGTGGACAACCACTCGGTGGACATCGATCCGTTCTCCTTGACAGAGGCGGTGGGCAAGTCTCGCTTCGAGGCCGACCTGCAACAACAGAAGAAGTCCAGCGAGCCGGGAGTCGTTCGAGAACTGTGGACGGGGATGTGGGAAGACATCTTCAGTCCTAAACAGTCGAGTCATCACAAGCAGTGATTCGAAATGATCTTGTTGGTTTATATTAGCGATATGTTATTTGTCACGGGTGACATTGTTTCATAATTCAATGCCCTACTGGGCTTATCTTGGGATATCTTTGAATCTAAATTCATGATATGGTCTTTCAACTCTTTTTAGTAGTCACTCTGGTATGTCATCACTAGTACACCGTACGTCATACATCACGAGTAAACAAACAAAAGCACCACGACCAGCGTCTAGGACCCAGCCTAGGGAGAGCAATTTGCCGATCGGAATTGATCATCTAATCTTGATTGATAGTTGATTAACCTAGGCAGAAGCATCTCGGCAAAGATCAAAGGAGACGAGAATGACGAAGAGGAAGTGGGTTCCAGTCCTCCGATCCCTTCCGACGCGGACATTCTCATGTGAATCGCGCATTCTTCACATGTACGAGTAGGGACAGTAATTTTGTTCCAATGTTCAATTCGTTTTTCTATCAAATATTTAGATCTTCTGTGTATCGTTCAATTTGCACAGTTACGACGAATACATCTGACCCCGGATGTTCAAACTCAATTCGTGCTGCATTTCGTCACGGACTCTAACTGTAGTTCACAGGCATCTTTACTCGGAATGCATTGATCTACTCCAGTGTATATGGTTAGATTGAATGAATGTAATCTACCAAATCCCCCCTCCCTCACACAGTCTGTTCATTAAGTTACGGCTTTGCGCAAGGGATGTTAGCAACGGTGGCGGTCCGCAACTCACCCACCCCTTGATTCCATCAATTCTCCGTGTATGTAGGCTGTGAGTATAATTAGTATGCAGAGAGTTTATATCTTATGTAGCGTAGTGCAGATTACTATACATAATATGGAACGCCTTTGATTCTTGGCATAGCCGGGGAGGGTATCCATTCTTCTACTGACTATATGTTGTTCTGAAGTATACCCGTAGCTCTGTGACATCATCACCATCATCACTTCCCACTGTACCTACAGTGACTGACCCTCTAGTCCGTTGAAGAAGTCTTACACTAAGTCTCAATTACTACCACTCGTCTACTGGCAGGATCGACCGGACAGAATCATCCGTGGTCAGTTGACGGATTGCGATGCGTTCGTCAAAGCTTGGCGGATCGATTCCACTCTTCTTCACTCGCCTGAGTCGCTTCTCGGACGAGAGAGAAAGAGAGGGCGAGAGATGTCAACGTGAGGTCATCCTCATAGACCCAGTATAAATATTTCCTCAGTATTCATCCAGATTTGTCTCTGTCTGCTTCGATTATCATTCTACTACTTTATAATTCATTTCATCTGTACCGTTCTTCTATAAATTGTATAGATAAGCAGAAGGAAGTTTATACAAGATGAGCGACCCTACCAATCCCAACATCCAGCATCGAACCACGCCGCAATGGGGTCTTTACCAGCGGGAGAATTTCTTGAAAGTCAACGAGGGACAGACAGTGCCGTTTAATACCGGTAAGATGTCTTTCTCCATCCTCCCTTGTCCAAAGGGCATGGCAACATGAGCAACACGAGCAACATAAGCAGCATGGGATACCTTCTCCCCAGAACAAAACCATCCGAATACCTTACCAAACAGATAACTGACCCTTCACCATTGCCCTCCCTAAGACCCCCTCAAACTCGAAGCTCTCGCACATCAAAAACTCAGCCAAGGCGGCTGGCTCTACGCGTCCTCGAACGCGGGGATGTCGCAAACCCACCAAGCAAACCGACAAGCCTTCTACCGCCACCGACTGATCCCCAACCAGCTCGTCGACACAAACTGCCGAGACACCACGACCACGATCTTCGGCCACCGGGTGTCCGCCCCGATCGGGTTCGCGCCCATCGGCATCAACAAGATATACCACCCATCCGCGGAGTCCGCGGTAGCGAAGGTCGCAGGCGAACTGAACCTCCCCTACTGTCTCTCGACGGCGGGATCGACGCCCATCGAGAAGGTCGGGGAAGCCAACGGTCCCGGAAATCCGCGCTTCTACCAGCTCTACATGCCGCATGACGACGAGCTGACCCTATCCTTGCTCCAGCGGGCCTGGGACTCCGGGTTCGACGCGTTGCTGCTCACCACAGACACTTGGCAACTGGGCTGGCGACACGACGACGTCGCGGGGTCAAATTATGCCTTTTATCGCGGTCTAGGCGCGGATCTGGGGTTGTCGGACCCCGTATTTAGACAGCGATGTCAGGCCGAGGGCATTGATCCGGACAAAGACGTTGTGGCGGCGTCGACCAAGTGGATTGATTCCGTGTGGCATGGGCGCGCGTGGTCGTGGGAGAAGATCCCCTGGTTGCAGGAGCAGTGGCGACGGATTTCAGGGGGCAGGCCGTTCGCGATCAAGGGGATTCAGAGCGTGAGTGATGCGCGACGGTGCGTGGAGTACGGGGTTGATGGGATCGTGGTGAGTAATCATGCAGGACGGCAGGTGGATGGCGCGGTGGCGAGTCTGGATGCGTTGGAGTCGATCATTGATGCGGTGGGGGATCACATCTACGTGATGTATGACTCTGGGGTGCGTGGTGCCAGCGATGTGGTGAAGGCGTTGGCGCTGGGGGCGAAGTTCGTGTTCGTGGGGAGGTTGTGGATTTGGGGGTTGAGTATCATGGGCGAGGAAGGCGTGAGGCATGTCATGCGGTCGTTGTTGGCGGATTTCGATATCCTGATGGGTGTGGCGGGGTTTAAATCTGTGGAGGAGTTTGATCGGTCGATTTTAGGTGAGTTTACTAACCCAGCGCTCTCTTCTTCTCTCCCTTTATGTATACGGATGGAACTGATGATCCGACAGAGTCGTCTCCGAAGATGTATTCGTTGATTCCGGACAGGGTGCTGTGATGTGGATGGAGTATGGCACAGGAAAAATGAATAATGGTTTCAGGTTCCAGAAATGTATCTGGTAATTATCTGAATATGAATATGAGTAAGAATATGTATGTAGATGTGAAGAAGTATGAATATCACGGTAGGACCATGTATGCACAAGTTGTGGCCCTCACCAACTCCCTTCTGTCTAAATCATCCCCAGTCCAACCATGCATAGCACCGCCACCACCGACCAGGGCACTCTCGGCACGATACCCGCCGCATCGCCAGAAGCGTCCGTGGCGCTGGCCGAGCTTCCCGTCGAGGTAGCGGTCGAGGTGGCCGATGAGGTACCCGAGCCAGAGGTCGTACCCGAGTTGGAGTCGGAGCTGGAGCTCGATTTGGAGTCCGAGTTCGAGTTGTCGTCTCCCTTCGAATCCTCGTCGCCCGGGTACGCCCGCTCTGCCAGTCCAATGCGGTTCTGATCGTAGTCAAACACCGTATACACGTTCTTCAGAAAGACATCGCCCACCAGCCAGACGTCGTCCCCGAACAGCGCATGGCCCACGATCGTCGACACGCAGCCCGACCCGCTCTTCGACCCCACGTAGTCCTTGGGCGATATGGTGTATTTTGTGCCGGAGAAGCTCAGCTGCAGCTCGGCGGAGGAGTTGCAGGGGATGATGTAATTGCGCTCGCCCTGGGCTGTGGCGCCGGGAATCTTGTTGTTCAGCACCTTGGCGTCGGCCGGCGGGATCAGGAGGTAGGAGGTGCCGGTGTCGATGAAGGCGGATTTGCCGGAGAAGCCGCAGGCGCTACCGTCGACGGTGGCATCGTCGAGCGGGATCTTCCAGTGGTCCTTGGTCCCGACGGTGTTCGTGTAGCTAATCTCACCCTTGTACTTGGAGTCGTCGACGCCGCCAAAGGTGACAGAGCCGTCCTGAACCTTGGCGGAGCCGCGCGACAGACTGAAGCTGACGATGTTGGACGGCAGCAGCTTCTGCTTGGCGACGACGTCCATGAACGAGTCGTGGCCGAAGACGCCCTTGCTGGCGCGGCCGAGGCCGATGATGCCGTCCATGGGGTAGGACTGCAGCTCGTCGGAGGCTTGGGAGGCCAGGCCGAAGGTCATGTCGACGGAGATGTTGGCAATGGTGAGGGAGTCGGAGCCCAGCAGGCCGCTGACGGTGCCGGTGCCGTAGCCAACCTTCCACTTGTCGCTGGTCATCTTCAGGCTGGCGGAGGCGGCCTCGCCGAAGGTGTTGTGCACCTGGCAGGCCTTGGAGGTGCAGTCGGAGGCATACAGCCAGGTGTTGGCGCCGCCAGTGTCCAGCATCACCCAGAGCGATTGGTTCTTGGAGCCGACCTGCACGGCGGAGAAGTAGGACAGGTCGTTGCCGTCCTGGTTGAAGGGCGTGGTGTTGGGCTGAGACGAGTTCTCGGAGCGCACGATCTTGTACTGATTGTTGCGACGGTCGAGGACGGGGAATCGACGCAATTCAAAGGTCTTGGAGGTCGCCGGCAGCTTTTCGCCGGCGGACGACTCGACGTCATCTTGGAGACCGTCGGTGAGGGACCAGGGCACGAAGCGACGCTCAGGAGAACTGGAGGAGTCGTCGGTGGAGATGTCCAGCTCAATTGTGTAGGGAATGAAGGCAGTGACGCTGGCGGAGAGATAAGGGACGACAAGGAGCCATCGCAGCGGAAGATGCATTTTCGATTGCTATACTTTCATGGAGATCTAGTTCGGAGATAAAGATGTAGTATGGATAGGATTCATGAAGCGATTGGCTGCGGAATATTAATTAATGGGGATAGATAAGAGAATGTAAGAATGGCAATTGCAATAGATGGCAGATGGATCTATGAACTATTGGAACGTGCAAGGCTAAATAAATCAACCGCAGGATATAAATAGAAGAAGATGCTAAAACGGGCGCTGAAGATAACAAAGGAGATATGCGAGGATTGGACGAGAGAAGGGAAGGGATGAAAAGGAAAGGGAAGATGCCGGTAAAGGATATTAAGAAGAATAATAATGAGAGAAGAGGATGAAGAAGAAGAAGAGGAGAGAGAGCGTTCCCCTCGAACTGGACTGACCTTGGAAGCGGAGACCTGGACGGGTCTAGAGTTCGTCCGGCTCTACAGACTAAACGCCCGGTGGAGCTCGTTTTCTCTCCTGAACTCCTCTCTCTCCCTCGTCCCCCCAGGCTTCCACTGTTCTCTGCTCGCTTTTCGAATCCTCTCGTTTGACCCTCCTACCGTGCCAAACCTTCCAACATTCTCGACCTCCGCTCAATGGTGCACATTCCCAACGCCACGGCATTCGAAACTCGTCCAAGAAGTCCTGCCACACCCCATTTAAGATCAACCGCTGCCCCCACCGGCGCCGGAGGATCAACCGTTACATCGCGGCCTCTGCTTTGCCGCCGAGACTCTTGGGATCGTCTCGCCAATGGATCTGTCATCGACGACCTGATTTTCAGCTTCCTCGTCCCGACCCACCGTGGACTCATCATGCATTCAGATTCAGGCTTTCAGCGCTCTTGCCACTGGAGACACGTACTCCGTCAGCCTGTCCACTTTGTACGGAGTATACTCCATCAGTATACATGACATGACCACTCCGCCTCGGTCAATTTATCTTAGAAATTCCCGTGGATGATGGATAAACCTGGTCGGCCGAGAATCCACAGCCCGAGCAGTCTGACCAATGTCTTGTCTCGCTGGGACTGGGATGTTATTTTATCTCGTCGCAACTATAAAGAAATATGGTTGTAACGTAGGATTGTAGGCGTAGACCTGAATTTTTCAGGGTGGGCGACCGTTTGGAGGAAGATTGTGGAGGATTCTGGACGACCCCAGAGTACGCTTACATCCGCACGACGCTAGCTTGGCATGAAGCGCATCCTACTGTGCAGACTGCGGAATCAATTTTATACCAGCAGGTCCTGATGAAGATATCCCTAAAGGAATGCCGACTGCTAAACGCTTTGGCGTCACCCGAGATGCTCCGGCGACCTCGGGAGTGCCGACCGGCCCGGTCGCCGCGTAGACTCACTTGCATACATCTTTCTCGTCCATCAACCCATCAACCCTCCTGCATCTTACATAGACCACCTGCGTCCGATCGACATCGAACCATCTGGAGCTAAATCATCATGCTAGGCCTAAATTCTCGACGGTCCGCCCTCACGCCTGCCAAATGTCTGGCTTCCGCCCGCAGTGCAACCGTCTCGCGGACCCGAGTCGCATCGCCGTCATGGATCGCTGCCAAGGACTTCCACTCCAGTCAATCCCAGGCCGCCTTCCGACCGACCTGGATGCCCATGCGGGTGAAAACGCCCTGGGTTGAGGCCTTAACGAAGAGTCGCGAGAATGCGCAGTCCGGCCAGGCCTCCTCGACGGCGCTTGCCAAGCCGGACTTGACTCCCAAGAAGATGTCGGACAGCTTCTATAGCGCGGTAGGGACATCCCTCCGATTCCGTTCGTCGGTATGCCGTGAGCTAATCCATCATTCGAGATAACTAGGTCCTGCCTTTGGCTCAGGACAAGTGGCTGCTCGATAGCTATCTCAATGCCTCCGGGCATATTCGGTACGTGGGATATAGATCTCCATCTGTTGGTTGACTCGACTAATTCGCTTCTTAGACTGGGGTCTTTGTTGATGGACCTGGATGCTTTGGCCGGCGTCATCGCCTATAGACACACCGGTGACTCGGCGATGACCGTGACCGCCGCGGTGGACCGAATCACCATCGAGCATCCCTTGATGGAGATCTGCGACCTCGAACTGAGCGGCCAGGTGACCTACGCGACTGGTCGATCGAGCATGGAGATCTCGCTGCAAGTGACCAAGGTCCCTTCTCAGGGCCAGCAAGCGAAGCCGGAGGACGTGCTCATCACCTGTGCGTTCACCATGGTTTCTCTGGACCCGGCCACTAAAAAGTATGGACTTCCTGTCTGCTCCACCTGAGGTCAAAGGCACTTTACGTACTTACACATCGCCCAGGCCCGTATCCGTTGCACCGCTTTTGGTCGAAAACGCAGAGGAGCGTCTTCTCTTCAAACAAGGCGAGGAGAACTATCAGGCCAAGAAGTCCTTGCGAACAAAGAGCTTGCTCCAGAAGGCCCCCGGAGACGAAGAGAGTGACCTAATCCACTCCATGTGGACCAAGGAGATGTCATACCTGAGTACGCATCTAGCCTCCAATCCAAGGGCCGAGGGTAAAATGCTAATTAACCTTATACAGACCCCGAAAACCCCGCCCAACGACCCTCCAACATGATCTTCATGAACGACAGCGTACTAAAATCCGCCATGATCATGCAACCGCAGGACCGCAACCGCCATAACTTCATGATCTTCGGCGGCTTCCTGCTGAAGCAGACCTTCGAACTGGCCTTCTGCTGCGTCGCTTCCTTCTCCCACGCCCGTCCCAACTTCATCTCCCTCGACCCCAGCACGTTCGAAAACCCCGTCCCCGTCGGCAGCGTGCTGTACCTGCGGGCCACCGTGGCCTACACGGAGCCTCTGGAGCGCGACGGCAGCAAGTTTACCAAGGTGCAAGTGCGCGTGGACTCGAAGGTGCGAGATGTGGAGCACGGCACGAAGAAATCGACCGGTCAGTTCAACTACACCTTCCTAGTGGAGAAGGACATTCAGGTCATGCCCAAGAGCTACGGCGAGTTCATGCTCTGGACCGACGCCCGTCGACGCTCGCAGAACGCCGCGGCAATGACGCCGGGATCGAAAGAGCCGAGTGCTCTTCGGAGTATCAAGGATAGCGTGACGGAGTAGATGGTTGGGTATTTCGTTTCTGTCTTATTTCCTTGTGTTTTCTGTCATATACTTTTCCCTTTATACCATATATATCGCCGTACATAGACTTGTTTGATCGACAACCACCACAATTGATACAGAATTCCATGAATATATTCAACTTATCAACGCTATCCATAAATGACATCCAAATATGCAGCATTCCCACTCCATACCCAAAATCAACCTAGAGGTAAGTATGCAGTCACATGACATCATCGGGTCCCATCTCCCCCACAATCATCGATAAACATCGTTATCGTCCATCAATCCAACACCCACAAACAAACCACACCCATTTCTCCCTACTCATTCCCTATTCAACAGATTTCACCCCTTTCACATGTATTCATAGACCCAACCCTTTTTGATCCTTTCCCCATATATCCCATCCCCTACTAGAAATAGAATGTCCCTCCCCAACATCTGGCATCTCCGCCGAGTCGCGGACACCGCCGCCCGGGCGTGCTCCATCTGCCACAAACCGTCCAGCAGCGTGCTGATCACGCCGGACAACAAGGACTTCTTCTACGTGTGTCCTGTGCACCTGAAAGATCGCAATTTCTGCTCGCCGGTCGTGGATGCGGAGGAGCAGGGGGAGAAACGTAAGAAGGAAGCCATGGCGGCGGAGATTGAGAAGGTGAAGAGGGAGTATGAGGAGAAGCAGAAGCGGAAGAAGGAGAAGGAGAAGTCTAAAGAAAAAGAGAAAGAGGAAGGGAAAGATAAGGAGGAGAGTGCGAAGAAAGATGATCAGAAGTCGGACGAGAAGGATAAGAAGGCGGATGAGAAGGAGAGGGATGATAAGGTATGTTTCTTCTTAAGTCTTTATTGATTCTATTGTGTGGAAATATTCGTCGAATGTTTTTCTTTCGCTATCATTTAGCCCGGCGAGTTGAATGGCTGGCTGACTGGAATCACAGATCGCATCCATTGAAAAGTCCGAAACCACGTCTTCAGCTAATGATTCGCCTCGTATCTTCGCTTTGCACAAGTATGTTATGTTTGCCCATTTAACCGGTCATGCATACATGGCATGGCATGGTCTTACTATCTCCCATGGCCTGACTGACCTGACCCAATCTAATCTGATCAACAACTAACCGTACATCCTCTCTCCCCGAATCAAAGGAACTTCTACGCCATGCGCCTCGAAAGACTGCGTAGTGCCGAAGTCGCTAAGCGTAATCGACAAAGAATGCAGGACCCGTCTTTCTTTCCGTCCGTCCCGTCTAGTGGGATTTGATTGACTGATTTATTGATTGTTGCCTGGAATGCACTTCATCTTTCCTCCTCCTCTCCAGTGGAACCGTTGCTTATCTTACTCTATTCTACTGCACTTGGAGCTGGACCTGGATTCGGACATGATGCATGACTCATCCGGATCGAATTGGGATCATGCAGTGTGATCACCCCCAAACCACCAACCGCCAACTTCTCTCCACTTTTTCTCCTCTTGATTCTCTCACACTGTACATTAACGTCCCCCCCCCCCTGTGCCGACGAACCACCACCGCCGACACTACCTCTCGAAGGGGGGAATATAGCAGATAGCAATCAGTCATGACATGATAAATGCCCTGTCTCACTAGTCACGAATCTGTCAGATATCCCATCCACCCTACAAGTCATTGGAAGACAGGAAGATCAACTCCCAATACCAATGTCGATCTGAAGTGTACGCTGTACGTGCATCTAACGGGCATAGGCTTGACTTTCACGCTGTCTGTCCCCATCCAATAACTCAATCGAATCCGTGAACGGCGGTTCTCTGGCTCGGCGTTTGTGCACAACTCTAGCCTATGGATGCTGGATCATCATCTGCAGCTGCTGTGATTAGGCAACTGATGGGCTTCTGAGAGTTCAGTTCAATTGTCTGATGAGAGGGTTGGTAAAACGACAATGGATGGCATAGCCAATTTACATACTATTTAGCCAATGTGCTTCGCTGAATCTTTTCGGTCTTGATATGTAGATAGGTCAACCATTTAGTCGAGATACATAGCTTTTGAAGATCCTCGGTCCGTTTCAAACTACATCTCCATACAAGACACGCTTGTTGATCGGGGTAGGCAAATTTTGTTGTATCCCTTTCCATATACAAATATTCTATGTACACAAGCCCAGCCCGGGATCATACGCGTCTAGGCACAGGGGTAAGTAATAGCAGACAAGAGAAGCTAAAAAAGACAAAACTGGGTGGAAGGGCTCCAAAGTGCAAATCAGCCAAGGTATATCAAACAAGGCAAGGGAAAAACCAACAAGAGAAGTGAGCCAACGTAACAAAACAAGCCAGAAGAAAAATCGCAAGCCAGTTGTCTAAGCAACATGCAGAACAACCCAATACAGCCTCCCACCAGAGATCCCCCCAAAGACTCCAGAATTTTCCATCACCAGTATCCAGTATGACCAAAACCAATTGAAAAGCAAAAAACAAAAACAAAGAGTCATGTCACATCAATCACTCCCCGGTCATTTCAAATCCCCCCTCAAGTCTTTTTGTGTATCCAAACAGCCGCCTATACCATGTCATGACGATTCAAACCCCAATGACGCAAGAAATGAACGATGTCGTTGGAAAATACAGGCCATAGATAACAGAAGAATGGTAACAAATTACTCGAAAGAATCATTCCGAGATTGCCATGGAATCTTTAGAAAAGCGACATTATGCCAACTTTCAGAAAGAAAGAGAATAAGGGATCAAAATATGAAACAAAAAGTTCAGAGAACGATGCAGTACACATATTCCGGGGTATTCTTTTCGATAAACAGCCCGACTCCGGCAAATCGTCTATGAGATAAGGTAACCATGGGGATCAAAGAGACTTCGTCGCACTCCAGAATTTGAGTCGAGGATCATCGTGATCCAGGAGAGAAATCGTACACCAATGAAGGGCACTAGTTGTCAGCAACCACCGAGAACATCGTTGATTTTATTTGACGCAATGTTGGAATTCTTCGGCTCCGGAGGCGCTTCTTCCTTCATGCAAGCATTCTCGAGAATATTAGTCCATTTGCCACTCGTGCCCGCATGGCTGTGTTTAAGATGTTGTCTGAAATGATCGGCGCGGAAGAATTTCTTTGCATTGTTGCACTCCCCAAACTTATGCACGGCAGTCAGATGCTCGAATCGGCGATCCCAATCCGGTTGGGGGAAATTAGAAAATTCTTCACCACAATAACCACATGTGTCATGGGAGGGCCCCGAGTTCGTTTGGGAAGCTGGGGACGAAGAAGGATGGAAGGCAGCTTGATAACCTGGTAACGCTGCACATGACCAAGAGTGACGTCGCAAGTGAAGGGAGTTCTGATGACGCTCCGCCTCGTTCTTGTTCTTGAATCGATTGTTGCAGAATAAACACGAATATTGCTTCTCCATCTCATGGGCCCTGTTTTTACAAAAGAAACATGTTAGACTTGATTCATTCGTAAGATTTGTGTATTTTTTTTTCTCCAACACTTACCGGAGCTCTTCAGGATTGTCAAACTTCTTGGGCTTCTTGGGGCAGCAATCACAAATATACAGCCCTCCCATCTTCGGGCCCGCGGGCTTGGGTACGTTGAGAGTCGTCTGCAATGACATTTTCCGTGCCGTATTTGCGCTCGAAGGCTCCAGCGTATTTTGGTTTTGGACCGCCCTTGCGACCGACGGGCCGATAATTCCATTGGGAGAGCTGGGGTTGAGAATCGCTTTCTCGTGAAACGGATCCGCATCCGATTTTGGCGAATGGCCTCCAGGCGACGGGCGATCATAGGCGGATATACTTGTCATGCTACTCCCTCCGGCGGAAATAGCGGCCGACGAATACGATCCCGATGTTCGAAGGCTTAGTGAGGAAGCAGCCGAGAGACTCCCGTGGCTAGGGGCATAACCACTATTGACGGAAAGGGTGTTGGTAAACGGATGACCACTGGTTCGTCTCTGGGAGAGATCGCCATTACTCGTGGTGATATGGAGTGTGCGCCTATCATCGCCTATCGGTTCCCGGGGTGGTGAAGAGGCTCGTCGCTTGGTGCCCGATTTCGAAACTTCCAGGTACGGCGGCGTGGCTTCCCGAACATGAAATAACCGAGGCGGCAGATTGTCATCGGCCGAGAAGTCGCCTTCAATGTCCGAAAAGACGCCCTGGTCATAGCTGCCTCTATTCGATCGGCTGGGGAGGCTGAGAGTTTCATCGTACTGGGGCGTCGTCCCACCCACTCGGCGGCGGCAGGCATCTCGAAGGTAGGTCGAATGGTCATAATCCACCGCAGACGATGGAGCACTGCTCTCGACACTTGGACTCCGGTATCCGACGTACTCCCTCCAGGCGACCTTCGTTCCGGGCGATACGGCCCCCTGGGAATTAGTGGACCATCGGACATCGAGTGTAGGGCCGTCAGAGCCCCCCGGGGAAGGTAAGCTCCCCAGGGTTCGTGATGGAATTGGAAGGGTCGACAAGGAGCTTTTGTTCTCCGTTCCAAGACTGATGGACTGTCGCGGGGAAAGCGGCTTGCCTATTTTGGACAAGAGATGCTGATCGTATGCATCCGACGAGTCTTTCACGCTGCGCCGAGAGAAATCCCGCTCGCCTTTCAAGATCGGGCTGCTGTGATTGAGTTGCATAGAATTTCGGAAGCCTTCGTCAGCTGGCGGTGGCGGCTCGATCTTGATGTGAGCCTCGGGACTTCGAGAGATAGGTAAGCCGCTTTGCCGGCCGTCTAGTTCATCGATCATCATTCGATCACCCTGCGGGACGGATTCGGGACGGCGGTGAGCTCCAAATAAGCTCGAGCTTGGGCTGATTGGTGCAAGTTTGGTGGTTCCGACGGGGCTTTTCGGATTCGCATGCAGCCATCCAGCGTCATAGCCATTTTCCAAATCGCTGATACGTGGCGGCGGGGGCAAAGGCGGCGGGGCAAACGTAGCTATTGAGCTCGTTGGAATGGGCATGGGCCCATGAGGTGAGTATGATTGTCCAGGCATAATGTATGGCGATCTTTCGGCAGAACGAGGATAATCATAGCGGTTATTGATGTCATGCACGTGAATCGAAGGTGGCGAAAGTCGTGGGAAGTCCATCGTAGAATCGGATATCGAAAAGGACTATGCCGGCATTCAAAAAGGAAAGACAATTCACAGAGCGGAGCACCAGAACTTCATAGGAGGTTGGCGGGCGATACGGGGGCGAATTTGCCTCCAGTCGTTGAAGCCGGATGCGAATACTTAGATTGCCTCGGGCTGTTCGATGCTTCGATAGAAGATCCCGCTTCTAAGACCACGAACCCCCTCAAAACGTAACCCGCTGCAATGACTCTTTAAGGAAAGAAGGAACTGAAAGGTTTTCAAGAACAGAGATAAAAAAGGTTAAGGAATGATGGGGAGGTACGTAAGACCACTCCGTTGTCGCGGAAATGGATTTGGTGGAAAAAGGTTATTTGGGTCTACCAACGCAGTGAACCAAGGTGTCAGGCAACTTTGATGAATAGGCAATAGGGCTGAAGGATAAACGTACCTCGCCCAAAGATTTGGAGGTTAATGTTTTTAGGAAGATTCCCAGATGGTCGAGCCAGCTATTCGCTACCGTAACGGCTCTCTGCAACAGTCGCGCGCAACCTTGCGAAACCGGTAGTGTGCCATCAATTCGCCGGACAGCGGCAACTTAATGACGGAGAACGGCGCAAGGACCACACAACATACTGGAAGCTTGATTCGGGGGGGGGGGGTCGTGTTTTAAGTGTCGCTATAATATCAGAGGGAAGCAAGCAGTGTTACAGCGGAGAACAAGCCGGGTATGCAATGAGCGGCCCTCGAAAAGAGGAGACCGAATGGGAGAGATGTTAGACAAGAACTGCGGTTTCCTCTGGAGCAAGCGTCCCTTTTTTTTTTCCCCGTAATGATAGGTTGTGTCGGATGACAGGGAATAAATTAATAAAGCGGGAGAGAGCAGGAGATGACGGGGATGCAGAGGAGGATAAGAAAAGGGAGAGAGCGCACGTGTCGGAAGCGCTTTGCTCGCAGGAAGCGAATGGAAGGGAGAAAGATGGGAAAAGGTGAAGGCAAAGTAGAATCAAGCGACGGAAGGACCAGTTGTAGTAAGAAAGGGCAGGCGCTGAGGAGCGGTACTTCACGCTTGCCTCCCGTTCTTGCAAATTACGGCGGGGAGTGGAAGAGCTGTAAAGTTGAAAGTTGGAAGTTCGCCCGGTAACAGCAAGAGGTGTACAGGTAAGGCGTAAGGGTAAGGGTAAGGGTGTATAAGGCGAGACAAGGTGGGCTCCGATGGTGGTGCACCCGCCCGCCTGATTGGTGCCTCTGAGGCTGGGGAAAATGAATGGGTGTACGGCGTAATTTGGGTGTGGGCAAAAAAAAAAATCAATTCCCTTCTTTTGGATCTTCTACGGTGTAAGTAAACCCGAATTTACCTTATTGTTTTCAAATTCATCTTCATTTGATCCTTACACAGCAGATAGAAGTGAAGAGGAAAAAGTTTAAAGGGTCATCGCCTTCCTCCGAAATTATAGGGCAAAGCAGAGGTCGACTACCTGTATTCAAGATGATACAACGCTGGTACTTCAGGATCCGCTCCAAGCTGCAGTTTGGTCTGAGTGGGCCACTGTACCAGCTTGGACGGACCAACTGGGATGAAGTCCCTTGGACCAGGAGAAGGGAAACCGAGTACTGAGTAGATGAGGGAAGAAAATGACCCGACGCATGGAAGTAAGTAGGAGAAGCCCCTGTGGTCGTCGTTTAGCCTTGCCTTACGTATGTACGGAGGCAGTTTTGCCCTGGTTGTCAGATTCTTGCAGGACAAGCAAGGTAAAGTATACGGGCTCGTACGATAGGTATACGATGCATACCTACGGTACGCGCGGACTGAAATTTTGTAAAATGGCCCCGGGAAGATCGCTGGCGGTCATCTTGACGAACTGAACTGCCAGCATGAAAGGCAAGAGAATAACAGGTAAGTCAAATGAACAATCATAATGATAGCGATGGGGTCGGTTTAAGGCACCGACATTCTATTTTAGCTATGGACGGTCTAGTATTCTCGAGAGTGATCCTTGTCACCTAGCAGCAAATTAACCTAATCTTCTACTAGTCTTTTAGAACTCAAGAACCACGCCGTTTCATAACCCGCGCGGGATGGCAGGGCTAGAAAAGGGCACCACGTTGGAATGGATCGCCCGAGAACGACTAAGAGTCAGCGACTTCTATCCTGTCCACTGAGTAAGAGGATGACCGCGGTATATTGCCCATCAGCCCTCTCCTCTCGACCCGAGGCTTGATCATAACTCCGTAATCATCCTCCTCCATCTACTCCGTACGGAGGACTGAGGATTGGAAAGGGCAACGCAACGCATCCAGGAGAGTTTCTGTGCCAATCGAAAAGGGGTGGGGTGGATTTGGAAAAAGCTGTTCCAAATCCAGGATGCCCATCAGCCAGTCCCCGTGCGGCCAAATTATTCATCAATTTATCGCTGAGATCGGTGCCCCGGGAAGGACGTCACTACTATCAAAGTTCCCGTCCGACTATCTTAGTAACTATCTACTTACTCCATAACTTAGTTAGGTGACGATGTCATTCAACCCGTTCGATACTCGATCGACTCTCGCCTTTTGATCCTCCATGGCAGGATAGAAAACAGAAAATGGAAAGACGGATGGTTCTGTTCCACCTAGACCAATTCCAGAGCGGTGTGCATCACCCAGGCTAGCCGGGGTTTAGTCCTGACAGTGGAAGGCTACGGACTGGAGACGGGTGGTTTGGAATGAGGCAGTGCTGGTAGATTACCAGCTAGGAGCAACCACTGACAATAATCACAATAATGCCACTCGACGCTTGCTCCATTCGACCCCATCACGCTATTGGAAGTCTGAGTCTGAGTATGGGGACACAATCAAGGTTTCTACAACTGACTGCCTAATAATGATGTCTGATATTCGGATCTTGCCACGAGTTTTTTCCCCTTCTCTTTTGCCCCCCTCTTTTACTTCCCTTCTTAACTCCGCGGTTATGGGATTCTCGCTGTGAATCTACTGACTGATTACTGTAAATGTACCTTTTTATTTTTTATTTTTTTTTCTTTCTGATTTAGCTTTTAAATGCTTTCTAACATTTCACTCCCCCTCATCACTTATCCATGTGCTTTTCCTTGCTTACCCTGCGTATTCCAGCCTTTCCAGGTCGTGTGCACCACCAGGTGAAGAAGGTCTCTTCCGGAGTACAACCGTCCATTGCGGGTCGTATCGAGGCGACATCCGATTCAATTTTTGAGATGCTGTTAAACACTCTTGAACTCTCCCGTCTTCTTTACTCAGTAGTCAGTACATGGTAAATGCGCGAGTAATTTTATCCATTTTTCGCCTCTATTTAATATATTTCACTTTCCCCTCCGTTCCTTTTCGTTACCAGTAACCAGGAAAAAATTAAAATTAAAAAATTAAAAAAACCTTTGATCGAAGGGCCAGGAATTTTCCGAATTGCAAAAAAACCGACCCGACTGAGTCATTACGAACGTACCATACCAGGAATCGTCAGCGTCATCACCATATGGCAATCCGATTCCAGAAGGAAACACCACAATTTCACCCAGGGATTGATTGAAAAGGGCCCAGGGCCAGAAAAAATAAAAAAAAAAAGAGCAAATTCCCAGGGTACCGAATACATGCAACCCGACTACATGCACCAGGCCCCACCTTGAATTTGTGCCGGGCAGCGACAGCCAACGATCACTGGCCTTGTCGAGCTTGACCCGCCGCCAATGCTGGTCTAGTGGGTTCCACTAGCTCCTTAGATACATGCACTGCCACATTGCTGTCATTTGGCATTTCCCGTCGCACCTTGCGATCCGAGGAGCTCCCTGGATACGAACGGATAATATCCTGATACATGAGAGAAAGGGGGGAGGGGAGAATTATAAAATATGAGCCAAAAAAAGATTTAGAAAAATTTGAATTATCAGGAGGGGGGGAAGGGGAAAAGACGAGATCCTGAGAGAAGGATCTGCCTTGGAAAATATGATAGTATCCCATCTCCAATTATTCTTGGGAAGAGGAATTGGATCGAGAATATGAGTCAAATAATATTCTATTGGGCCTTTTCCAGAATCCAAGTCATTTAATCCGGGCCTCATATCCGGTTTTGTATACTCCGTAGGGCAATGGGCCCTGCGGTGAGAGGGAATATACGCAGTAAATGCCCGTCCAATTTATTTCTTGGGATGGAATATGTAAGACTTACATTATTCACCCAGAAAAGCATTTTCATGGTGATTTCTGGTTTAAAGAACAAGCTCCACACAATCTACGGAGTACAGGTACACACACCCCTTTATCAGCCTACTCTCTCTCTTTCTCTCTCTCTCTCGTCGAATCCAAAGAGTCCATCCATGTCGATTCCTCAGTTCGAATAGCTAGCGCAAACAGGAAATCATATTCGAATCATGACATGTTTAAGCTATTCTTCCAGTACAAATAATGTACATGCTCAAATGGACCTTTCTAATAGGCAATACCAACCCAAGGCCCAAATTAAAATAAATTAAAAATCTCCCGAAAGCGAAGAGGCAAAGGAGGCAATCAAATGGATCTGCAAGACATTTCGCGCCTTGTTCCGCTTTCTCTGTACACCGTATGCGTACACCGTGGGTGTATATCAGGAATTTTGCTCTTATAGTTTATTTACCATCTACTGTACTCCGTACGGAGTACTGCTCCCAAACCGTTGCCACTCGCCAATGGTGTCTTACGGAGTACACAACGTCGGCAATAACCACAAGACGCGGCATCAAGACTCATTCAATTCCAATCGCCATTGACGGTCATTATTCCCTACCAGTGAGGGGGAGAAAAAAGCCAAGAAACTCATGCTCACCTTGATCATGCAGTTTCTTTGAATCTTACGAGCCCACCGACCAGCACACGGACAGGACACGCATGCATGCATCCACAGGTGGCAATCCAATGGGTTGGATTGGATTCATGGTGCTAGCTTCCCGCTTGTAAGGCCAGAATTTAGCTTTTTTCCTTCATTTATTTAAAATTTTCTATTGAGATATTGCCCTGGTTGTCTCAGTATCATTCATCAGGGGCCGACACAACACAGTAAGCAGGGTTTTTCAAATCACGAAAATCCTTGCGGGCTGTTCACGGAGCATATCACGATTCTTGGCTAGCAGAATCAGTTACTAGAAATGGGAATTGGGAATCCCTCGTACACTATATATAGATGTCGATGTTGGGCGGAATCTATATCTGTCGTGCCAGTCAGACGGTTACGATGACTGGATGACGAAAGTTCCCTGTCTTTTACTGTACACAGAATGCGCGTCCAACAAACACAGCGACAGGGAATGTACGAGGCGGGAGGGCAAAAAGACAGCCAGTCCCCCAATTTGGTGAAGTCTGTTCCGTAGCCTGTAAGAAGTGCCGTCAGCCTTAAGCCCTAACAGGCTGCAGACCAAGTCTCGTGCACAGGGTATTCTTCGGCGGACAGGCTAAAAGGACTAAAAGTATACCTATGACCCGAGGGGCTGTTCCTTATTTTTGATCGCTCTTCGTATGCCTATTATTGCCCCCCCCCCCTCCATCATGTAGCTTACACTGTACGGGAAAGGTCAAGCATTATTTACCTAGCCAAATAACTGTAGTGACATCTTGGCCCGAGCCTGTTGCACGTTGTCAATGTCGCTCGAAAGCCCCTGCAAGTACTCTGGCAACTCGGGACCCAGTTACAGATTGACTAGGGAGCAGGTGCTGGACATTGTTGGTTCGACCTGTTAACTAATGGAGCAGGAATGAAACCGGCGCTAACCGATACCTAGATAATAGCCCTGAGCGTATTGAGTACTCCGTACATAGTTGGTATAGTATTCACTACGGAATACTCAGTATAAGAGAGGGTCGCACAGGACTGTGCTTGGATGATCGATCGACATGGACTTTGTATGGCGCGGTGCATATCTGAAACCCGCCTTTGAATCCTTGGCGCTAAGGGAACACCAATCATGCCGTGAAGAGTCTTGAGGTTATCCGGTGCATTCCCGCGTTCCAATTTCCAGAGACACGACGCTGTTTGGATAATGGATATCATCTTGGTCCGCGGTATTTATTTTAGGTTTACGTCAGTCGTACGTACTACCTAGACACGGTAGGGGTGGCTGTATCTTTCGGCTTCAAGATGGATTCCATGGCTATATGTACGTAAACGATCTTTCTCCTAACCAATCGCTCTGTCGTACCCGAGCTTAATAGGGGGTTTGAGAAGGTCGGGAGTGGACCCCCGATGTTGTGGTATCACCTGGACTCTATCCCGTCCTCGCCAGGCAAAGATGACACTTTTTGCAAAGGCAAATCCAGCATCGGGTCACACCAAGGTAGGTGACTGGAGTTACAGGCGGGATGAGGGGTAGCTTCAAGATGTCGGACGGATTTCGGGCTCAAGTGTCGCTCACCTCCAAGACTTCCAAGTTCCAACGCTAGATCATCTCTAGCGGATGGTTAGGGCCTGGAGAGATTCCTACCGGACCAACTCTAAGACGAAGCCGGTAAGGATGTTTGCGGGGTCTCCGATCATGCATGCCTCAGGATTCCACCGACCGGGCCTTGGCCGGCTGCTCTGCCCTTGCCCTTGCCCTACACCCTAGCTGCGAGCCGCTTTGGGCACACTGCCGTTGCCGCCATGCGATCACATGCTGGAAACCAATCAGACGCGGCACCAAAAGTCTTGGCTCCAGATATCGCAACGTCTAACCCGAACCAGCGGCGCCATCATCAGCAAACACCCTATCATTCTGGTCCTTCTTGTGATTGTTTCATCCCTCGTAACAAGTACATTGCATCGCCGTCCACTTTACCGCCCTCGCCTTCTATCGAGTTGGATTATATCACCCCGTTCCATCAACCATGGCCATGGATAAGATTCCCGGCCAAAATATCTACATAGGAGGGTACGGTCTCGCCTTACCCTGGGTAGCAAATTTACGTCGTGATCCCGAAAATAGCGGGGCATGATTATCTGCAGACGCAAGGGATCACCATGCAGAGGGGGGTTTGATGAACGCATTATTGATGGTTTACAAGCTGACTGATGGGTCTGAACTGTAGCGTTTTCGCGCTGAAGAACAAAGCGGCCCTGAGTCGCGCAAATATCACCCATATCCTTTCAGTGGTTCGACTACAACAGGTGGATGACATTTTCTCATCTTACCAGCATCACCAAATCGATGTAGATGATATGGACGATGAGAATCTCTTAGAGCATTTCCCGTCTGCCATCAAGTTCATTCAGTCCGGCCTGGATGCTGGCGGAAGCGTGCTTGTTCATTGGTTAGTTGGCTCTCTTTTACTTGTTTTGGTTTTTGAATATCTCTTCATATATATGTGTATTGCTCCTTCTTGCATTCTCGTTTCTTTCTTGCTCTTCGCCTTGACCTTTATTGATGTATACCGTGTGCCACGTCACGTGGTTTCCATGTTGATCATCCCGAAACTGTATTCCTGCTTCACGGACCTACTACGAGTCATGACGATGAATCTTCGCCGTCAAAAAATATCTCGCTAACTTTAAATAGTGCCATGGGGAAGTCCCGCTCGGCCGCTGTCTGCGTTGCCTATTTGCTCCACCAACAGCCCAGTGCACTAACACCACAATCCGCGCTTGAGGTGATTCGTCAGAGTCGAGCATTCTGTGAGCCAAATGACGGATTCATGGAGCAATTGTCTATCTACCATGAGATGGGCTGCCCGGATGACGTTATGAATCATCCTCTCTACAGTCGGTGGCTCTACCGTCGCGAAGTTGAAGACAGCGTAGCATGCGGACGGGCGCCGGAGATGACGTCCGTGCTTTTCGAAGATGAGCAGCAGAGATCGCAGGAGACCACGGATCGAACAAGAGAAATTAAGTGTCGCAAATGCCGGTGAGTGTCCTGCATCTGCGGCAGCCATGGATTGCTCCCAAGACAGGCCATCATTGTCACACAGTCGCAACTGCTAACCAAGTTTCGAATAGGCGGACGCTGGCAACCACGCCATTCGTCATCCCGCATGGACAGCAAAAGGGCGCGAATGCATCGAATGATTGTGCCCACATCTTCCTGCATCCGCTGACATGGATGCGTCCATGCCTTTTTCCCAACAGTACCCCTGACGCTTCACCTTCCGAAGAGGCGCCGCTTTCCGGGCGCTTGACATGCCCGAACACAACCTGCGGGTTCAACATTGGCAAGTTTGCGTGGCAGGGCATGAAATGTAGCTGCAACGAATGGGTGGTACCCGCCATCGGGCTTGCTAAGGCCAGGGTTGATATTTTTGATCGAGTTAGCGCGGGACATGGACCCGGGAGGTTGCCGCCGGCAGCGTTGGGCATCCGGTTGCCACCCGGTATGAGACCCAATAGCGTTGACAAGCAGAATGGGGGGCGAGGGAGTCTGTGAAGACCAGACGGTGACGAACACACGCTAAAGACAAATCAGCGTGGCTGAGTCCATCTCAAGACTCAGTACACGAAGGATCGCTCGAACACTTGAAAGAAAAAACAAAATTTAGAAAAATTTAGCAGCCACATTTAACGCGAGGCCTTGCATCCACATACGTCACGTGGGATTACGATCATCGCCGGCTCTCTTCACTAATTAGGCCGAGGGCTGGGGACAATCTCACAAAGATCAACGCCACAAAGCCTATTATTTTCTTCCGTTTCTTCTGCTTTCTTTTTCTTTTTTCTCAGGGGTTGGAAGCAGTGGGCCCGTTAAATTGCCAAGGGAACGAGCAAAAAAGAAACAAGGATTCTAGATCGCTAGATAGCAAGAGGTCCGAAAACTTATTTGGACAGGAGACTGCGGGCAGTCCGGCAGTCATTGGAATATAATAAGAACAAATGAGGCTAGACTCGAGAGCATTGACAGGTATCTTTATATCTGGACAATAAACTAATAGTACTACAACAATAGGGTCCGGTCTAGACTTTTTTCAGTCTGACTTTGAAACTGCGCGTGCGTGTGATTTCATAGGACCCTGATGTCGATCATTCCCGAGCGGCCTAAGACGCGCCGTTAGTCGTGGAGATAATAGATAGGAAACAGGAGATTGCAAGTCTCCCTTTCACCCGACAACGACCACCCAAAGAGGAAGCACGGATTTCCTCCCATCGAGACGAACCGTGTCCGACTATGCCAACCGTCGTCCTCCCTACAATTATGTCTTCCGCACGGTGTACCTGGGGATGGCACCACCCATGCCTACCAGTTTGCCTCGAAGCGCTAGAAACCTGTCAGGATCCAGGGCTCAACCCCACATCCCCATGAGGCTGTTTTAAGGCAGCCCCACGAGAGCGCAACGCGGCCAATCAAGGCGGGAGCATAGACCCGGGATCTGCACCGTGGGAAGATCGGGAGAACAAACTTCGCAGTCTTGCACAGTTCCTGGGCCAGATTATTAAGCCGGGGCGGGCAGTAGTAGCCGCCTAGCTTACCCGGTTAGGACTAGTGTGGTACTGCTCCTTGGTCATTGCGTAGCCTAATGGGGGGAGGGGGAGAGGGGAGGGTAAACCAAGGTTAGTGGTGGTCTACTAACGCAGGACTTTTTCTTTTTTTTCTTTTCCATTTTATTTTATCTTCCTTCCCTGAAAATGGGAGAATAGGACAGGTAGGGGGACTTAGGGGGGGCGAGGGAGAGACCGACTTGGTCTAGCCCTTTTTCCTTAGCTCCGGCACGGGGGCTGTGCAAACTGCTCTTACGCAACTGGGGCAGCCAGAGACCCATGGATGGAATCGCTTCCGTTGTCCGTATCCATCCATCTTACCTATCCCATCCTAGCCTTACCCAGTACCTACCGAGTCGGGTCTAGTCCCGCCGGTACCTTAATCTGCAAAAAGCGACGGCGCCCCGGACGAAACTTACCACCGTACCAGCGTATTTGTCTCTGGGTAATTTTCACTTCCCCCATCCGGAGGGCCCTCTCCTCCACTTGGTAATTTCAGTACGCGGACCAGACCGCCCTCTTTTTCCCTCCCTGCACTTTTGATCCATTCTGAAATCTGAATCCTTCGCATTCCTCAGATCCAATATACTTCGAGCAGAAAGCGTTGACTGATTCGCTTGGCCCCCCTTGGTTTCAAGACTACGTTACTCATCGCATGGCGGAAGAGGACCCTTCCAGTCTTTTCAGTTTCTGGATTCTGGCCCGACCGACCTGGTCACTCTTCTTCCTGATTCAGATATGCCCTCTGCAATCATTGCCTGAATGAACACATCCGAATGGAGTAGGTCTGTCTGCATCTGGTAAGTGACGTCACAACTTCTTTTTCATTTTCATTTTCATTTCTACTAGTTAGTAGTAGTTAGACTACTTGTCGCTGCGTCACCACTGGATGTGCCCGCCCCTTCGAATTAACTCCTCGGAGGGGACAAAAACCCTAACCTAGACTCTTTCTCTTTTAACTCCAAACGATGATCTCCATAATCTCCCTTCTCACCGGACTAGTCTGATAATCCAGGTACCAAGTTCTCTGTCGAGTAGATTACAATGTCAAGCTCACCCAGTAATTTGTAGTCTCTCACCAATCAGTCTCTTGGATTTTGACTCCATTACCCCCAGTTCTCATGGCTTGCCTAATTATATTTACCCGACTATCTACCATCTACTGAGTAGACATTCGAGCCTCAGTCTAGTATAGAAACATAATACCAGGCCATAGAATTCTCCGCAGCCTGTCTCATTGAACCAAGATCACGCCCATGACCCTGCACCAACAATAGCACTTCTCTACCTTCCCCTGTTCCTTAAAAAAAACCCCCCCCCCCCCCCCCCCCCCTAACTACCCAGTTTGCCTAGGCAAGCAAGACTCCGTCCGTTGCCTCAACCAATTTCTCTGGAAGAAGCTAAAACATGCACAGCCTCCTTCGGTCCCCACTATCGAAGTACATACGTACTGTATCTACAGGACAACTTCCCTCGACTCTCCTCTCTCGACTTCCTGTCCCCCTCACTCTGTTCCTCCTCTAACCGTGGGGCCTTATTTTTTCTTCTTAATTTCGATTTCTGTTCCCCCACAGGGAAAGCTCGTCGGCTCGGATTCTTGTTGCATCATGGCGTCAGCTGGGAGGTGAGGAGAGGTTTCTGGGCGTCGGTCTTCTACTTGCTACTCCGTACGAGGTACTCTCGTCTCCTCTTTTCTGCTATTTCCGTCCGTATGGGATGGACTGGGTCTGTTGCCTACTACGTACCTCCGTAGGACCTACGGAGGGACCCTGCATGCGTACTCCGTGATCCGAACACTCCGTAAATAATGGCTGAGGATGACACTGAGCCCGATATAACTAACTAGCCCAAGTACATACGGTGTAATGTAATAGCCTACTGTACGCCGTGTTCCTCCCTGGTCATTCGATGGGTTCCGTCTCCGGAGTATATACTCCGTACTACGTGCGGATGACACTGAGCCCTGTCTACCCAACTGCGTACTCAGTATCTAGGTAGCAATGTTTAATAGCGCTGTAGTGGAACAGAGAATCACAATGAATTAATTATTCAGGGGCAAGTAAGTTAGAAAATAAGTCATTAAGTAAAATCAGTAACTACCTAAGTAAAGTACTGTACATACCTACCTACCTACCTACCTACCTACCTCTCACCCAACAATCCATCCCAACAAACGATACCTCTCAACCCAATCCTCCGTTTCATTACTTCACGTGGTACACGATACAACATCATCCTCACGTAAAGGGAGAGGGAAAGGGAAAGGGAAAGGCAAAGGGGCCAAACGTCTGTACAAAACGACGTGGCTTCCTCCCTACCTAGCTATCCTAGTCCTCATCCATTCTCCACCCTGTGCATGCCATTTGTTAATCCCCGACTGTCTCGTTTTAACGATGACAGGGGCCGAATAACTAAGTACCTGAGCTATAGTGTCGCATGACATGACTACATAATAAGGTGTATGAAGGGGGGGGGAGCTGGAGCATCGGATGCTGTTTATAGAGCGGTTCTTCGTCTTGTCAGGGGCCGAGGAACAGGGGTTATTACTATGTAGATCATGGCGGGTCTGGTCTTGGGGTTTGGGCTGTGCATGGGGTTGGTAAAACTGTCGGGTGTCTGTGGGTTGGGGGTTTGGGGGTTGTTATGTGTTGGTGGGACGATGTGTGATACGTGTATGTGTTTAGATAGGGGTCCGGTACTTTATGGTCAAGTGGGGGATGGGGTGGGTTGAGAGATGTCTGGTGACTTTATAGGTATGTATATACTACACTACATCTATAGCTAGGGTTTGTCTGAATAGAATAGTTATATATATTTGTCTCTTTTCTTGATCGGTGAGGAATATGTCGAGTTGTCGAGTAGAAGAACCCGTGGACTGTCTCTAGAATATCAAAAACTCGGCGGGGTATCTTGAAGAGGGCCATATCGACCTGTTCTTTGCTTCGAGTTGGCTCATGGTCTTAGGAATGAATGGTACCTTTGTGTAGACTCCTTGGGCTGAGAGACTAGGTCACATGGATGTATATATGCTAGATTAGGCGGCGTGGGTTTACGGACATCCTCACGTTAAGGTCTCTCAAGTTGAAGATGGTAGCTCATGATATACTCATTCAGTACAACATGCTACTCTCCCTTCATTAGTCTTCTGCGCATGAAATTGCCAAGTAAACAAAGACCAAAAATCTATTTGAACAGCCTCCACCGGCAAACGCCAGAGCGATACATACTATACTCTAAAAAAGCAGGTCGTGACTTTTCAGCAACATTGTTTCGAGGGAATGGTAAAAAAGCCCCATAATACACTGGCGAAGTATAGGAAAAAAAAAAAAAAAAGACAGACTACATTGCATCAATGCAGGAAAATGCGCAAAAGCCCCAAATGCAGAAATAAAATGTCCGTCCATATCATCCATAGAACGGAATGCATAACCTACTCGCTCGTCATAGTTCATTGCTGGTTTATTTTGTGGACGTCTCATACTCAATAAGACTAGCTGCCTCTCTGGCTAGCCGGAGATCTTTTCCGACAAGTCCAATGTCTTTGAGGTAAGGGTTGAATGCAGATAGAAGATCGCTGAGAGAGTGCTTCAACACATCGCGAACAAGATCCACTTCCGGCACCCGTCGTGCCTCCAACTGGTCCTGGGGGCTATTTTCTGACGGGAAGTAGATATCTGTCCAGTGCACATTCATTCCCTTGTTGACGAACGTCTCCAGAATCAAGATCGTATCGGTGTAAAGACGTACGACGGCAGGAACATCCGCCTGGACCTTGCCGTATTGATCTTCCAGGAGACTAGCCACGAGAAGACGAGTTAGCGAGTCGATCGCATCGACAATAGTGCATGCGGTGGAATTAGGAGAGCCGAGGACGACAGCCGACAGCCGGCGGGCATAGGTTTGTCGAAACAGCCAGCCAATTGGGGAGCGCAGGAAAAGGGCGACGAGTGAATGAACGTTGGCCGGTTTGCCGGCCGACATGCCCGTGAGAATCTTGAGCTCCCGGTAGGATGTCGAGGCACGGTTGATGGCGTCACGGGCGCGAAGACTGCTTCCAGGTGACCAACCTGGCCAGTCCGGAGTAGATTGGCCGTAAGACTTGGCAGTTGTGCTGAAGGCCTCCTCAAAATGCTGTCGGCGTGAAGTTGCCTTGGGGGAGGGCGCAAAAATGTCTTGCGCCTTGGGCGCTTCGGTGAGACGGGGCAGGGTCTGTAGAACGGGAGGCGGCTGCTCTGGTTGCGGTTGCTTCGAGCCCGGTTGAGGTTTCGTTTCTTCTTCAATGCGAGCCGAGACGCCTTTGATCACATCGCTGGCAGATTGCAGGATTTGTGTCCACGCCGGCGCACCTTCACGATCGATGTCGTTGAAGATCGCCTTACGTCGGTCAGGGAATTGTTGACTGATGAAAGACAACTCCCAAAAAGCAAAGGCACGAACGGCTTCTTTTTTCGCAATTAATCCGGTCAAAAGGCTGCCGTTGGGATCCTTCGCGTCTGCTGTCAATGGTTGGCCCCTCTTCAGAGGCTCCTTGCTGAGGAACACAGAGAAGAAAAGGTTGGCGGTTTCCCAGCAGATGACGAGGAGTGTCCCCGACCACAGAGGTCGGAACACATGCCAAAAGCCGAAGGTCTTGAGTGATGGAGGGTCTGCGGCGGATTGCGGGAAGTTCCAGAACAGTTTGGCGAAAAACATAGCGAAGCTCCAAGCTGCGCGCCTAAAAAAGATCACGTATAAGAAAGGTAGGATAGCGGTGACTTTGACCACCCGCTTGACTGCATCAGCGACAATTCGAGGTAGCGCCTGTTGAATCTGCTTGGAAATCGGCGAGACGGGATGCCTCCGCTGGTCAGCAGCACCAGTGGCTGGCTTGGCGACGGGAATGGGGATGAGATCGAAATCATAGTAGAAGTGGATTGCCGACTGCACAATTGCTAAGGCAAAATTGCAGGCGTAGAAGTAGACCGTCTGCTCGTTCAAGGACACTCTTTCGTGGGGCCTAATTTACTGTCGTTCAGAGAGAGTCCAGCTTCCCAATGGAGCGTTGTGTACCAGAGAGAAGAACAACGTACCTTGCTTGGTTTACCCATTCCAGATTTGCGCTTCTAGGAGACGACCACGTATAGATTTCACTGAACCACCAGGCCGAGAACAGATACCACCCTGTAGTCTGGATCGCCTTAAACGGGAGGGAGTCTTGCAGAGTGAAAAGCGGAGAGGTGGTGGTTCTCGAACCAATGTGCATCTGCCCAACACGCAGGACGAAGACAACGAGACTAGAGATGAACAAGAGGACTGTACGAATTCCACATGCTCCGATTGGAAACCATGACCATAGGACTAAGTGCACAAGAAAATCAGCAACTCATCAACGACTCGACAACTAAATTTTTTTGGGACTTTCCCTTCGGCGTATGTCAGGTGCGCTACTTACAAGATGATTTATCACCAATGAGGAATGCAATTAAATAGTTGACCAGCAGCGCCAAAGCTGAAGCATGAACAAATCTTCGGTGCAGGGCAGACGTCAAAATGCGCCGGTATGGGCGCGGCCCGCCAGCAGCCATGATGGGAGATTAAGCGAAGGACTGCAAAGTCTCTGGATGAGAGAGGAGGTTAAGACCAATTCACAGCATGATCAGCCGGGAAGCGACACAGAGAGAATGACGGAGGGTGAATGAGCTGTGACCCGGAGGCGCGGGGAGCATGCGACAAGGTGAAATAAAGCTTTTTGGACCGAAGCTCGGGAGAAGCAAAGCATCAAAACACACCAGCCACATTCACACCGCCCGCCGTTCTCAGGACTCAGGTGACTGCCCACCCGCCACAGAATTGCATCATGTGATGGAGGCCTGCAATTCCGGGCATCAATCCTAGGCAATGCCGTGTTGACGCTACTCCTCTCCTCTCTTCAATCTACCCTTCGCAACTTTCGAGTCCCCAACGAATAATCCTCGTCATGTCTTTCGACCGCTTGAGCTCGCTGGAGTCCCAGCCTACTACTATGCGCCGATCCGATGATCCGCAATACCGCGATGACCCCGAATTCTACCGCCTCACCGAGACCCTCTCTAATCAGCTGTTCGGCCTAACCTCCAACATCACCCGATTGTCGGATCAGATCGCTCTGCTAGGCACAAGGAGAGACACCGAACGAGTGCGCGAAAGAGTCCATAATCTCCTTGAACAGGCCCGATCGGGGTTCAAGGAAGTCGGAGAGGGGATCAAGAAGGTTCAAACATGGGAGGACGTCAACGTACGTTAGACCCGCATGACAGGCCCCTTCATCTATGCCATGTGACTGACCCATATCATCTAGCCATCCCAAAAATGGACGCAGCAGAAGCTGTCTTCTGAATTCAAGGCCACTCTAGAAGAATTCCAAACGGTTCAGCGCCGTGCTCTAGAGAAACAACGTGCCTCTGCAGTAGCGGCGCGCACTGCTGTGGATGAGGGTGAAGTGCCCCCCGAAGATGCCGAGGCGTATCAACAGCAACAAGTACAGCAACTTGAACAACAGCCTCGACTGGCGAACCAAGACGAGGTGGATTTCCAGGAGACCTTGATCATCGAACGTGAAGCGGAGATCCGCAACATCGAGCAAAGCGTCGGGGAACTCAATGAGTTGTTCCGCGATGTGGCCCATATTGTCCACGAACAAGGCGGCCAGCTCGATATTATCAGTGAGAACGTCGAGCGTGTCAACAACGACACGCGAGGCGCAAATGTCGAGCTGCGCGGGGCTAGCCGGCATCAGAAGAATGCAAGGAACAAGGCCTGCTGCCTGCTTGTCATTCTTGCAGTCATTCTTCTCATTATCGTGCTGGCAGCCACTCTTGGTTGAGGTGCGTTGGTCCCATGCTTGAATTGCTCGAGTGAGAGCCTTTGCTGCGCATCTGTGATGTGTTTTGATATGATCGCTTTTCTCTTTCTTCCATGATATCCTCGGATGTACGGTTATGTGTACCCCTACACTTTTGTTTGTTCTTTGCGGTTGGTTTTGTTTTTAGTTTTGTCTCCCCTATACGGACTTTTCATTATCTTATGACCGGCGGGCGTTAGGATGAGGGAAGTGCTATCTGCATTTGTTGTTCTTCGATCGTCGCTCCTCTAGAGACGAGTATCATACATAGCTGCTGTTATACAAGACTTTATACATCAGGATCATTGCCCAAACCCGAAACCCAAAACTCCACTTTCGCCATCTATATGTGCATCATGCAAAGACGTGGACGGCGCGAGTTGCCTTTTAAAGCCCCGCAAACCGACTAAACCTCAACCTGCAGCCCTCCCAGCTGTTCAGTTTCGGTCGAACGTCCAAGTAGAAACTCAACTTGCCCGGTCCAGCGTTGGCTGCCAGGCCTCCCGAGGAATTACCACCGGATGATTTCCCTTGGTAGAAATCAATCACATATTCGATCCTCTCCCCACCGCACCTTTCCACCACCCAGTCGTGTCGGTCAAAAGGTAGCTGATACCCCATGAGACTGTTCACGCGAGCGCGCGGACTCAGGAACTGGGGATCCGTACCCAAGCCACGGAAAGAGTACAGTCGCGGACCTCCACATTTCTTGCTCCCGGGGTCTGATCGGGGACCCTGTTTCTCCCACTCGAGGATTTGATGCCAGGCGCGCTCGTTGACGGCATTGTGGATGGGGATGATTGATGCCACTGAGGTGGCTAATTCAGATGCGGAGTTGGTGGAGGAAGGCGTGTTCCCCTTGCGCATCAGCGCTTCGAAAAATTGACGCTCGGAGGGATAGATCCAGTTTCCAGTATTCTGATCATGGCCCGTTTCGGTCTCCGCGTTCGATGGCGTTCCATGCGATGCAACGGACGCGGCCGCATATGGTGACGGCGCTTGATCGGCGGCCTCGGGGAATTGTTTCGTCGTGGCAGCATCGATGGCCCGGGGTATCGTGCTTATTTCGCGATCTGTGGACAGCGGACGTTGGAATTTCTCCTTGGGTTTCTCATCGTCCGGAGGCATCGGATGGGGAGCACCACCCGAAGCCTTGTGTTGTTGCAACCAGACCTCCCTGGTTTTGTGATCCACTGGACATGTTGCCGGCTGAGAGGGCTCAGGAGGAGGGGGCGACGGAGTGCTTGCACCAGCTCCCATTGTGAGGGGTGGAGGGAAATCTTGCGATTGACAAGAGAGATTGAGGACGAGTGGAAAAAAGATAGGAAGAGAGCACGAACGACAGATTATTAATTGCGACTCTGGGAAATCCCATACGGCAGGCGGTGGGGAATTTCTGGTTTCTCACCGCCCTTGGGCCCCAACGGATTTCCGGACCGGGTAATCCTATTGTCTTCATCTTTCCCCCTTTGCGCTGCCTGCCCCTCCTGCCTCCTTTCTCGCTGCAACTTCACTCCACACACTCACCATGGCCGCTTCTACCCAGAATAGCCAGGTCTTCCGTGCCACTACCACGGCTCCAGTCAACATTGCCGTGATCAAGTAAGTTTGTCCAGTTTTAGATCGATATTTACCCCTCTTCAAATCAGTACGGGTGTTTTGCTAGTTCCGGTGGTGTTGATCATATGTCTGTATAGATACTGGGGAAAGAGAGATGCCACCTTGAATCTTCCTACCAATTCTTCCCTTTCCGTCACCCTGTCCCAGCGCTCCCTCCGCACTCTCACCACCGCCTCCTGCTCCGCCAAATACCCCACCGCAGATGAGCTCACCCTCAATGGCAAGCCTCAGGACATCCAGTCCTCCAAGCGTACCCTCGCTTGTCTCTCGAACCTGCGCTCGCTCCGTCAGGCTCTGGAAGCTGCGGATGCGTCTCTCCCGAAATTGTCGGCTCTTCCCCTCCGCATCGTGTCGGAGAACAACTTCCCCACCGCTGCCGGTCTCGCCAGCTCTGCCGCCGGCTTCGCCGCTCTTGTTCGGGCGGTTGCCGACCTATACCAACTCCCCCAGTCTCCCCGTGATCTTAGCCGGATTGCTCGTCAAGGATCTGGATCCGCTTGCCGGTCTCTGATGGGTGGCTACGTGGCGTGGCGCGCTGGTAGCCTCACCGATGGAAGCGACAGTCTGGCCGAGGAGGTTGCGCCTGCCTCGCACTGGCCCGAGATGCGTGCGGCCGTTCTGGTGGTCAGTGCCGAGAAGAAGGATGTTCCCAGCACCGAGGGTATGCAGACCACGGTCGCTACATCCAACCTCTTTGCTACGCGGGCCACGTCGGTCGTGCCTGAGCGAATGACCGCCATTGAGACTGCGATCCAAAACAAGGACTTCCCTGCCTTTGCGGAGATTACCATGCGGGACTCCAATGGCTTCCACGCCACCTGCCTGGACTCCTGGCCCCCGATCTTCTACATGAACGACGTCTCCCGTGCTGCGGTTAGACTCGTGCACGACATCAACCGTGCCGCTGGTCGCACGGTTTGTGCCTACACCTTCGATGCTGGCCCCAACGCCGTGATCTACTACCTCGAGAAGGACTCCGAGCTCGTTGCGGGTACGATCAAGGCTATCCTCGGCGCTAGCGCCGACGGGTGGAACGGCCCCTTCTATGAGCCCCTGAAGAACCTCACCGCTCCCGGTGTCCCCCTGGATAGCCTGGACTCCCGGGCTGTGGAGGTGATCAAGGATGGCGTCAGCCGCGTCATTTTGACAGGCGTCGGAGAGGGCCCTATCAGCGTGACTGACCATCTTGTGAGCGAAACCGGCGACATCCTTTCTCAGTGAGGTGCGTCAGACGAGCCTGCATAAAACGGGTTTTGTCGTATTTGGAAAGCTTTGATTCGAGCGTCCTTTTGCATGAAGGGATTCAGCTGAGAGCAGATACCCACCCACCCAAATCTCCTTTCCCTTGCATAATTTTGCTGTCGTGTCGTACAAAAGTGGCTCAACCCATATTGTATGCCTGATGTTTTCAACAACGAAACAGAAATTGGATTTTTTTTTTTTTTTTTTTTTTTTTTACATATGGAAATACCATTGTATCTCCAGATTGGTTTTAATTTAAGTTTGTCTATATGAACTCCTACGAATTCGATTTTATCTCCAATAAAGAAAAAGTTCAATCATGAGGGGGAAACACCCGTAAGACTTTTGAAATGCCTGAACCTATTTTGAACCAGGCTTGTGCAAGAAGAAGAAATTATTCGGCCACATGACGGATTCCCTCCTTCCCCTTCTTCCTTGCTTTTGTGTCGTCAAGTCATATTTGGAAAAGAAAACGAAAGGAAGCCCAATTCAGCTCAGTTCAACAAAGCCGATTGCTTCATCAATTTGACCGTCGGTATTTGCAGATTCTGCGCCGACGCAAGGCTGTCTGTCGCCACCATGGAAGCCTCGAACTCATTTCCCTCTTCCGGGTTGTCGTCGGGCTGCTGCTGCTGTTTCTGCTGCGAGGGTGTCTCAACACCGACAATCTCCTCGCGGCTCTCAACGCACAGCTTGACCACCTCCTGCATGGTCTTCTCGACGGCGGCGGCACGCTCGCGCATGTTACGACGCAGCAGCGCATCCACCAGCGTCTCGACCTCAGGGATAGTGGTGTTGACGCGCTCGATGAGTCGCCGCACGCTGTTCACCAGGTACTCTTCCTCGTAGACGGTGCCCTTCTTGCCCTTTGCGCGCTTGCGCTCCTCCCGGCGGCGGTTCCGCGAGGATTGTCGCGACGAGCTCGTCTTGCCTGTCTTACTCGTGTTTCCTGTGTACCGCGTGAACATGCTGCGGCCGGCCAGGGTCGACGCGTCCGTCGGCGCCAGGGATACGTTGTCTGGGATGTCGACGCCCAGCTCGCCAGTCGTGGGGTCGCCGCCGAAGTAGGCCAAGGGATCGGTGATGCGACGTACACGCAGCTCCCGGATGCGCGGCACCTGTGCGTTCAGCTGCGAGCGGAAGTCGGCGAGGAGGTCGGTCATGGTGCCCATGGCGTCGGCGAGCCCTGTGTCGACGATCTCGGGGATGAGGGCCTGCTGGCCGTGTAGGGCGAGTAGTCGCGTGGCCTCGGCGAAGCGCGAGCCTCTGCAGAGGAGTCGGGCGCCGGCTGGCAGGTCGTGCAGGTACTCGGCGTGGATGGTTGCGGCCGAGACGTAGTCCCGGCTCTCCTCGGTGAGGGTGGTGGCGAGCGTGACGGCGTGATCGTGCAGGTCCTGTTCCGAGAGAGGGACCATCATGGCGCAGTACAGGGATTCGCGCCAGAGATGTGCCAGGTGGTAGCATTTGTATGCGTCGGTGAAGATGGAAAGGGATTCGTATGCTGAGCGAGGATATTAGCAGCCAGGTTAGATAAGAGTATTGATGTGTTAATGAAGAAGAAAACGTACCGATGCCTGCTTCCTTGTACTTCGATTCGTCGTAGAGGTAATCGGCATAGGTTTTGGTTATGTCGTGTAGTTGTTCAGGCTGGTACTTGTAGAGATCGATAGCGTCCTTGTAAAGAACGTGCTTGATTGCGTATGCCCGAAGCTCGTCGTGGGCGTTGAGCGTATGAAGATGTTTGATGGCCTTGCTGTGCCGGGTCAGGTAATTGTCGATTTCGAACAGACGTCGGGTTTCAGGGGCCTGCTGGAGCTTCCGTAGGAATGGAACGTATTCGCGGGGATCCTGTGTACAGTTAGCTTTGGAAGCTGTGAGGATTCAGGCGTGGCACGTGCCCTTTGAGCTTGCTGAGCGACCAGTAGCGTGAGCTCGAGATCGTAAAGCCCCAGTGCATGATCGTAAAGGCGATTAGCGTCAGTCAGGAAGCACATGTGCTCGATTGCATCGTCCGCTTGCTCGGGGGCTTGCTCTAATCAATTGGTTAGTATCAGTGCCAGCAAGAGTATCATCGATCCTGGACCTACGTCTCAATCGTGCAACCAATTGAAGGCCAGCCTCAAGGGCGGGTGGCGACTTGCAAACGTGAGCAGTGATAAGGTTGTGCAGGTTGGTGTCTAGCCGCTTCTCCAGAGTGGCCAAAAATGCATCGCAAATGCGGTTTACTTTGCTACCCTTGGTGGGAAGGCTGGCGGCTGCCGCTTCTTCAGCCTTCTTCGGTAGCGTATCCTTGTAGAGAGTTTGGGTGACATCCTCCTCGCTGGTGGAAGTTAATACAATATCGCCAACAGGCTCTTAGGAAGATGACATACCTCAAGCGCGAGATGAACTCATCGATGAAATCGATGCGCTTAACTTGATCAATGAACAGCGGGATGTTCTCCATGAATTGCTCGGGTGCATAGTCATGGATGATGTTCATGTCCACCATCTGGCTACGGCAGCTGAGGAATGCATTCCGGTAGTCTTTTCTATCGATGAAATTCCGGATACCGGCAAGAACCAAGGCGCGAGGATAAATGGTTTCGATATTACCACGAGGCATTTGCAGGACAACGGCAAAAGTGGTGGGAACGACGCTCACCAAGCGCCCTCCACGTTCGATGCTTCTGCATCTTTCATCTAATTCGGGGGTATCGAGGGGTACATCCATGGCTAGAGTTGGAAATTAGTTATTTGGAGAAAGAATTTAGCGAGGTTCTTACTCACCTTCTGGTCTGGTCAGATGAACGAATTTTAGAAGGTGTTGGGAGGTGGTAAACACGATGTGGGCTTGAGTTGTCACGAAGGATGTGCAATTCTTCGCGAGCAGGGTTTTATTCGCATATAGAGCGCCAGTTCTCGTCAAAGACACCAGGACATGCTTGGGAGAGTTAGCATATTTATCAGAGTTCAAGGAATCGGCAGATATCACCTCGTCTTCCGATATTTGAGCAGCTTTAGCCCAGTAGGTATCGGCAGTAGGGCTAGAAGTAAAGGGGGCAATATCAACCTCGTCCGGGGAGATTGTGTTGATGTAGGAGTAGGAGATCGGTTGACCAGGTTTGTTAACGTGCGAGAACCATAGAGTCTCTTGGCTTAGAGAGGGCAGGATAGAAACAACCTGCTCCGAATCGGCTGCCTGATAGACGACACCGGTGTCTCGAGTCTCCAATGTCGTTCGTTCGATATCGGTACTATTGGGTCCGCTGCTTTTGAGAATATACACCTCAGTCTCATTGATGAAGGCGATTTGTCGAGGTCGACTGTTGGGTGTGTTTGACAAGGGGTAGCTCGATTCAAGTATAGGGGTGGCCACGGGTCTGGTCTTGAAGGACCATAGGTAGATAGAGAAGCTGTTCTCCGTGAGAACGGCAATACGCGTGGTTGTTTTGCTAAACGCCACATCGATGACGTTCGAGTCCAAGGCGAGTTCATTGTGGGCCAACGGAGGCGGCACCCCCGACAACCTCAACGGGGTCAATTTCAAGGTTTCTAGGTCGAGTCAGATATGTACTTTCGACTTCTGTGGAAAGGGTCAAGAACTCACTCCCGTCGATAACAGCCACAGCCCCGACATCACCCGGGGAAACCGTCGAACTATGAGCAACGTCGAAAACAAATTCCACGTCGAGTATTGAGTCTATCAAAAAGCATTAGCTGAGCCAACGATCTCTCAAAGGACATAAAATACCTGAGGCGCCGGCCACAAAGCGCAACGCTTTCTCATTATGCCATTTGAAAGCAAAAGGATGCGAATATTCATGGTTTACAACCACGGGGACCTCCTGTTTGAGATAGTAGTGGTAATTGCCCATCGTCCAGAAGTGGACCTTGTCCTGGAACTGAACGGCGAGCACCGTCGAATCGATATTCCAGCTAAGATGAATGTTTGAAGCCCAAGATGCTCGTTCCTCCTCGGTCAATCGCAGGGTAAACTCGCCATGACGCAGACCATTTCTTTCGAAGAACACGACATCAATTTTCTCCTCGGACCGCTGGATACTTGCAATGAGATTGCCATAAGGTCGCCAGCTCAAAGCTCCCTCTAAGCCATCGACGGGCTCGCTGACGCTGTCCAAGGTTCCCTCTCGCGAATACACTCGGATAGCACGACGGATACCGGACTCGACACGGTTCACCGCGACGTATGCGCCATCCCCGCGCCAGCTGATGGAGGTCCGTCCGTCATCATTACTGCTTAGTTTTCCCTCGTCCACCTTCTCGGGGACGGTTGGGTCACGCATAGCCTTGGCTCTCTTACCCTGAAACTGCGTTTCGCGCTTACCCCAGCCCACCGACACGTGCTGAGATTGCTGCAGATTCTCGGGGGTTAAAGTGATGTCGGCCACATTCTCAAATTCCCTCGTCATGTACAAGAAGGTGTCGGCGCGAGTAGTCAGAGCCAATAGCTCCTCGTCCGGCGACCAAGCCGCCGCCGTGATACCCACATCGACCGAACCCACAATCTCGATCTTGTCCTCGCCGGGAAGCGGTTCTTCGCGCACGGTGACAATGTCGCCGCCTTCGAGCACCAGGCAGGCCGTCAGGTTGTCGGCAAAGTAATGCAGTGAGCAAACGCGATCACAGGGCAATTCCGGCAAAGGACAGGGCGCATCCCAGGACGCGATACACTCAAAGGTATCGGCCGTTACCGGGTCCGAAAAATAGGCATCGGCACGCTTTCTTCTCAGTTCGATGACCGGGTTGGCCTCTGTGGGACCAAATGTGCAAATGACAGCATCGGAGGCAGTGTCCCAAGCCGTCGCCGTCAGAGGAAGCTCATTCTGGAGCTGCACCTCGGCGAGGCGCACGTTCTTGAGGTTGCGCATATTCTAGAGTGGAGAGTGTATGAGGACTCTTTTTTACCCCGCCATGAATCGACCGCAATGTTGGCGGGAGGGAATGACGGACTAGCAGAAATCCAACCGGGAAACCAATCGGGAATTCAAAATTCCCAGGATGTTCGATAGTCGTCCTCAGTCCTGGAGTTTGGGAGATATGCGGAAGGGAAGGGGACCTTTCCTTTGGAGATGGGCGGAGCCGCAAAGCGATGCGATGCGGGAAGAAAAAAAAAGAAAAATTAAAAAGAAAATCAGCCAATGACTTCATTCAGATTGAAGATTGCATCGGCCCATCCACAACGACTCCGTTTCCACTCTCTACACCGTTTACATTCATATCACCTTCTGTGAGTCTCTACGGCTTAAGGGACATTCCTCCGCGTCAAAAAGAAAAACATCTCCATTCCCCCAATTTGGTCAATTCGCTAGCTTTATACAGGATATCCGACCGCTTCCATTCTAGGGTACATTTTCGACCATGTCCCCAAATCCCATGGTGCGAAGAAACACGGCGCAACACGGCATTTACCGGGTCTTGTAGGTCTGCCAGACTAGAGAGGAAGTAATGTTAGTCAATTGAGCACCGCAATGCGTAGTTGGGATCGTCAACATACCGGCAATGCCGAAGGGAGCACCGAATCCGGTGACTAAACGGAACCAGGGTATTAGCATAATCCATCGCGAAGCACCCCGAGTATCCATCGATTGGGTCGGCTTACTCATGAAAGCCCAGTATCTGAAGAAGAAATACTTGGTGTGAGGGTTGAAGGGGATGTTGGAGCGAGGACCCTCGGCGTAGTGGTAAGGGCTACCGAGCTGGGCACGGGTGGTGGAAAAGCCACGGCGGGCGATGAAGGAGGTGGCCATACGAGCCCGAAGAGCGGCGGCGGCGTTCATTTTGGAATTGGACGGTAGGAGACAATGCGGAAAAGAGAGACAGTCGGAGAGGAGAGGAGGGCGGAGGGAGAGCGAGCAACTTGTCAAAGGTCAAACCATCAACGGGAAGAGAGTCGAGGCATCAGGTGAGCTTCCGGTCGGCGGCGTCCCCGGAGTCTGAGCACGTGATTTATTCTCCGAACGGCAAGTTTCCCCGGCGGCGAAGTGCAATTGCCGTCGCCCATCCTCTCGCCGCCTTCCTAAAAGAAACATTGAAATTTCTCCGGTTGAGTTTGAGGCAGCACAAAGAACGTTTCGTCTCAACCCTCTCGTTCGCTCATTCCCCTGCTGTGCCTCCCAGGTGGCTGACCTCAGGCAATGGATGAGCTTTTCGACGTTTTCGATGACCAGCCCCAACAGGCCAAGCCCGTCGGGGGTGCGCCGAAACGGTCCAAGAAAGACAAGAGCAAGAAGCGGCAAGTCAACGGCAATGTGAAGGACAATGGCGACGTCGCAAAGGTGGAGGAGGTGGAGGAGGACGCTCCCGTTGTCGATGCGCCAGTCGCGGAGACTGCGGAGGAACAGACCGAAGACGCCCCGGTCGCCAGCGATAGCAACGACCAACCGGATTCGAAGCGGCCGCGACTAGAGAAGGAAAAGGAAGAGGATCCCGTTGTGGCAGATTCGTTTGAAACCGCTCAAGAGCGCGAGATCGCTAGTTCTGCTGGCCTCCAGGCGGCGAATGACTCGGCGTCAGTGGTCGTATCTCACCAAGTGCGACACCAGGTTGCGATTCCTCCGAACTATCCTTACGTGCCCATCTCCCAACATAAACCGCCCGAGAACCCCGCCCGAGTGTGGCCGTTCACTCTCGATCCCTTCCAGCAAGTGTCCGTAGCATCGATCCAAAGAGAAGAGAGTGTGCTGGTGTCGGCTCATACTAGTGCCGGAAAGACGGTCGTTGCCGAATATGCGATTGCGCAGAGTTTGAAAAACAACCAGAGAGTCATCTATACTAGTCCGATCAAGGCTCTCAGTAATCAGAAGTATCGAGAATTTGCGGCCGAGTTTGGAGACGTAGGTTTGATGACCGGTGATGTCACCATCAATCCTACGGCAACTTGTCTGGTCATGACCACGGAGGTAAGTTTGTTCATGGGAATCTACGACCTACTTATAGGAGCTGACGGATCTGCGTTTATAGATTCTTCGATCTATGCTGTACCGTGGTTCTGAGATCATGCGCGAAGTTGCGTGGGTGGTTTTCGACGAAATTCACTACATGCGCGATGCGAGTAGGTTTCCCCGAAATTGACATTGATCTTTGCGATCACTAACAGACGACACAGCGCGAGGTGTGGTGTGGGAGGAAACTATCATTCTACTGCCGGATAAGGTCCGATATGTTTTCTTGTCTGCGACAATCCCCAACGCCTTGCAATTCGCCAATTGGATTACGAAAATGCACAATCAGCCTTGTCACGTTGTATACACCGACTTCCGACCGACACCCCTGCAGCATTACTTCTTCCCTGCCGGATCCGAGGGAATCCATTTGGTTGTCGACGAGAAGGGCATGTTCCGGGAAGAGAATTTCCAAAAGGCGATGAGCACTATCGCGGACAAGAAGGGCGACGACCCCGCCGATGCAATGGCCAAGCGGAAAGGCAAGGGTAAAGACAAGAAGCTGAACAAGGGTGGCAACGAGGGTCCGAGCGACATCTACAAGATTGTGAAGATGATCATGATCAAGAATTACAACCCCGTGATTGTTTTCAGTTTCAGTAAGCGTGAATGCGAGTCATGCGCTCTGCAAATGAGCTCGTTGGCCTTCAATGATGATTCGGAGAAGGAGATGGTTTCCAAGGTCTTCAACAGCGCGATTGAGATGCTGTCGGAGGAAGACAGGAATCTGGGCCAGATCCAAAATCTTCTACCGCTTCTGCGAAGAGGTATCGGTGTGCATCATTCGGGTCTTCTTCCGATCTTGAAGGAAACCATCGAGATTCTTTTCCAGGAGGGGCTAATCAAGGTTCTCTTTGCTACCGAGACGTTCTCGATCGGTCTGAACATGCCTGCCAAGACAGTCGTCTTTACCAGCGTGCGGAAATTCGACGGCTTTAGTCAGCGTTGGGTGACGCCATCTGAATTCGTCCAGATGTCTGGTCGTGCGGGAAGAAGAGGTCTTGATGATCGTGGTATTGTGATCATGATGGTTGGCGAAGAGATGGATCCCGCCGTGGCGAAGGAGATTGTTCGCGGTGAACAGGACCGATTAAATTCGGCGTTCCACCTGGGTTATAACATGATTCTGAATCTCATGCGTGTGGAGGGAATTTCGCCCGAGTTCATGCTGGAGAAATGTTTCCATCAATTTCAGAACACGGCAGGTGTTGCCGAACTTGAGCAAGGTACGTTGACCTACATCCATATACCCTTCAAACGAAGGCCAGGGCGTTGTTAATTAACTTCCATACAGAACAACGCCAGCTGGAAGAGAAGAGGGCTAGCATGGAAATATCCGACGAAGGCACCATTCGCGATTACTACGACTTGAGAAAACAACTCCGCCAGTTCTCGGATGATATCCAGGCAGTCATGAGTCATCCTAACCATTGTCTCTCCTTCTTGCAGCCGGGTCGATTGGTTCACATTAAATACAAGGACCTAGATTTCGGCTGGGGGGTGGCCGTTAACCACAAGCAACGTAAACCAGCAAGAAATTCTTCCGAGCAGTTTACCGACAACCAGAAATACATTCTCGACGTTTTGTTGAACATTGCTGACGGACCATCGGTGGCCACGAAAACCCACGAGGACTTACCTGCCGGGGTCAGACCCCCAACGGAAAATGAGAACACTCGGATGGAGGTTGTTCCTGTTACTCTCAGCTGTCTTCAGGCCATTTCGCACGTACGGATATTCCTACCGAAGGATCTCAATTCCAAGGACTCGAGAAACGGTGTGAAGAAGTCCGTGACTGAGATTAAGAGGCGTTTCCCCGATGGCATCGCGGTGCTCGACCCGATCGAAAATATGAACATCAAGGATGAAGGGTTCAAGAAAATGCTCAGGGTAAGACAACGCGATTTCTTCTAGATGCAAGGATGTATGTTTAGATGCTAACATGCGAGGTAACAACAGAAAGTGGAAGTTCTCGAATCCCGCTTGCTCTCGAATCCTCTACACAATTCGCCACGCTTGCCCGAGCTCTACGAACAGTATTCTGAGAAGGTCGAACTGGGTAACAAGATCAAGGCCACGAAGAAGAAGATCTCCGAAGCGATGTCGATCATGCAGCTTGACGAGTTAAAATGCCGCAAGCGAGTACTCCGACGATTCGGGTTCATCAACGAGGCCGAAGTCGTACAGCTGAAGGCACGAGTTGCTTGTGAAATCAGTACGGGTGACGAGTTAATGCTCAGCGAGCTCCTGTTCAACGGTTTCTTCAACAAGCTTACCCCCGAGCAAGCGGCGGCCGTTTTGAGTGTCTTTGTGTTTGAGGAGAAGACAAAGGAGACCCCTGCGCTGACCCGAGACGAGCTTGCGAAACCCCTCAAGGAGATCCAAGCGCAGGCTCGCATCATCGCCAAGGTGTCGCAGGAATCTAAGTTAGCGGTCAACGAGGAGGAGTACGTCCAGAGTTTCCACTGGGAGCTGATGGAGGTCATTTACGAATGGGCGAATGGCAAGTCGTTTGCCGATATCTGGTAAGCATGCATTTCCCTCAGACGAATGACGTGGGTCAAGATTGCTAACGCAGATCGAAAAACAGTCGGATGACGGATGTCTACGAAGGCAGTCTAATTCGAGTTTTCCGCCGATTGGAGGAGTGTCTGCGACAAATGGCACAGGCCGCCAAGGTGATGGGAAGCGAGGAATTGGAGAGTAATTTCGAAACGGCATTGACGAAGGTGCGTCGGGACATCGTTGCTGCCCAGTCCCTGTATCTGTAAATCAAAACCAAATGGAATCCCATCCAGGGAGAGGTTGTATGTATTTAATGATTGGATTGGATGGATCTTTCCGTCGCACCTGAGTCCTTTGTCGGATGAGTGCGGCGTTTGTCGCATTTCCCTGGCGTTGGAGTTGCGAGAAGGAAAACAAAAGAAAGAAAGAGAAAAATGAAAGAGCGAACGATTTCCAGTGATTTTCAATAAATAAATATTCTATTTTTCTAATGATGATGTCCGTACTTCGTAAAAGTGTTAGGCCGAGAGAGCATGCAGGTGACATAGTTGTGATCCATGGAAGATGTAACGACTACTAACAGGAGTAGTCCGTACTCCGTAGTAAGACTTAACCTGCGCAGATGGTGCACGTTGCCTCCCGCAACCGCCTTCCCACCGCTTCTCTCTTTCTCTCTCTGACTCTCTCTCTCCCTCTCTCCCTTCCCCACCAACCCATCTCGGTCTTTCTCCTTCTTCTCTTCCTATCCTGCATTTTGTCTTTCCCTTGCATTATCTCGCTCTCTTTCTCCTCCTTATCCTATCTACTCCCCCCTACCTCCTATTCCCCTACCCTACTGCCTTTCCTTCTCCTCGTGTCCACGTTTTGAATTTCCTGTCACTCTCCCGCTTCTCAGCCAGCCCAAGACGGTTCCGTTCATTAATTTCTTGTCCCATCCGCCGGCTGTCTGTGGTCAGTCATCATGAACAGCTTGGTGGCCACACCACCTGTGCCTCCTCATTTTTACGAGTACTCTCGTCTGTCGTCTCCTCGTCCAAGTAAGACTCGCTCGTTATTCACCGCCGTCGTTGGTTTTTTTTGGGCCGGCAGTTTTACTGACGAAGTTCCTCTAGTGTCTACACCAAACCACACCCCCAACAACCGAAAACGGAAGGCCGACGATGATGGCAACGATCATGATGGGAGGATGTCGGCCTCTCCGACCAGCTCGCCTGCATTCACTCCTCGATCTCTTCCGCCCACGAGAAACTTGAAACGAGCCCGTCCAAATGTGAGCGGAAGGCCTCTGGCTCTCCCCCGGTTGCTGGAGACTCTGGATACCGATGCTCTCCGGGGCGTCCTCCGATCAATGTGCGAACGTCACCCGGCTCTAGTCGACGAGATCGTTCATACGGCTCCTCGCCCAAGTGTCTCGGGCGCTCTCCAGGTGCTCCGTAACTATCAATCCGCTCTTCAAACCTCATTCCCCCTGGGTGGCAACCCCGAATCGGACTACGCCTACAACCGAGTCCGACAGCCTCTGGGCAATCTGCTCGATGCCCTGGGTGATTTTACGCCCCATTTTCTTCCTCCCAACGAAACGCAAGCCTCGATATCTTTGAGCTACCTGGACGAAGCCACCGAGATCATCCATGCATTGCCACGATGGAACACCCCCCAAAACAACATAGAGCGGGACTCTGCGTACGACGAAATCTGCAAGGCCTGGATTTTGGTGATTCGGGAGGCCGCCAAACGCGGCGGAGGAATCCAATTACAGTACGGTAGCTGGGATCAGAAGCTTGCGAAACACAACCAAAACTCCGGTGGTAAGCTGCAGGCGGCCGTTCACGAACTTGGATCCAGCTTGGGATGGATGCATGGACCTGATACCCAAGTCTATGGAAACCCAGGAAACAGCAACGATTTTGGTTCCATCCGAGATCAACTTCTGTCGGGCACCTACGGACTCGGAACTCCCGTCAAAGTTGGGCCATGGTAGAGCCCCTATTTCTCGACGACCTATCCTCACTCCGCAATCATTCACCATCCAAGCTCATCCACAAATATTTTCAAGAGCTACTGTGTGGATCCGCGACCGCACATGTCCACGTATGATACGATCACGATACCAACCGCATTAACTAGACAGCTGGGGGTCAGCTTGGCGTTTACAGTGTACTGAAAGACATCTTACGTCTTTTCCATGTCTTTCATTTTGTGTTCATTTCTTCCCATTTCTTTTTATCTCCCTTATTCTTTTTCTTTTTCTATTTTGGTGTGTCATATCTTTCCTCAAGCCCAAGCCAGATACTTCACTTGTTTTCCTCAACATTCCCCACCATTCTTTAGATTTCCACCTGATGGCTCGGGGTCTCATTATTAGCCTGTTTCATCGCATCATGTCATCGCATTGATCTAAGAAATTGCGGCTTTTGTCATTCCTTGATACTCTTATTTTCCTTTCTGTCTTTTTTTTTTTCGTCATCCACAATCAACATTTCGGAAGCTTCGTGAATCTTCACGTATTACTGGGACTTTCTGTATGTCTTGTATACCCTTGTCATTTTCTTCCTTATATGTCTTTTCTTGTCCTTTCGTTCCTTTATTTTTCTTTCCCTGTACTTTCCCTTAATGTTCTGGTGGTCGGCCTTTTGTTTCTACTATTTCCTTTCCATTGTCATTTTTCATCTGTTGGGAGGATGAGTTAATACGGCAAAAAACATCCAATCACTGGGTCGGTTACGTGTCAAGTAAAAAATGAAGAATACCCCTATGATTTGCGTCGGTGTTTATAGGCAGATGACGTGAAGATGAAACCAGCCAACTCATACCAGGACCCATTACGCATGCAGGGGTGCGACTAGCCAGAGTGAGGCGAATTGATGGTTCCGTCAATGGGACCAGGAGAGGGCTAGTGCTATTTGGAGGTAATGGAGGTGTCGATTCGATATAGGTAGTTTGGCGAAAGAATACACAAAGAGATGCAGCTTGTTATGAGTTGTTATTTGACCCGAGGATAGAGTCTACGTTCAGCACTCCGTAGATATGTAAAAAAGGTATAACTATATAATGGGAACGGTTCCATTCTGGCCTCAAGACAGGCTCGTGGTATTTTGAAGAAGTTAAACGAATGAGAAGAGATACATGCGCCTTTTAGTTTAGAAGAGAGATAAGACAAATCCAGGCCTGCTTCTACTCTGTGAGGTCAGATCAAAAGGCGTTTCACCGTCCGGAACAGCCATCCGGCATCCTCCCAGCCTCCCAGCTCTCCAGGCTTCTCGCCCACGACGCTGACCTCGACTCCGCTGGCAATGGACGCCCCGTCGTCATTATCCCCGGATCCTGGTCCTACCGTATCGCCGCCTTGGCTTTCGCCGATCATCAACGGCTCCTCGGTCGTTATTTCCACATGTTTTGACGGACGCTCTGCAGGATCACCGGAGGACATCAGCGGCCAGTCTTCCACGCCGAACAAGGTCCATTCCACCATGCGATCGATCCAGCTGCCCAGCCCGAAGCCTCGCTCCCGCGTAAGACGCTGCAGTTCCCGCTCATCCATCTCGTCCTCCGAGTCCCAGGACCCGTCCGACTCGGACGTCAAATCCTCCTCTGCCTCCTGCTGGATGGATTCCAACTCCGCGCGGATTCGCTCGTCCACAAAGTCCGGTACCAGGTGTCGTCCTTCGCCCGCCGGACTGACATGACTGCTGCCACCAGTCTCGCCCCTGGCGGCCCCGACTGAACTCATATCCAGACTAGTCATGGCCAGATCCGGTCGACTATTCCGTCGACTGACGGCACGCGAGCCCCGTCGAGAATGCGCGGCAGGCGTAGACCGACCCGACTTCGACCGTCGATTCGACCTCCCATGCGACCCTGCGGCTCCGTCCCCGTCATACTTCCCTTCGGAGATCAGACTCGTCGAGCTCTCCCTCTTGGCAAGCCAACTCTGACCCTTCTCCTCGCGCGTCGACGACGCCAACGCAATCCCCGCCCGAAGCATCCACTCCGTATCGCGACGGCCCGACGACTCAGATGGGTAGTGGCCTCGTCTCGTCGACGAGGAAGCCCGATACTTCGACTTATCGTCTCCATGGTGATTTTCCTGGTGGCGGTGATGATGATGCAACGGCTGACCAGCGGCGACGCCTTGATCTTGGAGATTGGTATCGCTGAGATTCAAGCGCCCGGAGCTCTTAGTGCGTCGGTGGTGCCGAGCGCGGGACCCGCTGCGGGAATGCGAATGGGAGAGCACGCCCGGGGTGCCGGGGACGGAGTAGCTAGACAGGTAGGACGACCGGGGTGAGAAGGCGGACTTGTCCTGATCCTGGGTGGAATGAGGGTGGGAGAAATAATCTCCGCCCGCTCCTGCTGCGACTGGCCCCGACGAGAGGTCATCGTCGTCATCGTCGATGGGGAAGCGAGGCGTTAATGGGGCCAGCGAGATGTGGTTCAGTGATGGGTACGAGCGGCGCGAGCGAAACCCGCCCGGGGAACGGGAAAACTGGGGAATGGCCATGATTATCAGTTCTGTTGTTGTTTTCTTGAGTTTTGCTAGGGTTGCCCCTTAAGCTAGGATTAGAGTAGGTAGGAGGTTGGAGGAGGTGATCCACGTACGTCCATCTAGAAGGGTAGGGAGAGGAACGGGAGTAGATATAATAGTGATATCATGGAGAAATCAAAAGACGAAGAGATGGCAAGAGGAAAAAGTCGTCTGATTGTCGAGAAAATCCAGCAGGGAAGAAGGAGAAAACCGGCGGCAGTCGGAGGCATGTGAAATGCGGGCACCAACGGACTGCAACTGCTCTTCTTTCTTGTCTTCTGCTTCTTCTGCTTCCTCCTGCCACTGACGACGTGGTGTGGTGCTTTGCGGTCTGTGCCACGGCCGATCAATTCAATACCATAATGGGCTGATCTACGCTGATGTTGATGTGATTTGATTTGAACATTTCGCTTCTGGCATTATTGCTATGGAAGGACTAGGATGATGCTTTTGATACTTTTGATCTCGCTTTCTTGCAATTAGAATTTGCCTTTCTTCTGTTTTTTCTTCTTTTCTTTGATTATTTTTCTCCTTTACTCAATCTTTCCCTTGTTCACAACGAATCCCTCGAGGGCCGAGATGGCGGCCCACAGACGATTCTCCGCCTCGGGGAACACCAACGACCGGTTGCTGTAGAACACCTCGTCGCTGACTTCCTCCGGGTGTCGCGGCAAGCAGTGCATGAACTTCCAGCCCTCGTTGGCCCCGCCCCGCTTGGCAAGCTCCGGGGTGATCTGGAAGCCCTCAAAGTCCTTCAGCCGTTGGATCTTCTCGGCTTCCTGTCCCATCGAGATCCAGGTGTCGGTCACCAGGACGTCCGCGCCCTTGACCGCGTCCTCGGGGACGTTGGTCTGGATCAGCTTGCCGGGCTTGGGGGCCGACTTGCCCGCCTCCGCAATGATCTGCAGCATCGAGGCAGGGATCTCGTACCCCTTCGGCGTCGCCACGGCCAGGTCGACGCCCATCTTCGCGGCCGCGATCGCCATGTCGAACAGCACGTTGTTGGCGTCGCCCACCCAGGCGATCTTCAGGCCCTCTAGACCTAGGCTGTTCAGGTGATGGGCCTTGGGCGTGAAGTTCTCGTAGATGGTCTGGAAGTCGGCAACCGCCTGCAGCGGGTGGTAGGAGTCGCAGAGGGCGTTGATCACCGGGACCGTGGAGTGCTTCGCGAGGTCGGCCACGTCCGCGTGCTTGCCCACCCGGGCGACCATGCAGGAGACCATGGACGAGATGACCACCGACGTGTCGTACAAGGACTCGTTCACCCCCAATTGAATGTCGTCCTTGCCCAGGAACATCGGATGACCGCCCATCTGCACCACGGCGCCCTCCGTGGAAATCCTCGTGCGGGTACTCCGCTTGCTGAACATCATGGCCACGGTTTTCCCAGTCAAGGCGCCGAGCAGGTTTTGGGGGACGGAGCCGGACTTGATGGCCCGCTTGTGCGAAGAGGCATTGCGGACGAGCGCGGCGAATTCGGCGGGGGAGAGGTCACCGATGGAGAGGAAATGACGAGGAGCGAAAGGGGATGTGGCAGGAGTCACATGAGAAGAATACTGACGCACAGCATTGAGAGGAAGTCGCTGGCGCAAGGCGCCGCACCGAGCGGCGGCCAGGTTAAGACTCATGTTGCGATAGCGGAGGCGGAGAATGATGGTAGAGGACAGAGGGGTAGGTCCAAGGGAAACCAGGGATACGGATAGATATAAGATTAATTGAATAAAAGAAGAGGGTCAATCGCTAGTCACCAGAGATGTAAGGGAGTATTTAGCCTGACTCAACCCGCCGAAGAATCGGTGGCTCAAGAAGCAATCGATAGTCCTGATTTGAATAATGACAATTATTCTCACCGCCTTGTCCCGATCGGGGGATCTCTCCACACCGCACCTTGTCCCAAACAGGCCTAGCGCTGGCCGTGACGATCCCTGCTATCTTGGGCCAGCTGTGGCCTGGACTTGACGGCGACATCTCATCATTCAACATCCTTCGTCCTTCTCCATCCCGTCTGCCCGTCGCTGCAGGGCTCCTTCGATCGTTAATTGCTCCTGTCTATTATCTCTCTCTTTGTTTTATCTATTATACATTAAGTTCGAAGTATCTTCAAACTTTCACTTAGTTTGATTTCTACCCTTCCCCCCGCGCTGTCATTGTGTTGCCTCTCCACATCGTCCTCCCCACATCCCGCGTCCAGCCATCATGGCTGAAGAGGAAAGTAGACCTCTGTTGGATGGGGATCACAACAGACCACCCCTTAATCAGTCCACTTCCGCAGACACATCGTTCCCGTCAGGCCAGGCCGAGACCTCTCGACCATTCGTACTATCCTCGGAATCGACTCCTCTGCTGCATCGCCGGGAAGACGAGCCGTGGAACTATGGCGGCGTTGAAACGAGAAGGTCCTCATCATCAGAGGACCGCGATGCCTCATCGTCGGACGAGAACCTCAAATCCCCCCGACGCAGATTGGGCTGGCCCCTTTTATGTATCGTCCTAACGTTGACCGCTATTCTGGCTATCTTGATCTTCGCCTTTGTGGCACCAGCGGTTGTGAAACAATACGTGAAGGAAGCTGCCGTCTTCCACCCCACGAACGTGTCCATCGAGTTCGCCACGGAGGATGGTGTGCAGACTAAGATCCAAGGCGATGTCGTGCTGGAGGCAGGCCGCGTACAACGAAGCTCGGTGCGGAACCTGGGTCGATTTGTCACCTGGATCGGGAGAGAGGTGGAAACGGGCGAGTCGGACGTCCAGGTATATCTACCAGAGTACGGAAATATCCTCGTTGGCACGGCGTCGCTACCTTCGATCAAGGTCAACATCCAGAATGGTCATGTGAATCATGTTGGTTTTCTGGCGGAACTGGTCGCTGGCGACATCAAGGGGATTCGCGCGGTGGCGATGGATTGGATAGAGGGAAGGCTTGGGCGGCTGAGAGTCAATGGAAAGACAACAGTGAAACTAAGATCGGGGGTGCTAGACTTGGGACATCAAACGTTGATGGAGTCTTTCGTATTTGAAGGTCGGTCTCGGAAAACTTAAGTCCTACGAGATGGGGTTGTCTTTACTGACACTATCTTTTCAGGAGACGATGTCCCTCAACTGCCCGCTGTTAACATCTCCGAGTTTAATGTACATGATGCAGATCCCTCGAAAGGGAAGGGGGCTATGGAAATCGACGTCTCTGTCGCATCTTTCATCGACTCGCCCTTTGCTCTCAGAATCCCTCCCCTGGGATTCAATGTACTGGTCCCTAATTGTTCACCTAATGACCCCTATATTTCCATCGCGGACGTCTCGACTAAGGAGTTTCCAATTACACCCGGCGAGATGACTTCTGTTGACGTCGTTGGGATCGTCCGGGGTCTCTCCAACGAATTAACGAGCACCTGCCCCGGAAAGAAGAACTCGCCTTTAGACTTCCTGGTGAAGAGTTATATTCGCGGTCTTCGAACCACGGTCTATGTTCGTGGAGCTGAGACGCCTACCTTGGGCACTCCCGAATGGATGGTGGATATCTTGAAAAGCGTGACGGTTCCCTTGTCATTCACGGGACACGCTCTGGATAACCTGGTCCGAAACTTCACCATGTCAGATGTACACTTTGCCCTGCCGAATCCTCTCGCGGATCCAGACTCCCCCGAGTCTCAGCCAAGAGTGTCTGCACTGCTTAAAGTACTGATCGGGTTGCCGAAACAGCTGGATCTTCAAATGGATGTTCCTCGCGTTCGCGCCCTCGCGGACGTTTACTATCATGGGAATAAGCTTGGTGTTCTGAGATTGCCAAAATGGCAACCGGCTAATTCAACCATCGTCGAAGGGAAAGATTCCCCTAACTTGCTTGTGGAGTTTGCCATGAAAAACGCTCCTCTTGACGTCACGGACGAGGACGTCTTGACCGATGTTCTACAAGCCCTGATCTTTGAAGGGGAACCAGTCCAGCTCACGGTCGCCGCAAATGTGGATGCTAAAGTCGCCACAGGATTAGGGAAATTTGCCATTCGTGGGATTCCAGCAGAGGGCGAGGTGAATGTCAAACGTAAGTTAATGGTGAAGATCATACCAAACTCAACAGCTAATCGTTAAACTATCAACAGCGCCGTACGGCGGCACCATCGACCAATTCAAGCCGCAGGTAGAGTCACTAGCGCTAGGCCCTACAACTGAATCGTCGTTTGTTGTGAACACCAAAATCAATTTCACCAACCCTTCTCCGTACTCGGCTTCGGTACCATTTGTGGATCTTCTGCTGGTCTACAACACCAGCAGAGTCGCCCATGTCACTGCGCGAGATCTTACGATTGTTCCGGGAATTAACTCGGGCCTCCCAGTTGATTTGAAGTGGAGCCCTCTTGAGTTAGACGGTTCCGCTGGTCGAGATGCCGGTCGAGAATTAATGTCACAATATATATCAGGTAAGCTATGGGTGCACCTGAAGGTGTATTTGGACCTGTCTGACTCTTTCGCATTTCTAGGTTCAAACACTACCGTCATAGTCCAAAGCTACAACGGAACAATCCCCTCGCTACCGCAGCTTGGGGAAACACTCTCCAAGCTCAAGTTCGATGTCCAGATCCCCAGGGTACCCGTTCGACGGGCTCCTGGCAAAGAGCCGGAAGACAATCAGGGACTGAGCTTTATTCAAGATGCCACGGTATTATCTACTTTCATGGAACTTGTTTCCCTTTGTGACGATTACAATTCACAAGAATCCGTGTAGCCTATGGGCATCTGCTTAAGGACTGTGCTTCCAGAACAGAAATCTTTCCGCTTTGGCTAACTTGCAGATTACCCACTAGCTACATCTCTGGTCATCAACAGCCGAATTCACACTATCGTCGCCTTTACCGAATACCACCATCGAGATTACCTCGATAGAAGCCAAGGCATATTATGAACACGACGAAGAGGTTGGCAGCATCGACTATTATCGCCCCTTCGAGGTACCGCCGGGTCTCTCAGAGACCCCCCGAATACCCGTAAACTTGGACTTGGATGGAATTGGCTACAATGCTCTCAAGAAAGCCCTGGGAGGCTCGCTCGCATTGGATGCAGTCGCCAAAGTCGGCGTGCAGGTTCGAAACTACAGCGATATCATCATATATCACGGCAAGGGAATTAAATCGCGGGTTCGAATTTAAATATTCCCCTGGGCGTTATACTTGTCTGGCATATTTAGCTTTCTTTACTCTGTTTTTTTTTTTTTTTTTTTTTTCCGTGCTCTTTCCCGGCCACTATTATTCTTGCTATCTTCGGGGTGTCCAGGTTCCGGGGCTGGTGTTGATTGATAGATTTGATGATTTTCTGACAGTCAAGATTGCCTCAAGCTTTTCGATAAATTAAATTTTTGGTCGACTCCAGCGGTGGCTTATCATAATTTGGTATAATCTTGTTGTGTCGTTCGAACCATGTTTTATTTGGGACCCTTACAATAGGACCGTATCCCTTTGCTTACGAAATCTCCATAGGAGGATATAATTCAATGAAATGAGAAAGGTCCAAGACCGATGACATATGCATTCAAAGCAATCCAGCTGGGGTTCAGAACTGGAGCCGATGGAAGATTAAAAGATACAGGAATAGTAAAAGAAAAAGGAAAAAAGAATGCAGGAGGAGGTGCAGAATACCTGATTCTCGAAGCATTGAGGGGGAAAATGTTACAATCGAACTAGCTGCTTTAGAAAAACAAATCTCTTCATATCGGGCATGGTTTTCTGTTTTTACTCTTTTAACCGGGAGGGAGGGTGCTGGCATCGACGACGTCAGCAGCCTCCTTCTCGATGTCCTCATTGGGCTCCGAGAGAGGAGAACGAGGCAGAGCCATCAGACCGGTTCGGGTGGACTCCAGGACACCGAAGGGGCCGATGAGCTTCATGAAAGAATCGATACGGTTGGGTTTGGCCGAGCTGTTGGCAGTGGTTAGCATTTGCCCATTGTCTCGTCTGGTGCATGATGAAGATTCTCGGTGCAAATATTAAAAAGAAAAAAAAGACGAGAAAAACTTACAGTTCCACAATGCAGTTGTTGGTACTGATATCCAAGACCTTGCCGCCGAACTGATGAGTCAAGCGAGTGATAGCATCAAGATGCTCGTGCTTGTGTCTCAGGGCCTGACTGTGAGGCAGGTTGCGAGGGTGGTATTCGGGCTTGCGCTCGATGGCCGCATCCTTCTGGCCCTCGGGGGCCTCGCCGGGGGTGGTGATCTCGCGGTGGTGCTGGAGCAGCTCCTCGAAGAACTCCGGGCCGAGGATGCTGACCTTAGCCAGGAGCAGCTCGCGCTGCACAAGCGCGGAGTCCGTGTAGTCAAGCACCGCCCACACGGGGACGAGATCGTCGAGTTGGCGACGGGCCTGCTCGACGACACCGTCCTGACCCTGCAGCACGATAGTCATACGAGACAGGTCCTCGACCTCGGTGTTGCAGACGACCAAGCTGTCAATGTTGAAGCCTCGGGCGGCCAGAATTCCCGACACGCGAGAGAGCACACCGGGCTCGTTCTGCACCAGGCAGTTCAGAACGTGCCGCTTCGGCGGGTTGGTCGGAGTAACGGGGGTCTCGTAGAGAATCGACGAGACGGCCGTGGGGGCGTCCCATTGTGGGGAGGCATCCGACACAGGCAGCGGAAGGGGTGAGCGGCGGTGCAACGCCTTGTAGGCGAGGGCGGAGGTCGAGCTAGACGAGGCGCGAGAGGTGGTGAATCGGGGAAGCGTAGCTGCGACTCCAGAAGTTTTGCAGGCCACGGACCGGAGGGGTGCCGACGCTGTCGACGACAGCACCAGGGGGCGTCGGAAGGCCATAATCTCCCGGATTAATACCTGCAACCGACAGACAGGTAGAAACTTGGGGGGGGGGGGAAGAAAGGGAGAGAGTGAGACTGGGAGAAGGAGGAGACCTCTGACTGGGGAAGAGATGAGGATTGCAGTCATCGATCGCATTTTATCACTGATCCGGTCCGACGTCGGCGGGTGCTGACTCATGCTGCTGACTTGCCCGTTGGGGTTTAGCGGTCATCTACGGCACATGATCGCGAGCAGCTGCACGCTTCGACTCGTCTTCGCCTTGGCCTTCTTTTCGGACTTTTTACTCTTCGATCGGCTTGTCGAGTGTCTGGACTCTGGTGGCGTGTGCTTGATACCGTTTTCGCTTTACCTGCGATTCTTCTGCCAAATCTCCCTGGCTTTCTTGACCGATCTGATCAATTTCTCCATCACCATTGGCTCTGGCGTCCTTCTGCTGCGCTAGCGTCCACTAACCAACCGGACTGATTGTCTAAACTCCACAGACCTCCGAGAAAGAAAGTCCTTCATTATTGTTCAGGCCTATCTGACTCGGCTTGCCTGTTCCTGCAGCGCATCCGCTCTCTTTCCCTTCACCACCCCCTCAGATCTTCGGTTACCGTTCCTAACTAGCGCAAAAAACTCATCATGGCCGACGACGACCGACGTCCCAAACGCTCTCGCTTCGATCAGACCGAGCCTGAACCGCGACGACCCTCTCGATTCGATCGTCGTTCTCGCTCCCCTTCCTCGCGACAATCCGAAACCGCGCGCGCTCGCAGTCCTCTGAGTCGAGAAGCGCGCAGTCCCAGCGCCAGTACCCCGAAGACCTCCGCCTCGGACCCCGCTGCTGCCGCCGGTATGATAAGACTTTCCTTGATGCGTCATGAGAGGTGGTGATCTCGGGCAAGACTGACTGTGGAGGAAAATATTACAGCTGCCGCTGCGGCCAAGATCAACGCCCAGTTGCAAGCCAAAAAGGGAATCCAGCATGTGGACGTTCCTCCCATTCGTGCGGTGAGTACACTACCGCATTGCGACTCGGTCATTGGTTTTTTTGGGTTGCTAACCGTTCTGTTTCCTACCTAGACTGCGAGTCCCGCGCCCCAATCCGGTTCACCGTCCAGCGGAGAACCTTCAGGGAAGTTGAATGAGGAGATATATGTTGCCGATGGTGATTATATCCGGGACATCGAGATCAATGACCTGCGCAATCGCTACACACTGACTAAAGGCTCTACTCAAAAGATGGTAATTAATCCTATTGCATCCGCTGATATTCCAGGCACCTTTGCTCGCAAATTGGCTTTGCTGTGGCCGTTTTCTCTCGTCTTTTTTTTCTTTTTTTGCTTCTGTTCTTCTGTTCCTGTCACTCGTTTGGTCATGGCTAAAGCTTACCCGAGTTTTAATCATTCATAGCTTCCCACTTACCCTCACTTGCATCTGCTAACCTCCGCTGCGTGACATCTAGATCAAAGAAGAAACTGGCGCCGGTACGCCTTCATTCCATGTTTTCCTGTTGTCAACTTTTTACTTTCAGAAGGAAGCTCACAACTATTTAATTAAGATGTCACCACTCGAGGAAACTATTATCCGGATAAGAGCATGGCCACTGCTGCGGTATGTGATATCGCTCCTCTTCAGGTGGAAAAACTTGTCTAACACTCGGACTTTGGGCAGAACCCTCCGCTTTACCTGCATGTGACGAGCACGAACAAGGACGGTCTGGAAAAGGCGGTGGTCTTGATCGATGACCTCATGAAGAAGGAACTTCCCAACCTGGTCGACGAACGGCGGTTCCGTCGTCGGGAACCAGAGCCGGTAGAGCGTGATGAATATGGCCGTGTACGAACAAAGCCCAGCGAGAATGATATTCGGGGGCGATTCGCTAATGTGTTACAGCGCAAATGGCCGGAGGAGCGAATCCCCGTGGACCTCGAGCCGCTTCCTGGCTTCAACCTTCGTGCTCAGGTTGTCGGACAGGGTGGCGCATATGTCAAACATATCCAGCAGAAGACTCGGTGCAAGGTCCAAATCAAAGGCCGCGGCTCCGGGTTCATGGAGCAAAGCACCGGCAGAGAGAGCGATGAGCCCATGTACCTGCACGTAGCGTAAGGATGCTTTTCGCTGCTTTGACGAATCCGAACATCACGACTGACTTGACTGTGACATAGTGGACCTGACCCGAATGAGGTTCAGAACGCGAAGGAGCTCTGTGAGGATCTTCTGGCCAATGTCCGAGAGCAATATCAACGCTTCAAGGAGAACCCTCCGCAGCAAAACTACGGTGGCTACGGCCAGCGTGGCGGCGGCGACCGCTATCAGCATGGCGGGAACTATGGCGGCGGCGGCGGCAGCGGCGGTGGATATGGAAACCACCAGTACCAAAACTCGCCTTCTGCCTCTGCTACCCCTGCTGCGCAGGGAGCATCCACGGCGTCAGGAGCAGGAAGCCCGACGGACTACGGCGCACAATATGCGCAGTACTACGGATCCTCCGACCCTTACGCTGCGTACGGCGGCTATCAAAACTACGTTGCCTACTATCAGTACTACCAACAGGCTGCTCAGCAGCAGCAGCAGCAACAGTCACAAAGCCCTGCTCCTCCTCCGCCTCCTCCTGCCAGCGAGGCACCACCTCCGCCGCCCCCTAGCTCGGGTTCTCCCCCTCCCCCTCCGCCTAGTGGCAGCGGCTACAGCGCCGTAAGAACCCCCCTAGTCCCAGTATCTCGGGCAAAGCTAGATTCGCTGACTATTAATTGTACAGGTCCCTCCGCCACCCGGGCTATAGAGCTCTAAAACCTTCATAGCAAACCTCATACTCCCAACCTGTTAGAGTTTAGCCAACATAGCCATATTACTCCCAGCAATGGCACAGATTCAACGTTCCCGCTTTTGGAATCAGAGACAATGTGAGAATAAGAGAAGGAGAGAGTCGAGCTGACGAACCCCCATGACCCCAATTCCTTCAAGCCATAGCTTCATCGATCCGCGTTCCGATAAATAAAGACCATATCGCCGTTCGACTGGAACGGACGTCAAATACGGCGACTGTCTTTCTTCTTTTCTTTTGTCCGCTCCTCTATCTCTCTCCTTTACTGTAAACTTATGCTACCTGTTCTTCCATCTAATGATTGATTTACCTGTCAAAGCCTGAACAACAAAAATTGGAGTCGAGTATTTTCCTTTTTTGTATTGCAAGCCTGCTTTTGAGCCAGACGTGAATTCGTCTACTTAGAGGCTCCAGTCAAGGCTCACTTGCATCCTAAATCCTAAATTTTCAATTCTATTGGCCTTTCCTCTTGAATTTGATCATGGTCACATTAACTAGTAAAACATAAGTCCCGGTACACCGAACACCACAATCTCTCGATACATGTACATGACAGAAGAGGTAGAATAACCCCCCCTCCCTCAAACACCAAACGACCCTGGAAACATGTCCCGCATGTAATAAGCGACGCCAGAATCCATGTAGTCGCCCAGATCGCTCTCCGGTGGCATTGTGGCCTTGCGTTTTGCCAAACCCCCGGGTCCTTCTTTGCAGAAGTCACATGCAAAGTCACAGGGCGAGGTGGTGTTTCCCGGACCGGACTCTGTCGCGGGAGCTTGCGAACCCATCATCTCGAGTTCTAGGTCACCGAAAAACTCCTTGATCATGTCGTGACGGCATCGCGACGTCGACTCGCAGTACTGTATGACTTTTTGGAAACTCTGGAGGCGCGCATATTGGTTTTCCATGTTCGAGTGGCGGTTGCTATTGTTGGGGTTTCCATTCCCTGCAGGTCGAGGTCCCCCGGTGCGGTTGTACGCGTTCTCAACGTCACGGCGAAGTCGATCGAGTACACGGTCTCGCTCTTGGGTGTTATAGTAGACGATTGAGGTGGCGGCGCGGCCGTCACGACCGGCACGGCCGGATTCCTGGACGAAGCCCTCAAAGCTGCGCGGGGGGCTCCAGTGAACGACGAAGCGGACGTGCGGGTTATCGATGCCCATGCCGAAGGCGTTGGTCGCGACGATGACATAGAATGATGGGGAGGGGTGACTGGCATCGGGATCCTGCGTGGGATTGGGGGAGGTCCACTCGGTCTGGATGCGGGTGCGATCTTGAGAGGAGAGACCGGCGTGGTAGGCTACAGCGCGGATATTGCCGCCCCACGCCGACGACAACACGTTGGCAAGCTTTTCGGAGATCGAGCGTAGCGAGACGTATACGATGCCTGAGATTGGGGGTAAGGAAGCGGCAGCGGTGGCGCCCAACCGCGCTTCTCGGCGGCGCTGGATGGCCTTGAACCACGAGAGGAGGTCCTTGGTCTGGAAGTCCTGGGGGTCTGCTGCGTCTTCGACGTAGTCTTGAAGGAATCGGATTCCATAGTGAATGTTAGGACGGGCTGAGGGGGTGTTGAAGACTCGCAGATGTGCCGGATCTAGTCCGAGCAAGCTGATGATATCTGAGCGCACGCGCGGAGTGGCTGTGGCTGTGAGGGCGCTGATGGGTACAGAAGGGGTATGTAGGACTCGTTTAAACCATGAGAGCTCTTTGTAGGCAGGACGGAAGTCGTGGCCCCATTCGCTGATGCAATGGGCTTCGTCGATGGCAATGCGACTTAGCTCTCCCTGACTATGGATGGTCTGTAGGTTCCGTCGGAAGATCTCAGTCTGACAGAGTTCTGGCGTAACGTAGAGAAGTCGGGTTCTGGGATGGCCTGAGAGAAGATCTGCCATTACTTCTCGTCTCTCTGCGAGTGGGGTGGTCGAGTTGATGGTTGCTACCGGGACGCCGATTGCTTGGAGGGCGTTGACTTGGTCTGTCTGCATGGTGGGCTTTAATTCACTGGTCTTCTTTTTGTGTAGGGTCATTATTTCATGTGCTACACCTACCATTAATGCAAGAAGAGGTGAGATGACAATGGTGACTAATTAGAACGAACGCCGACAGCAAAGCAGTCTAAGTCAGATGGAGTTCTCGAATACATGTAGTGGAGGACAAACCAACCGCCATGGCTGATTACCGCGGGCAATTGAAAGCACAAGCTTTTCCCAAAAGATGTCGATGCCTGTAGAAAGATATCATGGCCTTCGACGGCTGCTGTAATCACGTCGCGCTGTAAAGGACTGTCAAATGAGATGGAGGGCTTTCGTTAGCTGATGGCGGCGATGCTGTCTGGGAGTTACAGTACTACTCACCGGAACGACTTTTTACGGAAGACACGGTGCAGGTAAAAGTCCAAATCAACCTTCCGGCGCTTTATATTGCCGCCGACCATTTTATCACTCGGGCATCTCTCAGACTGGCCGGAATGAAGGGAAGTTGAGGAAGTCGAGGATGGATTTACTTCGGTGGGAACCGCGCGGCGCGAAGAAGAAACGCGATATCACGTGGGGGTCTTAATGACCCTTCGGTTCAACCTCACTTGTGAACAAGGCAACATCTACTTGGCAGATTAGATACATGAGATAACATATAGATTCATTGAAGTAGAATATGAGATTTAAATAAGTATCTGTTATAACACGAACCCGTTCACTGTACAAGATCAAGATATGCAAAAGATCGCCATGGGTTTGCGGCTGGTGGGTATATAACAGGTCTATTATAATGTACATGCACCGGAAATCCTTCTCTTACCTTCCCCAAATTCTTTCTTAATTCGGTCTCCGATTGATTTGATAATCGAGCTCCTCCCTGACAGCCTGCACGTCCAGCGCTTTGCGTTTCTGGGGCTGCCATAACTTCTCCATCCGCAGCCAGACTTCCATGACCGACTTAGGCCCGCAACAGGTGCCAAAGGCTCGGAGAATAATGATGATCATCCGGCGGCCCAGGAATACTCCGTTCTCGATCTGACGTTCCAGAACGGCGAGATGGTCGGGTTCGGAGTGATCATGCCGTGTTGATCGGTCGAGCAACTCGTCCGCATCCACCTCCTCCCCGGTTTCTGTCGTCTCATGCTTGGCCTTCAGCGTGTTCTCTTCTGGCGTTGTGGTTTCAATATTTTCTCCACGATCACCGGCCGTCGTGCGGTCCGACGGCAACGGGGTGTATAAGCCAGTCGGTGCCCGTGTCCAAGTACGGGAATTCCCTGGAGAACCGCTTTCCAAAGGGTTCTGCCAGACCAACGTCCCCGGCTTATGGAATCGCTCCGCGTACCGAGACCGAGATTCGTAGAGGACCGCGAGATATGCTCTCCACGTTTCCTGAAGCCTCTCCGAGGTCCAGCCCTTCCGCTTTCGGCCGTTGTGGGCGAACCCGTCAAACAACAATAGATAGATCATCCCTCGAGGAGGAATGGTGAATGTCATTTCCATGTCCTTCAATGTCGACATGAATGACTCCAAGTTGCCGGTTTGATAGGCATAATGGGAAAGGAGGATGTGAAAAGTCCGCGTGTCGGGAACCATAGGAAAAGCCTGCTGTAGGGCACGGTGGTGTTCGGGTAGTCGGTCCTTCAGAGGCGAAGCTAGTTGCAACACCTGATTGAGCCTCTTGGCTTTATCTCGATAATCGATAAGCTCCGATGTGTAGCCTGGTCCATAGGTGGTACGGGGCTTCTCAGTCTTCTGGCCGTGGATCATACGACTATACAATTCCTCCGCGGTCTCTGCCTCTCCAGCGCGAAGAAACGACACCAACAGACAGTTCAGCACCGCCGTATCCACGATCTCTCCGCTAGACACAAACTCATCAAACGTCCGGTGGATACCTTTGGGATCCTGCAACATCCCGTGGTAGTAAATTTTGGAGACCTTTCCCGTGCGGCCAAAGCTGATCTTTCGCCTCGCCATCTCCTCCATGAGGCGGTCCGCCACGGTGAATTGGCCCGCTTTGATGGCTATGTCGAATAGAATGGTGAACACAACCCCGTCCCCCCGGATCCCACCTAAATGCTCCATCTGTTGCCAAATGCCGATAGACCTCACGAGGTCCGCCTTGATTACTTTCCCCGATGCTCGGCCCGCCAGGTGAATCGCGGAGCTCCACAATGATCGAGACAGGGGGAGTTTGGAAGCGACCATATCCTCCACCAAAGCGAGGTAGCGGCGAGCATCCACCCAGCGACGATTCGGAGGATTGGCGAATCGGCGCAATAGGGCACCTCGTGAGCGCTTCGAGAGGTACGCTACTCCCGGATGAGGAAGGTCTCTGTATAAGCGAAAGATATAATGGGTGGATATCGTTTCATCCCACAGAGCGTCAAGCAGCTTCTGAACCGACAGAATGTCGGTCGCATCGTGTCTCCCATCCGCACCGAGTGGTCGCGGCTCCAACCACCTATCATCTAGGACAGCCTTCAGAGCTGAGTCGCAGTCAAGTGATTTCCCGAATGCCTCTGCAAATAGCTTGTTTGTCGATCCCAAGAGAGATACTCGGGGGCTCTTCCTCCCCTTGTAGCGATGGCTGACAAATTCTTTCGTCTCTTTCGCCGGCCGCTCCCCTATTTGATCCTCCGGAATAGAATATCCGTCCGCACCATGGTCCGAATCACCACGGCTCACGCTAGATGTCGGTTGCCTAGGATGAGAGTCCTCCGAGACTCGCTCTTGTCGATTTTCGTCCGCGTCTTCGCGTCGATTCGATTCCTCACCGTGCGTAGCCGACGGCGTCCCCGGTTTTCCTTTCGATAAGACCATTGGCTCATTTTCGTCGTCTTCTACCCTCTGCGCGACTCCAGAGCCGAACATCCGGTAGGGTTTCGAGCTCGGCACTACCCCCAGACGATGACCTGGCGACTCGAGATACCCCAGACGTTGTCGCGGTACCTGCCGGGTGTTTACTGTCCTCCGCTGCTGCAACCCACCCCTATGCTCTCCCGTCTTCGTCGCAATGGTCGACAGCCCTCTACCACGAGGGGAATGATCATGGCAGTACCCAGCCAAGACCAAGGAGCCGACAAAAAGGTCGGCTATAGAGGCGACCGTCGGGCGAGGGCGTCTGGACTTGAATCTTCGGACGGACGCGGACGCATTGTGGGCGAATGGCTCCGGGGTAGCCATGGAGCTTCGTTGGAGGGGTAAGCGTGTATCCAACCCCTGCGATGACGGTATTCGCAGGTTGGGCGAGCTCTGGGACCTATTGGGAGGAGGCATGAGATGGCAGACATCGTGGCATCGAATTAGCCCTGCATGTCCCGAAAAGGACTCGAACAGCTTGACAAAGGAAGAGCCAACGGGCTCCTCCAGAGATAGGGATTGAGAGAGAGGACAAAGAAGAGGTGGAGAGGTGGGGGGGAGAGGGGAGTGAAGGGGAAGAAGAGAGCCCAAAAATGGTGAGAAGGAGAGAGAGATGTTATGTTTCTTTTTCTGCCGGCGTCTCTTTTGCAGAGCGGAGCCGCCGTGGCCCAATCGGAGGGCGGCATTGCCAATCTCTCTTTTTCAACCGCCGAACTTCTACTTCCCCATTCCCTTCTCTCTGCCCCCGTCTCGACCTCCCCCCCCTCCAATTCTCGCCTTTCGCCATGGGTAAATACAATCTTACGGCTCTGCGCGTGCGCCAGACCGCCATCCAGCAGAAGGCCGCCGGCAAGATCTCAAGAACGCCTCCCTGGGTGGCCGCCGTCGCCGATATCCCTCCGACCCAGGTTCTCGTGCGAACCCAACCCCCACAGCATCAATTGGTCCAGCAACGAGTGAGGACGCTACCCGGGACCAAGAAGCCGCAGGTCGTCTTCGAAACGCAGGAAAAGCTCAAGAAACCCAAGAAGGCGAGCCGCATGTTCCAGCCCGTCGAGATCAAATACGAGGAAGATCAGCTGCGACAAGAGTTCTTCCGCGACCATCCCTGGGAACTTGCCCGACCGCGTGTGCTGGTCGAGACCTCCGGCAACGACCATGCTCGACACAACTGGCGCCGGCTTCAGCAGGCCGGCAGAAAACTAGACGGAGAGAGGTATGTCGATTGCTGAAGGCCTGCCACGATTTCGGGGTGATTCGGACCAGGATGCTAACGAACGGACCCTTTCTTTCCCTCATTTAGTGTGGTTCAACGACAGCTCTGGCTCCTCAATAATGTTCCTAACATGACCAAGAGTGAGTCCTACGATATCGCTCGCCGCGAATTCTACCGTCTTCGACTCCAGGAGGACATTGAACGCCGAGTTGCGGCCGAAGAAGCCGAAGCCACCGGAGCCGTCTTTGGACCGACCCGCCTGCAAGTCGGTATGGAACTTGAGAACCGAGAGTATGAGCGCTGGAAGGAATGGGCCAAGCTGGAAGCCCAGGTTCTCCTCCAGAAGCAGGCGGCCTTCGTTGGTGCTCCCGAAAGCGCGGGACCGGAGGAATCGCTGGAAGCAGAGGCCGGCGAAGAGACGACCGCAGCGGCATGAAATCAGAAAACCGAGAGCAATGGGTATAATATTTTCTTCGCCAACTGGTCAGAGGGGTGTTCTAGACACCTTGCTGGCCCATGTATAGTACGGGATTCTTGTTTATTTTTATAGTTGTTGTTGGCCTTGGGGGTATTCTTTGTGTCTAGTCCATTTCATTTTGTATTTCTTTGCCATTTATGATACGCCCTGGGTGTTGACGGACCGACTTCTTCTACTACTTCATCTATCGTATACTACCGTATACTAGGTAGGTAAAGGTGCCTAGGTGCCCGGACGTAAGCCCAGAGTGGCCGCCCGGCCAATCAGCGGAGGCAACTCGTTCCGCCCCGATCTTCTGTCTCTGCGGCCTCGCCTTCTCTTCTTCCTCTTCCTTCCAGTCCGTCCACTCGACCCTTGACCATTGTTCTCGTTTCTCTCTGTCTTCCTTTCATTCTTGGCTTATCTCATGCTTTCTGCTTCCCAGGCGATGGTCAATACCGGCCGCATCTGATCGATCGCCTTGCGCTGTCCTCTTATTTGACAGCGGCGCTTTTTCTCCGCGTTTCACTAGTCACCCTCCCGACTTGCCCGGATTTGAGAAGATCAGATTCGAAGATCGAACCAACCGACTGCTCGCCTTATATTAATTATTGATCGCCTCGAATACAACCTGTCAGATTGACAACCCCATCTGTCTGCATTTTGCCCTCGGTCGCTTCTCCTCCTGCCTGTCTTTGCGTCTGGGACGCAGCCTAGTCAATTTGGAACCCAACGGAACCCATCGGGCTGTGGCTTTCGAATTCCAGGCGTACCCTCGCGGTCTTTACCTTCGCTCCGATTCATATAATCTCTTCGCTTTCGACCTTTCGATATTACTGCCGTAGCAGCGCCCTTTGATCATGCTTCGTCGCGGTCCTCATGCACGTCTCGCGGATTCTTTAGTCATTTAAATCGATCATACGAACCTTTTGCGGATTCAGGCAAGCAAAGCAAGGCATCAAGTGAACGTGGAGGATTTCCGAATTAGTCGGATCGACTAATTTCGTCATTGGCCATGCTTTCCACGATGGTTCGACCCGAAGACGCGATCAGAATGCCTCGTGCATACCGTGGCGAGGCCGAGGAGGATGACAGAAGCAGGCGAACGCCGGAACAGAATGGTCCTTCCTCTTCCTCTTCTTCGTTAAACAGCGAGGGACCAACCCCACAGGACGACGAACCGACGACGATAGTTACCGGACCTACGGGCGATGGAAACAATAGCCAGAGCAACTCTCACCCCGGCCCCCGAACCCTGTCTCCGGACGAAACCATCGAACTTGCTCGACGCGCAGTGGAAAATGGAATCCAGGAGACCAAACGCTCGTTAGCCGGAAGTGAAGCGGTCAGGGATGTAGTCAAACCGAAATTGACTATCGACTTAGGTCACTCTAATATCATCCGTATTCCCGAGGCCGTGGTGGACGCCATCAAAGATGAAGTTGAAAGGTAAGCGCTACTTGTACCCAAGGGTATGGCCAGTACAAGGGCTATGCCTGCCGGGTCTCTCGGGCCAGACGGTCGATTAACGTGCGCCCCAGGCTTTCTCTCTCGAACAATCAACTATTCCACATCCCCTATCGCTTCGCCGAATGCTCTCATCTGCGATATCTCAACATCCGTTCCAACAACTTCCGCGAGTTTCCCAAGGGAGTGAGTGTCGCCTGGGTTTCTGCGGCCTGAATATGCCCGACTGACTATCATTCCAGGTGTACAAACTGCCGTTTCTAGAAATTTTGGATCTCAGCCGAAACAAAATTAGCCATCTACCAGAAGAAATCAAAAAGTTGACCTCCTTACGAGTTTTGTCGGTGATGTCAAATCGCCTTGATGACCTACCCCTCGGAGTTTCGGATATGAACAAACTTCAAATCCTGAAAGTGGCTGGAAATCCCTTGCGCTATCCTCTGCGGCGCCTTCTTGAAACCTCGGACACTGAAATTGGCCCTTCCACCATCACCGACAACGAGAAGGAGGTAGCGGTTACAGCCGAACTCAAGAAGTTCCTGAAGACCAAACAACCCGTTGCCGCGCCGGAACTTGATCCGCGTCTAGACATGAGGTATGATCCCGGAAGATGGTCTTTCCCTCCCCACCTGTCTGAACCCTTCTAATCAGGATGATATAGTGAACTCATGCTGGATACCCCGAAACCTGTCAAGCGTGGCATGAGTAGTCGCTTCCCCGTGATTCCGAGCACAGGGGACTCCTCATCTGATCCTAAGTCGCCATCATTATCTCGACCTCCGCCAATCCCTCTCAAATCCCACTATCGCAGACAGAGTTCCATTTTCCAGAGCGGGATGCTCCAACGACCCATCGCCACGCTAAGTGAGCGCAACCGCAGTAACAGCGAAGGTATCATCCAATCATCCTCCTACGCTGCACGAAATAAACGTATGGGGGTCATCAACCGGAAGAATACCGACCTAGGGACCCTAGACGAGACGCGACCGTATCGGAACAGCCATTTGCGAGGATTGAGTTATGGATCAATTCTCCGGCCGAGAGCGACGGGTGCCGCGGGCGGCAGTAACTCTTCCAGTCCGAGCAGTCCAAGAGAACGCCGACGTCTGAAAGATGGCTTCGTCAATCGAATGTCAAGCTTACCGGAACAAAAGGCCGAGAGGGAGCCAGGCGAGCCTGTCATTGAGAGTGCTAAAGGAATCCTATTCGCTCTTTTCCAGGTCCAATCCCATGTTTCCGCTCTGATCAACGTTATCAAGCGAGACGATGCCCGACGTAACAGCCTTGAAATTGTATTCTACAACGCATCCACCCATGTCGACCGGCTCAATGAAGCGTTGGAAAGTGTGGAAAAGTCTCGACCTGGCGACGCGGAATCAAAACGGTTATCGAAGGAGACCGTCAAAAGGGAATGCGAAACGTGCGTCATGGCGTACACTCACGTTGCAACGCAACTTCGCAACAGCCTCGATAAGATCGTGGCCAATGGGGACTCGCGCTACGTACGTTCGCTGATGCTCATGATCTATGGCAGCGCCATTGAGTTGCGGAATGCTTGTGTGAGTCTAGGAATTCCCATTGCTCGTCAACAGCCACCGGCTGCCGCCAAACCGCCCATACCTGCAATCCACAAGGAGTCCGTCAGCTCCGACCGGTTCCCTGGCCCGACCGTGACGCCCACTAGAGGAAGGGCACCGTCGTTCGCGATTCGACGGTTTCGAAGCGACACTACAATCCAACATCCTCAAATCCCTACGAGTGGGCCCCTGCCTGCGGCGGCCCATTTCCAGTCTGCAGTCAGCTCGCCCGGTCTGGCTTCCACCCCATTCAGCTTTGGAGCACGCAGTCGGTCGAGCAGTCGGTCAAATCATATCAACACATCAGTGCCTTCTTCCCTCGCAACGCCTCGCTCCGGGGAGTCGTTCCCCCCGATGCCAAACACCGTTATACCCCGTATCAATCCCCTAACCGGTCTGGATGAGATTGAAGAGGAACGCATTTTCGAGCGAATATTCCACCAACTTACCTCGGCATATACGGCTGCGCTCCAGGCTTTGCCGTTGGCGCGCCGACAGTTTGTGCGCTGTCTGGAGGTGGCGGAACAATCACGGGAATCCGAAGGCATTCAACTTCTTTGGAACAATCTCATTCGCCGCTGCCGAGTGTGCTTGGAAGTCTCCGACGTACTCGGGCAGCGACTCTCCACCATGAAGGTCAAGGAACCAGGCGGTGGGCTGCGTAACCAGCGCGAGTTCTGGCAACTCTGCAAAGGGTTTATGCAGTCGTTTGTTGACCTGGTGACGGATATGCGTGAAGTCCGAAGTATGCATCTGTTACCTTCGGATATCATTATCCTCCTTCGGCCGGTTCAGAGGGCGAGCAGAGAGGCCGGTCGTTTGATCGAGGCTTCCCCGTGGTCATATCTCGCCGACATGGCCTCGGCTAATCCAGCCAATATATACGGCCCCCCTTTGCCATCCCAGCATTCGCAGCATCCGGGATCCGTATCTACGGCGAACTCCTTCCACATTAGTTCGAGCTTGTCGGCGCAGTCGACTGCCCTTCCGGCGACGCCTCTGAGTGCTGCCCTGGGACCCGCTGCGCAGGCCACCGTGCCCTCTACGCCTGCAAGTGCATACAGCGACAAGTTCTTCGAGGGCGATGTCTTCCAGCGAGCCGATTCCTTGCTCTCCATGCCGAGCCAGACCCCCTTTTTCCGCCGGTGATGTGGAAGGACCGCGATCATCAACCCCGCTTCTGGCCTTCGTTCCCCACGGAATTTTGTGTTCCCTCGCACACCTTCTTTGTGCTACGTTATAGAATCTTCCACCCCTTTTTTCTTTTCGTTCGTTGGCAGTCTGAAAGGAAGAGGGAGTTTACAACCCTTCCCCCCTCCAATCGACGATCTACGGAGCTTCAATTCTGACTGGCTCGGAATGCTCTGTACCCACACCTCAACCGGCCGCATGCATTTATCGACACTAAAATAGAGACAGGGCAAGCTTATGCCCGAGGCCGGTTGCGATCAGTCAGGGCGGGCCTTGGCCTCCATTTTCCGACTATGATTTGGTCGAATATTCTTAGATGCACATCTACTCTTCTATCATTTCCAGGAGAATTGGGGTTTTCTAAAACAGAAAGGAGAAAAGAAAGATGGGAAAAGTTACATAAGACCTTAAAAGAGGACGGCGTCCGGATCTCAAGCGTTGATTGTCATTTTTCTTGATAATATTCTGCATAGCGTGATTTCTTTTATAGTACAGTATATTTTTAACGCCTGATGAAAGCCAAGGAAAGGGAAGGAAAGGAAGGGAAGGAGATAAACAAAATCCATTATTGTCATCGCCATCTTCAACCTCAAACATGTCAGCAATCAAGTAGTCCATGTCCCAGCGTCAAGACCAAAGACCGGTCCACGCGATTGGCAACAAACACCCCTAGACCTTGTTGAGGGAGTACGACAGAAGGAAATTAACGGAATTTAGAAAAGGAACCTGCCTCCTTCCACTCTCGAAGGGGACACGAACCTCTGTACGCCCGTTCGCTCTCTGCTTCGGTACCGCCAAAGCAGCACGTAATGTAACCAACCCTCCAACCCATGTTTGACACCATGTCCTCCTTGTTACCTCGGTAAAGGAAGAGTGAGAAAAGAAAATCATGAGTGGTCGGGGAAATAGAAAAGAGCAATGCCTAAAACGGGGCAAAAGGCACGCGGTCCCCGTCAACAGCATGTAGTATCTTGTCCTTTCGCCTTGCCGTCTCTTTGCCGTCCCTGTCTAGAAGAAAGCACATCGATGACTGGAAGGAAATGGATGTCGAATCCAATCTGACTTGGTACGACTTGAGTAGAGCGGATTGACATATCTTGGCTTGAGTTAGCTTGAATTAAAGGAAGGCAGGCGGGGAGAGAGAGAGAGATTGGAGCCGGCAGGATCCGAAGGCAACGGGCAACTTGAAGTGTTACAAACACCAACGACGTCGGCAATGATGCAGCATTCTGCATAGATAAACTTTTGATTCATCCTAGCACTGCTTGGGGATTCTCTACTAGTTAGCTTGCTTACCTACTTGCATGCTTAGGTAGTTATTTGCCGATACCGGCGGTGCAGAAGTACCTATTTACCTACAGTACCTCCTCCTCCAGAAAGATGAATCAAATTTTGAACGTAGAGATACAAACGAGAGGGGAGGGGAAAGGGACATATAAAGTCGCACAAGATTCCACATTGGATGCGACATACTCAATCACGCCGCGTAGGGGTGGTTGGAGTGTTACATTTTCCCGGTGCGGCTGTTTTACCAGGTTACGCTGTACTACTTACTAGGTATGTCTGTTTTAGTATGAGAAGGTCTGCAAACGAGGGAGAGCGTCTAAACTCTAAGATCAACCGTGGCTTGGGAGGCCATGTCCCTCCAACGGGCAGTCCAGGGGTTGTCTTACAATAATAGATCCGGGCTGGGGATCCAACGTGATGGTTGTGAGCTTGCGAATCCTTTGGAGCTGGGTGGACGTAGATATTTATGATATCAAATCTGATAGTCGAATGGAGTAAGGACTATATTTATAGAGCAATCATTGGTGATTTCCTTCTGGGTAGGAGCTTTCAGCTGAATACAGAATAATTGTGGTTAATTAAGCACATAATCGGCAAGAACTAGTGACTGGTGAAGCTATAGAAACCATTCTGTATAGGGCATCTCCATCTTCCGGGACACAAGCAACGAAACATGTGCCAGTCCATGTGGAGTGGGACTCCGTGGAAAAAATCGAATTGCACCACCCGATCTGTCTAGATTTCAGATGATAGCAGATTTGCCCATTTGGCAGGGAGATCGAGATGCCTCCCAAGCAGCGAAAAGCAATACATGGCGACTAGGGCTCAGGGTTAGGGCCGTCCAGTCATGGGGCAATCACGGGACAGCCTCATCGTCGCCTTCCCTCTTCTCTTTCCTTTCCTTTCCTTGCAAATCTCCGTCCCTTCCATGTACCGATGACGTTGTCTTCCTTTATCAGTACTGGGCACTCATGAGGGCTGACGCAGCATTGGGACTCGTGCGGGACTCATCCTCCAGCCGGAGAAAGTAAAAGAGCAGATGCAAATCAACACCGCTCTTTACTGAAGCTTCAATGCAAACGGGCTTGGCTTCCCAAGTGACTCTTCTCCGACCAGCCCCGGAACAATGAGGCGACCATGCGTGGAGTGATCATGGTGATCAATGCACTCCGAGAGGGACGGAAAAATTAAAAACAAAATATACCAAAAACCAAAGTGAGGCGCCAAGCGGGCTTTCCCATGCTCCAGGGCTGTCCAGTGTCCACCCCTTATTATTCATCGATTGATTTCGTGCCGGCCTTCGCGAGCATCCCTTAGGAATTCACACGGGAAACCCGAGAGATCCGTCTCTTGCCTTTTCCCTTTATTTCTTTCCCTGTCAACCCCTGACACGGGTGGGACACGGGTGGGTGGTTGAAGATTCCAAGGCGTTCTTAATCTTAGGAGACTCCGAGTTTAAATGATGGAATCCATGTCGATCCACCCAGGTGTATCCCGAAGGAGTTCAATAGCCTGGCAGTCCGAGTGGCACCGCAATTCCGCGCGGTAAATCTGCGTTTGCAGGGGTCAAAAGTCCAAAACCCACTAGATCCTTTCACGGAGCCATGGTGCCAACTCAAATCCCACTCTGAGTCTCCGGCTAGCCTAGCGTTCGTGAGGATTCTATCTATCAAATATCTCTCTGTTGAGGTGTGGGTCATGACCTGGCCTTAGGCTCCTGCAGGCTCCCCCATGTTCCAGGGGTGAGAACAAGAACAAGGAAAAACAAAAACAAATCGAAAATGCCAAAAAAAAAAAATAAAAAAAATAAAAAAAAATTTCTTCCGCCACCTTCTCCCCTGTTCCCTGTCGCCATTCGCCATTCGCCATTCACGACATTTCTGGGACCTCCAAAGTTGTAGCGCATGATTCCGACTGCGGGCTCAGACAAAACATGAATGCGGTCCCGAAATGTCGGTGGGAGAACGGATCCGGCTGGGCTGGGGATTTGGTCGCGTCCAAGACTACGTACTCCGTATGGATTCTGGAGTAAACGATGACGAGGGCGCCGTCCATTTAACCACTAGGTATAATAACAACAACCAGGGGCGGAGGTGCCTTTTTAAACTCCATTCGAAGGGAAAGCCGAGAGGATGCCGACGAGCTCATTCGGCCACCGATCGGGTTGCCCAGGATGAACTATGAACTAGGGTCCTATTCCTAACGCCTAACGACCTTGACATGGCCGCATGACACTGTCAATCATGCTTGCCGCAATAAGCCGTGGTTACACGCTACTGGATAGACCCTGGCACGCCTTTTTTTTTTCTTTCTTCCGAGCTGTGGCCATACCACCAGACAGAAGGGAGCAAGGGAAGTCCTCCCCGACCACGGTGTACAGTAAGATGCATGTATGTACTCCTCCGTACGAGGGGTCCATTGCTCGGAGAGCCACAGGATACAAGAAACTTTTAGGATGAAAGCATGAAAACCGGTGGTCTTGCGCGCGCGCGCTTTGAAGTCGACGGATCGAGACTGGAATGTCCACTCGCTATGCTTTTTAACCACCCCCCCTGCTTTCGGCCTTGGTCTCCTTTTTCCTACGAAAGGGGAAATCCAGCATAATACTCCAAAATCTATGGTCAAAGCCATCTGAACACAGTGGCGGCAGGCTGCGTCAATCTGCACATTGTGGATGAATACACCGAGGGAGGACCTTTCCCCTATGGCAAGGGAACGAAGTTGTACACATTTTTTCCTCCCGCCTTTTTTATTTTGATTTTCTTTTTAATTCTTAAAGCCCCCTTTGTTTTTCCAATTACTCCAATGGCTAATAATGCATCTCCGACAAAGAAACAGGTGGCGTATGGAGGGGGGAATCAATCCTTTCTCCCTTCTCTCTCTCTCTCCCTATCACATCTCCCTGTTTCAAGGACCAGTCGCTTTTGCCGGGTAGCAGCATTGTATCTGGCACACGCCCGGCCTCAGATCGTACACGATACCGTGCCCTGTCATTGTGAGGAATGTTGCTAAGGCCCGCCGCAAAACCCACCTGGAAGTCTAGGGATTCGACTTTTGGAGTTTGGCCTTTTCTTTTGCCTCCCTCGCGGCCGTTAGGAATGATGCTTTTTCCCCATCCACCGTACCCACTTGACTAGCACTAGATCGGAGATGAATTCGAGCCAAGGGCCGAACAGGCAATAATGCACCTAATTAGCTTTGCGCGGTCATGTTACTTTACCTACTGCTTGCGTTGCGCCCGCTGCGACTGCTGCGACCAGCGATCGGTTTGATCGTGCCATCTAAACACCCACATACATAACTGTTTCCGAATGGAGTTGCTTGTATTTTGGGTTTTCTGCACATTTTCCTAGGACACTACACAAGAGAGGGCAAAAAGCATTACTAAATTTTTGTAGGCAGCTGCAAGCGTTTTACCCAGATCTACTTAACTCAGCCTCACTTTTTTATTTTTATCTCTGATTCCCTGGCCACTCCAACTAGTTCAATGTTGTTGCTCTGTTCTCGATGCTGAACCCAGCATTTCCCCGTCATCGTCTCTTGGCTCCTTTTTTTTTTTTTTTTCCCCCTTCGATCATCCAGTTGATCTTTCATTAGTCCGGCTGTTCCAAGGGTGGTCAAATTCTTAGACCTGATCCCCACCGCATGGTTGTGTTCTAATGTCCGAATGCCGTCATAAGTCCTTAGTTTATATCCAGAGTCTTATACCCTTCCACCCCGGTCCCTTTGTCAATTGCATTTCGCCGATTTATTGGTCGCTGTCAAACTGTATTTCCTGTTCGGTATTGCAGCAGTGAAGCTGTCGCCGTTTGTTTGCTAATCAATCGTCGGCCCTGCTTCTACTTCGTGCTTCTGCTTCCCTCTTTGTTTTATTATTATCTTTTCTCCATCTTTCTCTCGTCTTCTGTCTAGCCTGAGTTGGCTGTCACATCGATCGAAAATTCCCAGAAAACAGAGGCGCTACACTCCCTTTCTTTCTGGCTTTGTCCCTACGGGCTTGGAACAAACATATCTGATATCCATATTCCCTTGAACACGTCCTGAAGTACAGTACCTGGAAAGGACTGACATACTTACACCACATTGATCGCCCGAAAGCGAATCCGAGAGAGAAAAAAAGAATACATCATTTTTATTTTTATTGTTATTTTTTATTTTATTTTTTGGCAGGAACTATTGCCCGTCCAGGATCGACATTGCCGATCGACGCCGTTTGTCCAATATCAGGTGAGAACTATTCTTTTCTCCCTCGCCTGGTTGCCCCTCGACTCCCGGCAAGGACTAACAGGTGTGAAAGGGCGACTGGTGTAGGGCTGCGGTGCCTTGCTTCCCTTCAACAAGAAATGCCCGTGGCCTTTACGATCTAACGCTGCAATTCTCATTGTCTTGAATTGTCGTTGTCGTGGACACCCGTTCGTCTCCAACCACCACCACCACCACCACCACCACCACCACCTTCTCTCACTCCCCCGTTATCCTCTTCCATCTGGTATCCCCTACTCTCTCCTCTTCGTGCGAGCGTGCAAACGCTACGGGGTCTTTAATTCGATCTGCAGCAAACGGATGGAGATGGACCTTCAGAAGACGAAAGAGGCTCGGCGGGATACGCCTGGGCAACAAGAGGAAGGTACAGATTGTCCCCTGGAGACGTACGGGGCAGGTGGTCACTCCAAGGACTCGCCGAAGAACGATTCGCTCGGCCATCGCGATGCCAGCAGCTCCGGCGCATCGGCAAGTGGAAGTCAACGTCGCCGACCAGTCGAACTGTCCTACAACCATGACGCATGCCCGAACGAGTCGGCGCCCCTACCTATGACGGCCAGACTCCCTCTCCCGCCGTCCAGAACCATGATGAAGATCCCCGAAGCTTTGAATGTGGGTGCCAAGGAACAAAGGCTATTGATCTCGGCGAAGAGACACCCTCCCGTCACCAAAGGCACGCTGAGCGAGCTCGACCTACCCTGCATCATGAGCAATATCAACCTTCGCATGGACGCCAACTTCGATCGCGATCTACATTTCAAGCCCGATCTGGATGGGGAAAAGGGAAGACGCAAGCGGAAGGAAGCGATGGACTACTGGGAGGCCATGGCGGTCGAGATTACCATCTACGGATATTACGCCGCTCAAGGCGAGGATAACACGAGTCGAGATGTCCCGGTCGATCGGCGAGGGTCCTTCGAGCCCCGGCTACCTGCCATGTTCGAGACGTTGCAGGAAGTCTTGAAGACTCTCGTTCCGGAGCGCGACCACCCTAGCGTGATGCAAAACCTTGAGGTGGCGCTGCTGATGCAGCAAATACAAAAGGGCGTTCTTGACATGGTCGGAGTGGCCAAATGGCTGGCGGCCCTGCTCAAAACCCATTGCGCCCCCATGCGCGATGAATGGGCCGACACGATGGTTGAGCAGATCAGCTCGGGGTCGCGATCACAGAATTCCACCGAAGTGGTCAGCGGTCTCCAGACGCTGTTTGCCATTCTGGAAGCGATGAAATTGGTAAGGTCGGAGTTGCTTTCTTGACATTATTTCTCGCCAGGAGAGAGAGAGGGAAAGACTAATGAGTTGGGAATCTAGGACGTTGCGAACCATCAAATCCGCGCATTTCGGGTACTTCTCATTGAAGACACGATCCCTTTCCTACAAGATTACTTCCGAGGCAAAATCGAAAGAGACAACTTTCGCGTCGAATCCTCCCGACTCTGGTATCTTAACCTTCGCGACCGAGAGCTGCGGCGCATGGAGAAACCCCAGACCGACGCATTTTTGCCCATCTCGCTATTGTTTCGAGGCGTGGCCGAATCCCTGCTGCAGTTCCATAACCCTGAGGGATTCCCCGAAACCTTCATCTTTGACTCGGACCGCTTGTGGCAGCTGCGCGCATGTCTGCAGAACCTCATCAACCTCGACATTTGTTGGTTCATCTTCCAATCGTACATCTTCATGCAAAAGCGCTACCTCTCCGCACCGGAACAGACCTACGCCACGTTTCGCTCGCGCATCGGGTCGCTGATGGAGGAGAATGAGGACTGCTTCCGAGGGTCACCGCAGTGGACGAAAAATATCCGCTGCATTGCGCTGGAAATCGCGCGATTTGCCTGTGCGGCATGCTCCTCGGACGCCATGGTGTCGGACGAGCTGATCGCCACTATCGAGCGGCCCTTGGTGTGGCACCTGTCAAACGAGCGCGAGGTGTTCCAATTCTTCCAAAATTCACTGCAAGAAAAGCTGCTGGCCGCCACGTTTGCGTCGGCCAAGAAGTACCTGAATATGTCACCGCTGGCGATCTGCGAGTCCCAGCGAAACCATCCCCCGTCGCCCGTATCGCAACAGCACTACTACGACGTGGAGCGCATATCCATGCGCCTAGCACACATGGGCGTTCTTCACTGGAAAGTGTGGGCGCCAATTCTTTACGTGCGCGAGAGCGTGTCCCCGAGTGACGTGGCGACTCGTCCTGTATCGGTGATGATGACTGACGTGGCGCGGTCATCGTCGCGATAATCCGAAAAAATCTCGTATTCTCTTTTCTCATCTTTTTCTTCTCTTAGTTTCCCCTCTATTAACTCCCTCAGATTTGTTTTCTCCCCCTCTACCCTACATTTGGATCATTGAGTGGAGTGGACCGGTGTTAATTATATCTGTCTGCTTTTTTGAGACCATGACTTGCAGTTCAGCGCTTTCTTCTTTCTTCCTGTTTTGCATTAGGTATTGGCGTCCAGCTTTTGGAAGGGTATTCATATCACGGGTTTTTGGGATTCGGGGCATTCCAGTTTTCGAAGCATTGAGTTCCAATAGACTGGGGATGTTTATGTTTAAACATGGGGTCACCCGATGCCAGCGCCGGTGAATAGTTAAGAATGTAGTAGTAATATCATCGTTTGAATTGTTGATGAATGGCATATTGCATCCGGAGGTCATGTAGGTCTAGCTGTGAGCTCACTAGTAACTTAATATTCTGTATAGTCTGCATTCTGATCTATTCCTTTCTCCATACTGTACTATCTATACTTATGGCCCCTAATCCGATAGGCGGTCAATAAAGCAGCAGGCAGAATCCGAGGTTTTGTGTATATAGTTATGTAATTCGAGATACCGCCCATTCACCCCATCGTCAACCTTCTCTCTACATATCATGCGCCTCTCCCGACGTCTACTCGCGGAGTTGCGATCCAACTACGAATACAAACATCCGTGGCTCCAGACCCTAAAACTAACCCGATTGACCGACCTCGCCCAAGCAACCGGCATCCGGTCCGCAGGTCCAAAACCGGCTCTATGTGAGCGACTTGATCGCGAATTCCAGAAATGGGATCAGCAGGGATCGACTAGAGTCGCGGACCAGGGTTGCCTTGAATCTAATGGTAGTAATAATAATAATGCCGATGGTTTGGGGTCTTTGAGTTCTGGTCTCAGGACCCAGTCTACTTTGGATGTAGACTTCCATCGAGGATTGAGTATCCTGAGCATTGATATGGGAATTAAAAATCTGGCTTATGCACATCTTGTCGTGCCGGGGATTAAAATGGATCATGGCCGGCGCAGACATGCTTCGAAGCAGAAGCAGCAGCAGGAGAGGAAAGGCACGGAGGCAGAAGAACACCCGCTTCCTATATTGAATGCATGGCGCCGGATCGACGTGTCGCGGCTTCCGAGTGACTTTGCGGCCTTGTCGGCGACGGCGATTGCGACGACAGAGGTGAAGAAGGAAAAGAAGAAGCATGCCAACAAGTCACTTCCTTGCAGCCCCGAGCACACCTCTTCGACCCTCGTGGATTCCATGGTCAAAGAAGACGAGGAAACCGCCAATGAAAACAGCAGCAATAGTACTCCCACCCCCATCGAAGACGAGGAATTCTATCCCCTCGCCCTCGCCCCCCGCGCATACACCATCGTCACGGAACTCCTGGACGCCTATAAGCCGACGCACGTGCTCATCGAGCGCCAGCGCACCCGCAGCTCAGGTGGCTCGTCAGTTCTCGAGTCGACGCTCCGCGTCGGCGTCTTCGAAGGCATGCTCTATTCGATTTTCTTGACGTTAGCACGGGAACGACCGTGGATGACGGCGCCGGTGGTAGTCCCGGTGGAACCGCAGCGGGTGGCGCGGTTTTTGGCGCAGAAATGTGAGGAGGACGTGCAGGGGTATCGGATTAGGAGTATTGAGACGGAGGGAGAAGAGAGTGTGGATGCTAAAAAAGATGAAAAAGAAGGAACGGGAAGTGCAGACGAGAATAACAATAAGAATGAGAAGCGGAAACGGAAACGGAAGGGGAAAGAGAAAGAGAAGGAGGAGCAGAAGAACTCAGAGACCCTTCTCCTCCCAGAGAAGACAAAGACACCGAAACTAAACAACCGACAAACGAAGATCATGAAGATTGACCTGGCAGGCTTGTGGCTGGCCTCAACACATCAATCCCATCATTCGGGATTCGATGCATCCCCCGTTTCAACCATCGTCGACAACTCCGCCGTCTTCGTCTCCCAATCCAAGTTGGAAATCGCCCCGGACGGCCTCCTGCACCGCTGGGTCGATGCATATCTCAACAAATGGCCCGGACTCGGCAAGGGCTCCTCTCGTCGGCGATCTCCGAAACGCAAGGTCCTGGATAGGAAGACACTACACGAGGATGAGGTCTTGCGCGAGGTTCCGAAACTGGACGATCTGGCGGACTCGCTGGTCCAGGGGGTTACTTGGCTGGATTGGATGCGGATGAGGCAACATGTGGTGCGCGAGGGAGAGAGTATGTTGGTGCTCAATGACGGGAAGCCGAAGAAGAAAGAGTAGTTAGTAAAGTTCGGAGATGGAATCTTGGATGGAGGTACTTCAACTGTTGTGTATATATCTTTGACCAGTCTGTACTATACTGTATAATACCCCCTGGTGCATGTTGTGAGCGGAATTGGTATATAAAAGGCCATTTGTGGTCATTAATTCAATGGATGAATTCAACCTGATGGATGAAGAAGATGGTTGTTGAGGAAGAGGTTCTACAGTAGGTAGCGACGCAGGAATGATGAAACGGACTGACGTGAAGCCATCGCAACATCCCTTCTTCCTCGTTGGTGGCCCGTTGTGTTGTCGGCAGGTGCAAGAGCGTAAGGTTTCCTGGTACCCATAAGTGACTGTCCCTCGCCCGTCTTCCTCTTTTCTCTTTCTTCTTCTTCCTTCTTCCATCCAGCTGCAGTGACCTTGGCCGAGCCATCGCATTGCTCACTTCCTTTCCTTTGCTTTCGTAGTTGTATATTGCTTTCCATAAAGTATACAGGTATATAGTTTTCCTTTGTAGATCGCAGTCGTAGTCGTAGAGAGCAAGCTGTAAGCCGTAGAATGATGCTTCCCGGATACCTCGTAGCGTAGTCGTAGCGTAGGAGTGGTACAGGTGAAATGGCTTGGCATATCGCACCTCATGAAAATCTCTAGGCGTATCGTTGATTATTACTGTTTTTCTCATACGTCCGGAGTACTTACAAGAACTACAATTCTTAGACCTACGATGAGCTATTAAGGGATACTGAAAAGGTATAGAATAAATTCGCTATCATATCATATATGTGATCATCATGATTTTTGCATCGGAAGGACAGACCAGGTCGCACCTCGCTCTCATCCCAAACCCCTAAGACCAGAATATTGGCAAGAAAACACGGAGCACGTCTTGTCGGTCGTTCCTATCGGCCGTCCATCTGATATACCAAGGTTCCAAAGACAAGTCTCTTCTCCGAGGCACGAGCGGATAATGACAGAAGTCAAACAAGGATAAGCAAGCTCAAAGAAGAAAAGAAGCTTCGTTTGCTAAGAAAGAGCAAGGAAGCTCGGATGGCTTGGCTTCCAAGCCGAAGAAGTGAAGAAAAAAGAGCAACCACCGATCCGAAGACCGAAAACGGTTCAGAAGAAGCAGAAGTCTAGAGATTTGGATCGAAAGTGGTTTCTTTCAAGGTGGAAAAAAAAACGAAGTTTGTACCAGAATGTTAAAAAAAAAACTCAGGAATTTATCCCTCTCGTAGATACACTGCCTGCGCGCATATGTTGCCGCGGAGAAGAAACACAAGGAAACTTAATTACAGGCGGCCCCCCCGTCGTGTATTTTGACTGATTTAGAGGTGACGGCGGCGGAAGCCGGTGGGGAAGGCCGCCTTGCTGCTCGTCAGGAAGCCGGAGGGCGAGGGGACGGCGCTGCTGCTGGGAGTAGGGATAGCGCTGCTGCTGGGGGTGTGGATGGGGAAGCTGCCGTTGCCGTAGGGAGGTCCGCTGGGGGCGGGGATGCCAGTGGCAGTAGCCTCATCATCGGCACCGTTGCCAGTGTTCGAGGGCGCAGCGCTGGAAGTGGTGTCCTCATCGATGATGAGGTTCTCACCGGGCTTGTTGGTAGCAGCAGGGGCGGCAGTCTAGTTAAATAAATTAGTATATGGCCAGCGTCAATCCTAGGATTCAACGGTCAAAGTCTTACCACAGTGACGGTGTCGTGGGCAGTAACGGTAACGGTAGCAGGGCCACTGCACTGTCCGTCCGAGCCGCTGCCATTGCCGCTGCCCTTGCCGTTCTTGCCGGTGTCGACGTTGTGCTCTTGGCCGATAGAACCGGTCGAAGAGGGAACGGCAACAACGGTGACAGTCGAAGTAGAGGTGGAGGAGAGAGTGGTGACCTTGTCGGAGCCGCTTCCAGAGCCGTTGCCGGAGTCGGAGCCAGAGCCAGAGCCGGAAGAACCAGCGTTGCTAGCACTCTAAAGATGAGGTTAGTAAGGGTGATCATTTGACTGAAACTTGAAGGCTGGTCAACTTACGGCGTAGACGGTGTTCCAGTTGGTAGCGGTCTTGTGGATGGTGGTGGTGACGATGGACTTGGAGACGCCAGTGCCCAGGGTGTAGGTCAGAGTCACATCCTCGGATCCGGAGAAGATATCGCTGGCGCTGGAGCCGGTGGAACCGGTGCTCAGAGGGACGGGAGCAGCGGTGATGGTGGAAGAGCCCTGGCTATCAGCGCCGGAGGGGACCTTCGAGGACGAAGGGTAGGGCACCACGATGTGGGAGGAGCTGGCGGAGCTCGAGGAAGCGGAAGAGATGACCGCGGTGGAAGTGCCGGGGATGGCAACGGCGGACGAGGTGGGCACCGCGGGGGGGGGAGGGGGGATGGCGGAGGACGAGGTCTCAGCAGCGGCGGCGGACGTCTCACCGGCCACGGAGGTCTCGGCAGCAACGGAAGTCGACTGAGAGACGGCGGTCTCAGCAGCGGAAGGAGTCTCGACCGCGGGGGCGCTGGGAGTCTCAGCCGCGGTGGGCTGCTCCGGGGCAGCGCTGGTCTCGGTGGGAGCAGCAGCCGGGGGAGTCGGGAAGACGGTGACGGCCGAGACGGAGCCGGGCTGGTTCAGGGCACGGTGGTGCAGGTTGCGACGCACATGGCTGTTGGCCTCGGAGCCGGCAGCGAGAGCAGCCAGCAGGGCGACGGAGATCTTGGCGGTGAAGTGCATGATGATGATGTTGATGATCGAAGATGCGACAATCAATGCCTAGAAAGGAAGTATGGACTAGAGAGGAGTCTGCCTGGGGTACTGCAAAGAGTGTGATGCGAAATCAATTCGCACGAAACACAAAAACAAGCTTAAAGAGCGACAGTGAATGAACACCAGAAAGAGCGTGGAGGCAGAACGAACTCTGAAGTCGAGAAGAACGATGGGAGGGAAGAAGAAGAAGAGGAAGAAAAGGAAGGACGAGAACGGGAAGAGGAGGTAGTAAAAGTAGTCCGGATCCACGGGCAGGTAAATTAGACAGGAACCCCGGCAGGAAAGGAGACCGAATCACACGGCCGCGTTTGACGAGGGTTTGATTAGCTTAATTAATTCTACAAAAAAGAAAAGCAAAAAGAAAAACAAAAAGAAAAACACCCCGACTGGGCCTGGACCGTGTGGGAGATTAACCGGTAACCCGCATGGCATCACCGCCATTCAGCAGGTCTTCTTTATTAAGTTCGATGTACAAGATATTCACGAAGTATGTATTCTACGGTCTTCCTTTGGCCATTGGCCTGGAGGTGACTTGAGAAGGCACTCAAAGAATTAAACCAAAAAAAAATAAAAAATAAAAAATAAAATAAAAAAGCAAGTGATTCCTTCCCTCTTCGGCTGCTGGTTCCTTCCTGTACTTCGCAGTTGCATCACAAGTGGGACCAGGCACTGCGCTCTGAGTGGCCACCCAGACACCATCCCGTTTCACCTCCCCGCAGAGCTTGCCATTGATTGGCCCACGCGGGGCCGACTTAATCTCGCCGCGTGCCCGTCCAGACTCCAGACTCTCGTTGTTGCCCGCACGGTTCGGCTGCCTTGCATTTTTGACTTTCTCCTTTGTCTCGCCTTTAATTTCTGTCTCTCGTCCTTGCGATTTGGTTTTGTTGTGTTTTATTTTCGGGTTTGTTGTTGTTTCACTTGTACTCCGTAGTCTCTCTCGATCACTGATGGAAATCTATCCCCCAAACTCCCTTCAATCCTGCATGTTTTGGGGCCGCAAATTCGAGATCCTCCTGGGTGTTGGAACGGCGACTCCGGAATACCGAAGGAAGCACCAATTCCAACGGTGCTGGAGGGGACAAAATGCAAATAAAGTGCTACGATGCGCTAGTGCCAGGGGACGGTGGCATCATAAGTTCAACAAATGGGCAACTTTAATTAATCTATCGCTCCTTGGGAGGACGGTGTAGGACAAAGTACGGTACATCCAAGATCCTTGGAATTCACCGCGTTAATTTGCATTATTGATTCATTGTCCGACGCTATCGATTTTCCTTGTGCCACGGCGGAAATGACAGCCTGGGATGTTGGGATGGTAGGCCGAGTGGATCCGGTATCCTGGACATCACTCTCAATGATATATTAATTTTCAGGAGGACGGCAGAGCTCGAAGGAGTAGTACCTTGGGTGATTGCGACCGAGAGAACAAGACTCGCCCTACGGTGTACACCTACGGAGTAGTGGGAGTGACTCCATCCCGGAGGAATCATGCACTGACAGACAGGCAGACACTTTCGCCTCGCTGGCGCTATCCATTGCCACTCGACCCGAACCCATTTCGGCCTGAAGCGATGGAGGTCAAACTTTTCCTTAGTCTCGAGTCATACCTTAAGCGAGAAACACATCCTCTTAGTCTTGGGCGTCCTGGGCACCTTGACAACGCAGAGGCGAAAAATCGAGAAGTGAAGAAAGGAAAAGAAGAAAAAAGCAAAAAAGGCCTTACGGTGTGAATTGCCATTCCTTTCTTTCCTTCCGATGGAATGCTACCGAACGCATTGACAGATGCCGATCCATCGTGGAAATCCTAACGGGTCACGATGATCTCGACTGGAAGAAGTGGGGCCTCGGTCCTGCAGTCTAGACAACTCGGCCGCTGCCCTCGAGCTCATTCTCATCTCGTCTTCTTGGATAGGGGGGCCTGATTGATGTCAGACTCAGATATATCATCTCATATCTGATGCGCATCTCACCCCGTAACTAGCTCCTGCATTTCTGGAAGACCCTAGACCCCGGGGGGACCCTCGCTACCATCGCGACATTCCTGAATATCGGAAAAAAAATCTCTCAAAAGCGGCAGCCAGCGTTTCAGGCAGATGAAGGTTCGGTGGTTCTCTAGATTGTACAGCCCCCGTCTTCGCAAGCCGCTTCCACTCCCCTTCAAGAGCCGAAATTACCACCCTCTGCTATCGGTGCTTGTTAGTCAACAATCAATATCCACAATATTACGGAGCATTGGGGGGAGACTAGCGAGATAAACACTGTAACCGAGTTGATGAGATCGGGAGAGTCCAGAGTCAAGACCTGAGAGGGAGAAGTGGTCTGCGGTAACGCGGCACTCGAGTGGATCGCTTGCCGTATATCGGTTTCAGGTGGCCATGAATGATGAATGGCGATTATAATATCATTGCCCTTCCTTGAGTGCCTTCACAGTCATCCAGACGGTCCAGCCAAAGTTGATCTTGATCTCGGTATTTTAATTCAATCAAATACGGCTGCCTTGGTGACTCACTGATCACCGTCTAAAATTCTAGATTGATCTGGTCCTTTTCGCAAAACTTCCTACGTATCCACGGCAGTATTTGACCTGTAGAACACTGATAAGTGACGAGAGGTGCAGATATCGTGATGACCGATGATCTCTCGTATTGACCCTGCAGCCTGCTGCCGATATTTCATCCTTGGTGCCCTTTGGCGCTCCACCTGTGCTGACCACGGTTTTCCCTCGGAGAATGACCTCATCCAGACAACCTAAATCTTACGGCATGAGGGGTGAAGCTGATGCTAGAGCTAGGGACGAGGTTCCTGAGAATCCGAAGTCTACACTGTGTACGTCGTGATCGAGGGGGGAATTGGGGCAAGCCCGAGTCACATGAGAACGACACCGTCAAACCCACCGAAGAGTTGAAGACATCGCATCGCATCGCATCGCATCTTCTCGCTTCGTCCCTGAAACTCTCCCCCTTTCATCATGTCTACCGCCTCGTTCCAGAGCCTCCGGGCTAAATACGGGACTGCGTTGAAACAATTCATTCAATCGACCCGCAACTTCGAGGTTCTGGGCTCTGTCTCACTCTCCCCCGAGCGATCCCACTCTTCTCCCCCGCAGGTGCTGTACGTGCTAGATTCATCTTTTAACCCCCCGACCCTGGCCCATCGCCGCATCGCCAGCTCCGCTCTTTTAGAGAATCCCGACCGCCCGTCTCGGCTCTTACTGCTGCTGGCAACGCAGAATGCCGACAAGCCGTCGAAACCGGCCAGGTTCGAGGATCGTCTGGCGATGATGGAGCTGTTTGCTCGGTACCTGATCTTATACACGAAGAGCCTTCTACCGGCACCAGACCGGCAGTCCCTTCCCGACGTCGACATCGGGGTCACCAAGAAGCCGTACTTCGTCGACAAGGCGGCCGACATCGACGCTGCCAGCGTCTACCCCGCGTCGCTCGAGCAGGTCCACCTGACGGGCTTCGACACGCTGATCCGCATCTTCAACCCCAAATACTACCCACCCACGCATACGCTGCAGCCCCTGGAACCGTTTCTCTCGCAGCACCGCCTGCGCGTGACCATGCGTCCGGATAGCGACTGGGGGAGTCGCGAGGAGCAGGAGGCCTACCTTCGTACGCTGGCTCAGGGCGGTCGCGAGCAGGAGGGCGGGAAGCGTGAATGGGCCGAGCGCATCCACCTGGTAGAAGGCAAGAAACCGGAGGAGCGATCGGTGAGTTCGACGAAGGCTCGCGAGGCCGTGGAATCCAACAATCCGCAGGATCTTGACTGGCTGGTTCCGCCCGAGGTTCGCGACTTTATTCTTGCTACGGAGCCATATAAAGAGTAATGATGTTGCTGCCAACGATGCCTACGAATTGCATACGCCCTCGACGTCATTGGCAAAGTAGAGAACTTTTGCCGCGCGCTGCGCAACATCCTACTGCATTAGACGCTTGTGTTTGTTTCCCTTTCGTTTCTGAACCTGTAATGTACATATGAACCCTCTGCTTGGATCACGAAACAATTCGACGGAATCTGGGCCCCGTATATATTATGATACAACCGAAACACCATGCCCGCGACGACGCCGACTCCACGTTCGAAAATTAAGAAAGTCGTAGTAGTATGACCACATCCCGCAATATCGTTACATTCTCCACATGAAAGCGATTTTATCAAGTTTCTTCTTTCCTATTCCTCCTCATCCTCCCTCTTGCCGAGCGCATAGGCAATTCCGCCACCGACAAGATTGAGGAAACACAGACCCATCGTCGTGCCGCGAACGATTCCGCGAGCGCCCCATTTCTTCATGAACGGCTGTTGTCGCCGACCGGCGAGAAGGAGGTAAACTCCCGACCAGGCGGCGCTGATTCCGGCGGTGTCGGTCTTGTAACCCAGGATGTTCGCATAGCTCGTGGTCAGCAGGACTGGAGCGAACATTAGAGGGAACAGCTGCAGCGGACGGGCATGCTGGGCGGTGATGAGCGACGCCACCAGGGTCGGAGGGAACGGGTTTTCTGCGAGAAAAGCGAGTCAAAAGAGATCAGCTATGCTAGCTAAATAAATGCCTCGGATTGTGAGTTGTAGATGAAGCTCAACAGAGCTGCGCAAGACGAGCTACTAGGGACTCACCTCCCCACGCTCTGGCCTTCTCCAAGAGAGTAGTCTTTGTCTCTTCCACGGTAGACTCTGAGCCGGCCATGATCGCTGGTGCAATTGTGTTTGTGTAATAATAGCAATAAAAAAAGAATTGCGATTAGGAAGATTCCGTAGCAAGCGACCGCATACTCCGCCGTAGTTGCAGGCGGAGGATTGGCAGGCGGGCGTTTTTCCTGACTAACGCCAACTCTCCGCTTAGCGTCAACATCTTAACTTCCGAAAGACACCACGTTGATCTCGATAGGTGTAAACCACCGTCCCTGCCCCGGTCCTAGACCCAACCAACGTCCTCGAATCCGGCAGCCCTACTCGCCGATCGCCGCACCTGTGCGTCGTTTTCTCTACCTGGCTAATATTCCTGTCGGCGTCGGACTGCGGCAAACCGCCATCGACTTCTCTACGGTACCTCTTCTCTTACTCGTCCGCTTTTTCCCAGCGACCGCCTTCCTATCTTTCGTTCGGCGGCCCTGAAAACGACGAACCCCCCACACGTTAGGAGGGTAAACAAAGCCGGAGTCATACGGAGACGAAGAAACACACACATCGTCGAGGTCTATTCGCCATGCCGTCCGCCACTGCATCTGGAGCCGACACTGGGGGCTCTGCGAAATCTCGCGAGCATAACCAAGGGAACCAGGACCGCAAATACACCCCGGACCAGAAGGCCGCCGTGCTCAGAATCCGCAAATGCTCGACGACGGCGTTCTACGAAATCTTGTCGTTGGAGAAGACCGCCTCGGATGGCGAGATTAAGAAGGCGTATCGGAAACTCAGTCTGTTGACACATCCGGACAAAAATGGTTATGATGGGGCAGATGAGGCATTCAAGTGTGAGTCTATGGTTGATGGAGCGACTGAGGATGAGAGATGGGGAGAATTAGAAAGGAAAATGAACCATGTTACTGATTCCGATGGATGATAGTGGTATCGCGGGCTTTCCAGGTTCTTTCGGACCCCGATAAAAAGTCGAAATACGATAAGTTCGGAGGAGACCCCGATAGCAGATTCACGCCCAGCGCGGGTCCCTCGGGAGGCTCGCCTTTCGGTGGCTTCGGCGGCGGCGGCTTCCCGCGGTCTGGAGGTGGCCCTGGCTTCGAGGAGGAAATATCGCCGGAGGAGCTGTTCAATCGGTTCTTCAACGGGGGTTTTGGGGGTGGGTTCAGTCCGTTCGGTATGTCTTTTCCCTGTCGAATCGAGAGATGCGCGACGACGTGCGTTCCGCGGAGTATTTGCTGACCGTGTCTTGCAACAACAATACTACAGGGGGCCCGCAGTTTGTCTTCAACATGGGAGGAGGCCCTGGTTTCCGAGTTCATCAGTTTGGAGGCGCCCGGCCGCGGAGACGACCTCGTGAAGCCAATGCGCAGTCTGAACCAGCTCCGTCGGGCTGGGCGGCGTTCCAGCAACTCTTGCCTCTCATCCTTCTCTTCGTCCTTCCTCTGCTTTCCTCGCTTTTCTCTGGCTCCTCTTCTCCCTCCGGCCCTACGTATAGATTCGATACTGCGGTGCCTCCGCATACGATGCAACGAACTACACCCAAACTGAACCTCAACTACTTTGTCAACCCTGGCGATGTGGAAGACTACAGCGCCCGGAAATTCCGCCAGTTAGACCAACGAGTGGAGGTGGACTACGTCTCCAAGCTTCGATACGAATGCGAGAGCGAAGTACACGCCCGGGAACGAATGATCCAGGAAGCGCAGGGCTGGTTCTTCCCCGACGTAGAAAAGATGAAGGAGGCGAGAGCCATGGAGCTGAAGAGTTGTCGGCGGTTAGACAACCTGAAAGGAAGGTATTAAAGCGGCCTTCCGAATATGACCTGCGCATTCTTATCTAGCCATGTCCTCTTTTTTTCTTTTCTCTTTCATACCTAATTGTGTTTCCCCTATCATTTCGTTTTATTGCATTGTTTTATCCTTTTTTTTTATCTCCTTGGGTCTGGCATCTCCTAGATGATCAAGTGATGCTAGGGGAGTCTCCTTTGTTTTACTTTTTTTTGACGGCGTTTTCTGGGCTGAGATGAAGCTTGCCAGTCGAGAACGAACATTGTGTGGGATATGACATGAGTAAACTGCCTTGTATATGAGAAAGAATCCATCCATCCACTCTATAGAATTAATCTGGTGCATCAATACCTAGTTATTCAATAAAGAAGGGTGAGATAAGCAAAGGCGGTCAACGAGGGCAGCTTAGTTAATGCCGGCGAAACCTAGCGACCAGTACAGAATCTCCGGCGAGTTTAACTAACGATCGTCGACTTGAGCCATTCCTTCTCGCGCTCCTCTCCTCTCCTCTCCTCGCTGGCTGCGGTGATAAATAGGCATCGCTGCTTTCCCATAGCCCCATCACACCGGCCCATGTCTTTCATTTCACCCAGAATTTAAAAACCTACGTTGTTGAGACTCCGCATTCTAGCCAGCCCCGCTAAAGTGCAAGTGCCATCACAATCCTCGTCGGAGATGTCTGACGGTCTCTCTGAGGCGGACAAGGTTCGATCACCCCCATTTTCTTCCCTTATAAGACGTATACTTTATTTCATCATTAGAGGTCCCTGTCTAAAATGCTCTGGTCATACTAGATCCGTAACAAGCGTCTCGCAAAGTTGGGGAACCCGTCTCCACCATCACCAGTCGAAGGCGCTGCAGACTCGGCATCCAGCCAACCACCCACGCCTTCACAGACTGTTCCATCTCGGGAAGCTTCAAGAACGCGGTCCAATGTCGGAAGTGCCGCCAGTTCCCCGGCGCCATCGCCTCGCCCGGATTCACAACAGTCAGAAGGGAAACGGATAAAAATCACACCGGCCTCCACAACTGCCGCCGCCGAACGATCACGACCTGCCACGCCAGTGGCTCCCAAGGCGGAAGAGACCATCGAGACCTTCGAGGACCGTACCCTAAGTGCGATCTTCAAGTTGACTCTGAACGAGGATCGACAGCGGGATATCCATGGACAGAGGCTGAACTTTTTGCCGGGACTGCGGAGCGAGCTGCAGGATGAAGGTCGGGAGCTTCGCATCGACACATCGGTTCTGGACCAAGCTCTTCTAGAGGCTGCGTCAAACTCTCAGCAGAAACCGTTGAACTATCTGCTTCCGTGCTGGAAGAGGATATCCAAGCTTCACAAAGGGTTCCGCCGCGCTCGGGATGACGACCCGAAGTTCTTGGTGCTTTGCGAGGCTCGCCGGCTCTGTTTGAGCTACTGCATGTTTGCGATCACGATGCCGGAAATGTTTGGGTGCGTCATTGCTGTTCTTTCATGTCCTCATCACTCAAGACATAGTCCCAACTAATAAGCGTTGCTTCTTTTTAGGATCGACCCGTCGGGACGGTCGACGTTAAAACCTTATCTACTCTTGGATCCCGAGGATGAGAAGGGCGTGGACTTCGAGTTCATCAGCGAGGCTGTGAAGAGATTTGATGAGGACGAAAATATCAAGCCGGCGTTTATAGCCGCTGTCGAGGAAATGAGCCGAGAGCTGTCCGCCCTGAACATCAATGATGACTATAAGCCCTACGTGACAGTACGTTTGAAAAACCTTTCGGCTGTCCCTGGATTACTCACCAATCTCTTTCACAGGCTCTGCGCAACCTGGTGCGTCACGCCGTCATTGGAGCTGCCATCACGGAATCCTCTATCTTCAACGCGTCTCGCGATCCTGCCCTGTTTGAGAAGGAAACATTGATCGGGCCATGGTTCCGCCTATCGCCTCTGCAGGGCGATGTGACTATGCAGTATTTCTCAAGCCCCAAGACGAGAGACCAGGCCTATATTCTCAATGCGCAACGGTCTCTCCGGATGATGCAGCAGATCCTTAGCTCAGATCTTCTAGACATTATCAACCACATGATCCGGGCGTCGAAGGATGCCAGAGATAGAATTTTGGACTGGTTCGCTGCGGCGTTGAACATCAACCACAAGCGACGGGCTATGCAGGTAGACCCTAATTCAGTGTCGTCAGATGGATTCATGTTCAACCTGACGACGTGCTTGGATCAGCTATGTGAGCCTTTCATGGACGCGAGCTTCACCAAGGTTGGTGCATTGAAGCCCTTGATGGAGCCCGAAAAGACCGCCAACTGATTCATTTCTACAGATTGACCGCATTGATGCAAACTACTTGCACCGAAACCCTCGGGTTGACTTGAGGGACGAAACCAAGATCAATGCCGACCAGCACGCTTCGGATGCGTTCTATTCCAAACCGGCCGAGGGCACCTCAAACTTTATCACCGAGATCTTCTTCTTGACCGTTGCCGCTCATCACTATGGCAGTGAATCTTTGACATCGAAATTGGATCAATTGGAGAAAGACCTTCGCCACATGGAATCTACTATCACTAAGTTTGAGGCAGAACGGCACAAATGGATCAACAACCCGATGCAGCTCCGGGTATTCGAAAATGCTTTGAAGAAATACAAGGACAAGTTGGACCTCGGCCTTGCCTTGAAGTACAGTCTCCAGGGTGTCTTGTTCGACGACCAGTGGCAGGCCCGCTCTATGTTGTTCATGCGCTACGTGATTGTTTGGCTGCTCCGTCTTGTCTCAGGCAGGAACTTTCCCAAGGAAGAGATCAAACTGCCTCTCCCCGAGCAGCAACCAGAAGTCTTCAAGTGTTTGCCGGAGTACTTTGTCGAGGACGTTGTCAGCAACTTCAAGTTTATCATGTGGTGCATGCCTCAGATCATCACCGCTACCCAGGGAGATGAGCTTGTTATGCTTTGCATTACCTTCTTGGAAAGTTCTGGTTACATTAAAAACCCCTACCTCAAAGCAGGCCTCGTTTCGATTCTTTTCCGAGGCACGTGGCCGCGCCCTGGTGGCGCCCGTGGTGTCTTGGTGGACCTCCTTAACTCCATGCCGTTTGCCAATGATCATCTGCTTCACTGTCTGATGAAGTTCTACATCGAGGCCGAGCACACCGGCACTCACACGCAGTTTTTCGACAAGTTCAACATCCGATATGAGATCTTCCAGATCATCAAATGCATCTGGCCAAACACCTTGTACCGGAACAAGCTGTACAACCAGTCCAAGAAGAACCTCGACTTCTTCGTTCGCTTTGTGAATTTGCTCTTGAACGACGTGACCTTCGTGCTCGACGAGTCGTTCGGTGCGTTCATTACCATCCACAAAACCCAGACGGAGCTGCGCCTTGAAGGAGCGACCATGGATCCTACCACGCGTCAGCAAAAGGAGGAAAATCTGGCCTCTGCCCAGCGGAATGCGAAGTCCTACATGCAATTAACCAACGAGACGGTTTCTATGCTGAAGCTCTTCACCGACGCCTTGGCGGAGTCGTTCACGATGCCTGAAATCGTCCAGCGATTGGCAGACATGCTGGACTATAACCTGGATGCCATGGTGGGTCCCAAGAGTTCCAGTTTGCGTGTGGAAAATCTCCAGGATTATGGATTCAACCCGCGAGCATTGTTGAGCGAGATCGTCGATGTGTACCTGAACCTAATGAGCAAGGAGAGTTTCATCGTTGCCGTGGCTCGAGATGGACGGTCTTACAAGCCGGCGAACTTCGAAAAGGCCGTGGAGATCTTGCGCAAATGGTCTCTCAAATCTCCTGAAGAACTCAAACGGTGGGACAAACTGCTGTTTATGGTCAAAGAGGCCAAGGCGGTCGACGACCAAGCGGAAGAGGATCTTGGAGAAGTTCCTGATGAATTTTTGGGTATGACCTTCCTCACCCAGGGTCTATCGATCAATCAACTGACTTTTCCCGCCAGATCCTCTCATGTATACCCTTATGGAAGACCCGGTCATCCTGCCTGGATCGCGAGTATCCATTGATCGCTCGACCATCCGGTCTCACTTATTGAGTGATCCCCATGACCCGTTCAACCGAGTTCCGCTCAAGATGGAGGATGTCACGCCAGGTGAGTCATTGTCCCGCGTATATGTATGAAATGAACCGGCAGCAGCTAATCTCGAATCATCTGTAGATACGGAACTTAAGGCTAAAATCGAGGCATTCAAGGCGGAGAAGCTGGCCGAGCGGAGAACGGCAAGGGCACAGGGCGCACCCGAGTCAATGGACACATCTACAGGCTAATTCAACCTGTGCTTTGTTTTCCTCTTCAGGCGTATCGCGGTATAAACTTTCTATCAGGCAAGTTTGCTGCGTACTTGGCCTCGGTATGATTTAGAATATGACCTATTTTCTTCTATGTTCATTTTCTCATGGGATCGGATTGGAGAAGGCGTTGATTTGAATTCTTGTTTCTTGTGTTCTTTTGCTGTCTTATCTTTGCTCGTTGGATCTGTTGGAATCTGCTATTTTCCTTGATCCTCAGTGACCTTTTTACACAGACCAGAAAGACCCCAACAATGCAATGACTGAATGACCTCATCTGCGAGTGAATAGATCACGTGATGCGATATCCCGTGACATCATTGCCCGATGTAGAAAGTCTCTCAATAAACCCTCTTTGGTCCTCAACGTAACTCCCTTTCCTTCTCCCGGGTTTTTCGGTCTTGTTATCGACCCATTGACTCGCTGATCCTGGGACTGAGCTTGCTTTATAGTTTCTCATCATTCACTTCGTCAGTACTTGTCCTCCCAGATACACGCAAGAATCACATGTTGACCCTTTTTGCAGGCAAGTAGACACGAGAAACCAACCAAACAACCATGGGTTCGGCAATTTCTTCTTGTATCCAAACCCTGCCTCCTCTGGGGGATTTCCTGCGCCCCACGCTGGATGCATATCTGGTTTCGCTCAACGTCTTCCAATACTTCCCCCTGGTAGGTTCCAAGCCTCCGTATCCAAGCATCAAAAACTGATCCCCTTCTAACCAGGTCTCTCTCATACAATGGTGCACGGCCTTCCATCCAGCCGGGAAAACCTCGCTGAAGAACTCGTACCTCAACTTCCCCGGCCGACTTGGCTGGTTCATCATGGAGGTCGTCGGTCCCGTCAATCTCCTCTACATCCTCTGGACGCTGCCTCCCCCCCTGAATATCGCCTCCCTCCCGCTGCCTAACAAGCTGGCTGCCTCGCTCTATGTCCTCCACTATATCAACCGCGCCATTGTCTCCCCGTTCTTCGCTGCACCCAGCATGTCCCCCATCCATGCCTTCGTTGTGTTTTCCGCCGTTCTGTTTAATTGGTTCAATTCGACCTGTCTCGCCGGTTGGATCGTCGGATATCAGATCCCCATTGTTCTTCCGGCATACTCATCTACCTCTAAGCCTGCTACGATGCCATCCTCTCCCCCTTCCTCCTCTTCTTCCTCTTCCTTACTCATCCCCTCCCTAGGCCTATGTCTCTTCCTCCTCGGAATGGCAGGCAACATTTACGCCGAACGCACCCTCTTCCGACTCCGTCGCGAGGGAGCCGAAACCCGTCCGACCAAGAAACCATCCTCCTCATCGCAATCCACCACCACCGATAGCAAGAACCGCAACAGCAACAACAAAAACAAATTCTCCAAAGTCTACGTCATCCCCCCTCCCACCGGCCTCTTCCACTCCATCCTCTACCCGCACTACGTTTGCGAATGGCTCGAATGGCTCGGTTTCGCTCTCGTCGGGACGGCGGTCCTCCCTGTCTCTTCTTCTTCTTCTTCGGTCCTTGGGAGTGCGTCGGTCGCGACTACTTCTTCATCGCCTATCGTCCTAGCACCGTGGATTGTGCCGTTTGCTCTGGGAGCGGACAAGGCGGGCCTGAGATTCCCTCTGCCGGCTGTGCTGTTCTTTGTGAATGCAGTGGCTAATATGTTGCCGCATGCGCGATGGGGACGGAAATGGTATGTGGAGCGATTTGGGGCGAAAAAGGTTGCCGGGAGGGGTGCCGTATTGCCGTTTTGTGGGTGCTTGTGATGGGACTTCTGTCGCTTTTTCTTATTGGTATCGTCAATGAATTTGATATATAGTCGGGTCCGCCAAGTACAGATACACGTGACCTCCGGCGAATTTGGTGAGCATGCATGAACTTACAGACAACAGACTACCAAGCATTAGTTATGCTTTGCTACTAATGAAAGAACGACTTCTAGAAACAAGATCTACGAGCAGAAGATAATCGGGTTGCAATACTGCCTTGTATGCATTGAAGTAATACTAATACTAGGTGTGGATGTATCACAACCTTCCAAGTGTGATATACACATTGTTGAAATTGGAAAAAATTCACCAGCAAGAGCTCAAATCTCCGGCACGCCCACACTCGGATTCCCCTTCACAATTTATGCAAAGAGAAACCAATTTTATAAAAACAAATCAAACCAAATGTTAAAACCACGCCTTGCAACGGAGAATCCGAAGCGTTCACAGACATGTCGGTTTGATTTGGGCTCTCGCCAATGTTGAAATTGTCAAATATGTTGAAAACTCCGTTGACCCCCGGATATCTCTAGTGCAAACCATGAACCCATATGTTGAACTTTTGGTATCATCATCGTAAACTCATCACATTAAGAAAAACGAGACGAAGAACGTCTCCCCCCTTCGAGGCGACAGGTTGAGAATGTCGCCCCCATCATGGGTTATTTGGTGTTATTAAACAAAAACATGCCATTTATTTGGCATGCTTCTGGCGGTAGAACTTGGCCGCGTTGACCATGTTGGTCAAAGCAGCCTTGGTCTCGGGCCACTGGCGGGTCTTCAGACCACAGTCAGGGTTGACCCACAGCTGGTCGACACGGAGGTAGGCAAGCATCTCCTCAAGGCGGTCCTTGATCTCCTGCTCGCTGGGAACACGGGGAGAGTGGATGTCGTAGACACCGGGACCGATGTGGCGGGGGTAAGCCTCGTCAATGAAGACCTTGAGCAGCTTGGCGTCAGACTTGCTGTTCTCAATGCTCAGAACATCGGCATCCAGCGCGGCAATGGCGTGGAAGAAGTCCTGGAACTCAGAGTAACAGAAGTGAGAGTGGATCTGAGTGCCGTCGGTAACGCCGGAGGTAGCCAGGCGGAAGGCACGGACAGCCCAGGACAGGTAGTCCTCACGCTCCTTGCCGGAGCGGAGAGGGAGACCCTCACGGAGAGCGGGCTCGTCGACCTGGATGACCTTGACACCGGCAGCCTCGAGGTCAACAACCTCGTCACGGAGGGCAAGAGCCAGCTGCTGAGCCTGGACGGACTGGTGGACATCGTCACGGGGGAAGGACCACCGGAGACAGGTGATGGGTCCAGTGAGCATACCCTTCATGGGCTTCTTGGAGATCGACACGGCGTACTTGGACTCCTTGACGGTCATAGGGGCGGGACGAGAGACGTCACCGACAATGATGGGAGGACGCACGCAACGGGATCCGTAACTCTGGACCCAGGCGTGGGTGGTGAAAACATAACCGGTGAGACGCTCACCGAAGTACTGGACCATGTCGTTACGCTCGGGCTCACCGTGGACGAGGACGTCCAGGTCGAGCTCCTCCTGGATCTTGACAACTTCCTGGATTTCCTTCTCGATGAACTTCTCGTACTCCTCGGGAGTGATCTCACCCTTGGTGAACTTGTTACGCTGGATACGGATCTCCTTGGTCTGGGGGAAGGATCCAATGGTGGTGGTGGGGAAGAGAGGGAGGTTGATGGACTTGCCCTGCTCAGCGTGACGGACAGGGAAGGCAGACTTGCGGTTGTGCTGCTCATCGGTGACGGCAGCCTGGCGCTGCTTGACGGCGGGGTCGTTGGTACGCTTGGAAGAGGCACGGGCCTGGACGGACTTGGCGTTGGCCTCGAGCTGCTCACGGACGGCAGCGGGGCCCTCAGTGACAGCCTTAGCGATGACAACAACTTCGGCGGTCTTCTCGACGGCGAAGCTGAACCAGTCACGGACCTCGGCGTCGAGAGTCTTCTCGCTCTCGAGGGTGTGAGGAACGTGGAGGAGGGAGCTGGAGGTGGCAACGATCACGCGGTCCTTGCCCAGCTTCTGGATGGCCAGCTCAACCTTCTCGATGGCAGCCTTGTAGTTGGTCTTCCAAATGTTACGACCATCGACAACACCGGCAGAGAGGACCTGCTTAGGGCCCAGACCAGCGACGACGGTGTCAAGCTGCTCCGGGTTGCGGACCAGGTCGATGTGGATGGCGTAGAGGCTCTGAAGGGAAGAAAGGACATCAATGTTGTGGACGATGTCACCGAAGTAGGTAGCAAGGGTGATGCGGGGGGCCTTGGCACCAAGGGCACCGAGCTTCTCGTAGGCGGGCTTGAAAGCAGCCTTAGACTTGGCGGGCAGGTCGAAGACGAGGACGGGCTCGTCAATCTGGACATCCTCAACGCCAGCCTCCTTGAGCTTGGCAAGCAAGTCAACGTAGACGGAGACGAGCTCATCGATCTTGTCGATGGGGTCAATGGTCTGGCCACGGTCGGCCTTGGCGAGGGTCAGGAAGGAGACGGGACCCAGGATGACGGGACGAGTGATAACGCCGGCCTCCTTGGCCTCAAGGTACTGAACAACAGGCTTAGGCTGGTCGGCCAGCTTGAAGGTCTGGTTGTTCTGGAGAGTGGGCTTCACGTAGTGGTAGTTGGAGTCAAACCACTTGACCATTTCCTATAGCGGGGTTGTGTTAGTCAGAGTTCCACTGCTAAAATCTGACGAGAGAAGTGGGGGGTGGGGGAGTAAGCGGACATACCAAGCTAGGAACATCGATAGCGGCCTCACCATCCTTGGCGGGCTTCTGGAGACCACGACCCATGGCGAAGTACTCGTCAATGGGGTGGAGGTTGTACTTGCTGTATCTCTCGGGGATGACCTATTGTGGAGAAAGTGAGTCAGATATTGGCTCGCATTTCAATGCCGGTCGGGGACTGCGAGGATGGAACATACACCGAAGAGCTGGATGTGGTCAAGGACCTGATCGTAGAAGGCAAAGTCGTTGCTGGGGATGATGTCGACACCAGCATCCTTCTGGATCTTCCAGTGCTCCTGACGGAGTCTCTTTCCCTCGCTCAAGAGCTCATCACGAGAGATCTTGTCTCCCCAGTACGCCTCGGTGGCCTTCTTGAGGTCACGAAGCTTTCCCATACGGGGGAAACCCAAGACGGAGCTAAAGTAGCGGGTTAGCGGGATGGACAGGCATCAATGACGAGAGATGAGATGAGAATCACGTACGATTGAACCATCCTGACGGTTTTTCTGGTGTGAAGAGGAAGGAGGGGACGGGAGAGAGAGTTGAGGAAAAACGAAATGATTCACAGGAGAGGGTGAATCAAAGAATGAAAAGATGAACAAGAGACGGATGAGAGTCCCCTGTACCAAAGAAAAAGATAGGAATGGGGGGAGAGAGGATGGAGAGAAGAAAAGAAGAAAAAACAGCGAGGAGGGGGAGGAGGGGAAGGTTAAAAAGGACGGGAGGATCGAGACTGACTGCCCCTCGTTAGATAGCCACAGCACTAGTCCCAAGGGGGCAAGAATCCTCGGGGAATCAGCTCCAGCGCCAAACCCGCTGGGGAAATGGGAGCAAATGGCGTGATTGCTTACTTCACTCCAACTTGTCAGCGGCTGCAGTGCCTGCTGTGCCTAGTCCCACATCGGCCTCGCATCGGCGTCCGGGATCGGCTTGCCCTGCTGACTCAGCGCGATTCCGCCGTGGTTCGCGCCAAGAGGGACGATGTTTTCTTCTACTGTACATACACCTGCAACAGGATGTCCTACTCAGTGCTCGATCATGTCTCCTCCTTACCTACCACTCACTCAGTATATCGTGTGGGGTCTTACCCAGTCCTCAGTAGGTTACCTCTTGGTGATTCGTACTTGCCTAAATTCCATATAGTATCTACCATGCCTGCTTTTTCGGTGCCTACCACATACCTACAATGTCAGGGATGGTCCTTCCCAATGTTCTGCAATTTGCTGTCCTCAACACCCGTACTCTCTTCCCAGTAGCAACGTATCTCCATCATGACCCGTCATCTCGGGAAATGATCACCCATCTCCTGTCTACCCTGCAAAGCCCTTCATGAGGATCTTCTTTTGTCCTCGGTTCTTCAGGAGCCGTGCTTCTTCGGCCTCGTCCGACAGTCCGCAGACTTCCCGCTACCAGCTAGACCGGTTGGATGTGCCGACGACTCCTGATCGCCATCCGGAAGGTGACTATGCGACCCATGTCCCATCTTCTGCTACCCCGTCTTGGATTTGGAGTCTCTGACCATCGGGTGTAGGCATCTCATCGTCAAGGGAGCATGCACATTACCCTGACCGTCAGAGCGATTCCTCCGAGGGATTCTCTGATAGACTGCGGAGACGGTTTTCTCGAGAAACACATGGCTCACACATGCGGTCTCGAAAGGGTGACAAGAAGACTGGTCATTCTATCTTCCCATTCACGACCATGACCTTCAATAATAACCCCAACCAAATAGCGTCTGCGGATATAGGCAGCAGTCTGATAAGTGAAAGGGGTTATGACAGCGATGCGCAGTATATAACTACCCCCAAGCAGACCGGCCAGTTCAAGGAGGAGTTACACCCCAGACCCGGTGTCTGGAGGAACATGTCGCCGCTGGACCAGCCCTATCACGGCGCGGACCAAGAAGCTGAGTATGGGAGGTCTCCTGTGCCGATGGATGAAAGTGGTCGAATGGGAAATTACAACTACGGAGGTCACCGGGAGATGGAACGATCGCAGACATCGTGGCACTCAAGGAATCACCCACGTTGGGGTCCACCACAAAGCCACTCTGGTCCTCGCAATGTCTATGAACATCCTCGAGGGAGGGTGGGAAGCCCTTGCCCAAGCATAGCCAGCAGCGTTTCCCTAGACACGACGGCAGATGGGAAGTCCGCTACCCATGGCTTCTATTATCCTCGACAGCGACAAGGCTTAAAAAATACTTCGATGCCCGGCAATTACCCTAGAGATGACCGTCAAAGAGATGACCGGCAAATTTTACCGATTAAAATTGGAGGACAGAGTCTAAATTTGCCCAACTGCACACCCGGCTTGTCACAGCCGTATACAACGTCCGCGGAGTCTGTAGCATATCCTCCGTCCCAAATCTCGGTCATGAAAAGGAGACAGCGGCATCAAAGGGAGCAGGAGTCGGATGGACCGTCCATTCACTTAGTCGACATGAATATACCCCGAGCATTGGCGTCGCACTCCATGTCGCCTCACATTTTATCTCAAAACCAGTCACTGGACGAGAATGGATGGAGCAATAGAAGCGAGGTACAAGGTACCACCCAGCCCGGTCACGAATATTCCAAAATGGAAGCGCCAAAGACTCCGATCCACAACGGAGGAAAGACGAGCAAGGAGCCTTCGTCGTCCTATTCCCGCAAGACGAGCATTTCCTCAGAGTTTCCAGGATACCGTTGGGAACCCAAAGCGTTTAACAACTCTTCCGCCAGCCCTGACAAAGGATCTACTGGAACTGGTTTCGAGGTAGCACCAAATTGTAGACAAGCACCACGGCCGCGGGAAATGCACACTGGTCAGTCGAGCGAGCTCAGCCCACGTGATCATCGCAGCGCCGACACCGTCGATACCCAGAAGAGCAAATTCATAGGCCAGCCTAGTCCAGATCGATCTGTCTCATCCCCGGTTCCCTGTGCCAGTCGTGGCACAAATGAAAGCCTCGCATCTCCGCGCAAAGTCAGTGTCGGCTGGATGTCAGGAGGTCGTCGCCTTGGTTACGGCTACACGATGGTACCGGCCGACGAATCGGCCGAGCAACCATCTCACGGAAATCCCACAACCCCCGTTAGAACTGATGGCATGCAGGGAAGCGAGAGAGCAAATGTTAGTCATAGCAAACAAGGCTCGGAGAAGATGGGAAAGATTTCATTGCGGATAGGAGACTCGACATACGACATCTCGAATATCATTCAACGCTTGAATCCACGCCATAGGGCAGCGACATCCGCCGAGATCACCAATCGCAGCGACACGGCGAGTTGTGACTCCGTAACCTCTTCGTTATGGGAGAAACTTGGATACCGGAAAAGAAGCCACAACGAACTGGATACAGATGTCGATAAGAAGTCTCCATGGAGCCATTTCTGTGGAGTAGGTTTAGATCAGACGTCGCGAGAGCCACCAATTCTAAGCAAGGACTCGTCTACTTCGGCCGCGGGCGAAGATACAGGGCACCTGGCGCTGCGTCGGGCAAAAACCATCTTGGCTAAAGGACGCAGCGTGAGTGCGATTGCCCGCGATTTGGAGCATTCCATCGTGCAGAATAAAGGGACAAGGGTCATGAAATACAAAATCCGTGACCTGAGGAACAGACGCCGCAAAACTGACGACGACGGCCCGATTTTTACGGACAACAGAAAGGGTAGCTATGGAAATTCGCAGGATGGAGAGGAAAGAGAGTCGAGCCCGGACGTGATTGGGGTTGGTCAAAACGAAGCTGAGGAGCCCAAGGAACCGAGTTTCGATTTAGTGTCAGATGACTGGATTGACAAGATCCACGAATGTCTGGATATCCAGCCCATCCCCGAGTAGATGAATCAGCACGGGGTTGCCTCATGGTGCGTACAGGTTGGTCTTTTTTTAGAGGCACATTCTTTGGGTTTCGCGTGAACAACTTGGCAAGTTATTTCTTGTAGCCGGTAGGATATCATTTCGCAGGAATTGGTTGGGAGTATGTAAATGATAGCGATCCACACAGTCGTATTGGAATCAGCAGAGTATTAGTGTCAATTGACAGTATTTTGGCCCAACGCCCGAACATGTTCATAGTAGTCGTACATAGGTATATTAAAGCACACAAAAACGCCCAAAAAAGAAACCCCAGAGTTGTATCCTCTTATTTCCTCTGCCGCTTCGAACTCTTATCGCTTGTATTGCTCAAGACACTGGCGGAGCGCTTATTGGAGTTAGTCTCCCGATCCTTCACTGGCGTGGCACTTGTAGCATTCGCCACAACGCCCGGGTCAGCCTTGCTTTCCCCTTCACCGGGAGCGTCGACGCCCCCTTCGGCAGCCGGGGCCGCAGACGTCGACTCGGGGGCTGCGCTCGCCGTAGGCACAGAGTCATCCTCCTGTTCCGCCTTTACCTGGGGGTTCTCCTTCTCTCTGGCCTCCTTAGCTTTCCGCTCCCGTTCCTCCTTAGTGGCCTCGAGGACGCGGATCTCGCTCTCCACCTTCTCGGCCACTTTGCGGGCATCAAGCAGCAGGTTCACCGAGTGGATCAGTTTCTCGAATTCCTTACAGACTCGTTCCGTGGGCATGACGAGACGGAGAGGGATCTCCAGTTCCGCGAGCGCGGCAGCCAGCTTCTGGGTCTGGACGTTGGATTTGGCCTGCGTCAGCTTCTGGGCGCGGTCACTTCGGAACTGGACGCTTGGAGCCAGACGATCGTGATGTTGGACGCCGTATCTAGCTTCCTCGGCGGGAGTGAGAGTTTTGACGGCTTGTTGGGTGTCCTTGCTTGCGGCGGCGGCGGCGGCGGCAGCCGCTGCCGCTGCTTTCTTGTTCGTGGGCGGTGCAGGCGCTGCGGAGCTAGGTGTTTCGGCGCGGCTTTCCCGGGCAGCAGGATTGCTTGCGCTTGGTGCTGGGGTCTGTCCGGCTGGGCTGGGTGCGGCGCCCTCCGGACCGAGTATGGAGCGTCGCTTCTTGGTTTTGTCGGCCTGGAGAAGGTTCTGGAGAAGCTGTGATAGTCCTTGGCTGGATTGATACATCGTGGTGTTGCCCACACTGATGGGAGCTTCGAGGCGGGAGTATAGTTCTCTGCGTTCGGCGATGAAATCCTGCTCGTTGGCAGTGATGCGTTTCAATTCCTCCAAGAGAATGCTTTCCTCGCGCACCTCATCCGCGGTCCGGTTGAGTTGCAGCGAGGCGAGATCCTTGCGGGCTCGCTCGCGATCGGGGTCAAATTTCATCATCTTCTCGTGCAGTTCGAATTCGGCTTCGGACATCTCGGATGGCGGGTGTTCGAGGGCGAGCATCGAGGCAGCAACGAAATAATACCGTGCCTTCATGGTCTCCATCGTGCGACCGCGCTTCGCCGGCACAAGCGCAGTGGCGTTTTCCTCCGCATTGACCGGATGCGACTGGTAGTCGTAGCGATCGGCGATCACCATCCATCGGAGATCGTAATCTTCGACCAGATCCATCAGGTAATCGGTCTCTTCCCGCGTCCAGTCGTCGCTCTTCAGATGGCGGTTGTATTCCTCGTCGGTGTACCGGTTCGGCAGTCGCGCCTTGACGTTGTACTTGGCAAAGTTGTATTCCTTCTCTACGGGTTTGTCGGCATCGTCTTCCTGTTTTGGTCCGTCGGTTTCCATCTCAGAGCCCTCCAGCGCCGCGGGCTTTGCGGTTTCGTGTTGTCTTTGCCAGTGGCGGAGGACGAGGCCGTCGGATCGCGCATCGTTGGTAAATGGGGCCATGGTCCTAAGGACGGAAGAAGCTGGTTAATCACCTGCTCCGGTCAGGCACAAGGAACCGGGGGGGGCAATGTCACGTACCAGGGACGGACTCGCAATTTGCTCATCCATTTTGGGCGGCCCTTGTATCGATTCTCGTTGATGGCGATCGGAGGTGCTCTTTCGCCAAGCAGGGCGTAAAGCTCGCGATTGATACCCTCTGAAAAAACCAATGCGTTAGATTTGGTTTGCTCTTAATGCACATGTAAATATAGTGTTTGCAGGACACCAACGTACCTGGTCTCTTCTCAACCGCCTTCTGCTTCTTATGCGGTCGGGGCTGTTGGCCCTCCGCGGGCAGGTCCAGCATGTCGCGAACATCGGCGGCAGCCATGGTGGATGGCTCCCCCCCAGGGATCGGGCGAGACGAAAGAAACAGGGGCGAAATAAAACAAGTCGGACAAGAAATCCAACAAGAACGTCTTCGGCGACAGAACAGATGGACGCAGATGCACCGGGATGGGAGAAGAAAGAGGGAGGAGGAAGCAGGAGGGCGGAGGAGGTCGAGAATTCGCGCCAAGACTTTTACCCGCTGGAGCCAGATTAATCGCTTCTCTTGTTGTGCAGGCGTCTGCTGCCAGGGACGGGCCTCATTATTCCACCTTCCCTTCCTCCTCCTCCCTCTTCTCCCTCTTCTCCAACGAAAAGTCAAGTCCCCTCGTCATGGCTCCGTCAACTTCGTCAGCCTCATGGCTGTCATCCGTCCTGGCTTTCTGCGCCATCCTGTGCCTGTCGGTACCCGTCAACGCCCTCTACTTCTATATGGACGGGCGTCAGACCAAGTGTTTCTTTGAGGAACTCCCCAAGGACACCCTGGTGGTTGGTACGTCACTAATCTCGCAAAAAATCCCACTTCCAATGCCCCAGCTTGTGTCCATCCCATTAACCTTCACCGTTTTACAGGAAGCTTCTCCACCGAAGTCATCAACCAGCAATCGAACACGTATTCCGTTGACCCCAACCTGAAGGTGCTCATCACCGTCGACGAGATCTTCGACAATGACCACCGGGTCGTGTCCAAGCGCGACGGCAACTCCGGCCGCTTCACCTTCACCGCCGCCGACTCCGGCCTGCACAAAATCTGCCTGACGCCCGAGACCAACGCTGCCACCGGCGGCTGGATGTCCGGGGGCCCTGGCGGTGCCGTACGCCTGTCGCTGGACATGGCCATCGGAGAGACCAGCAAGATCGAGACCGAGGACAAGGGCAAGATGCAGGACATTGTGCAGAAGGTCAAGGACCTGAACAGTCGGTTGCAGGACATTCGTCGCGAGCAGGTCTTCCAGCGGGTATGTTGTTTTACCTCCCTTGTGCATGGCTTTATCTACCCTAGGCCTTTTCCCCCCTTGATATGATGATCTCCTGGTGGTGGTTATATCTACCGGGGAGAATTGTTCGCGAAGGAAACCTGTCGACCTTTTACTAATGTTTATCGCCTCTGTATAGGAACGTGAAGCCGAATTCCGTGACCAGTCTGAGGCTACCAACGGGCGTGTCGTTCGCTGGACCCTGATCCAGCTCGCCGTGCTGTCGGCTGCCTGCGCCTGGCAGCTGTCTCATCTCCGCTCGTTCTTCATCAAGCAGAAGCTGACATAAAACGAACTCGGAGAACAGAGACGGAGAGGTCGAGAGGGGAAAGAAAAAACAAGGAAAATTTAGCAAAGGAACGAAGTATGTGGCGGTGATATTGTGCGGCGCATCGTGAGCATGGGATTATCTGGTTTCGCTTCTTCTGATTATCCTACCGTTCGATTCATCTTGAGCATCAATTGAGAAAGTTCTCGCTGTTCTGGTTCTTTGTTGGTCGGGGAGGGTTTGGCCGTAGATCGGCCACGGTGGCATTAGACAGGATGTCCTAGGCTTGTGCGTTTGGCAGCATCTGTGATATAAATGAGTTGATTGATGGGATATGGATATAATGACCTTAGCTTTGTTTTTAAGCCAAGTTACTCTTCTACCAGCCACTGCAGTTGTATTATCCCAGTTATCATTCTATCTATCTCTATTGTTGGTCACGAAAATGAATCATCAATATTCCAGTATCATTTCTATATGTGAATTATTAGCCTGATGCATTTATGCACCTAGTCTTTCTCCCCTATTCAAGTTATGGTCATTATGTGATGCCAGCATGTTGCTCATAAATACATCAGGACTTAAGATCTCCAGTCGCAATCCAGATTTCCATGTCGACTGTAATCAAATATGTGGAATGTATCCAAAACGGCCCAAATAAAGAGAACCCAGGTATATAACGGAAAAAAAAAAAAAAAAAAAAAATCAAAACAAAAGAAAGAGAGAGAAAAAGGAAAAGGGTCATTAGGGAGAATAAGAGCCCCTAGATCACTGGGTTTATTATCATGAGTTCGTTGATCCACCAAAGGGCGGCGGTGGGTTACCACAGAACCCCTTAATCAATCGCTCCAGGTCGGTCAATTTGTACGGCTTGGTCATATAGCCTTTCATGCCGACCTTAGACGCACGCGCCAGGGCCTCATCCGTAACATCAGCGCTCACAGCTAGCACTGTGGGTGACGAAGGTGCGGAACCGCTAGCTGACCGACCAAGCTGAGGATTAGGGGCGATTCGACCGTGATATTCGTCGACCAGTTGGAATATCTTGGAGGTGGCCTGGTACCCATCCATTTCTGGCATCCAGAGATCCATCAAAATAACATCCACTGGTTTCAACTTTTTCGAGTGACCGGAAGAATCAGAGACTGTGTCGTTACCAGCAACATCTACGCCTTTCGGCACTTGCGGCTGGTCACCATCAGGTGTCTCTGCAGGCTCTTGTGACGTGATGATGTTCTGCATGATCCGCACGGCCTCTTTTCCGTTACATGCTTCGTAGACGTCTTTGTAACCGAGTCTCTTCAGCATGTTCACGAGTACCCGCCGATTGATTTTGTTGTCTTCAGCAACAAGGACGGTGAGTGGATGTTTTTCGCCTAGTTTGCTATCGTAGGTGCCACCGCCTATAGGGCCTTGCGACGATCTGGCAGCAGGCACCGAACGAGCAGGTGTGGACGAATGTGTGGACGAATTCGATGACTCGTCCGTGAGGCTGGGGGATGGCTGCTGGATCGGTTGGGCTGGGAGAGGCGAAGGGGGGATCAGCGAATTAAACGCTGACTTGCCCCCGTTGCTTAATCCCGATGGATCGCAGAGCTGAGGAGAAGTTAAGAGTTTCGTGACAGGAGTAAACTGCCTGGTAGAAGGTTCAGACTGGTAGATCGGGATTCTAATCTCAAACTCCGACCCACGGTCAGGACCAGAAATCGAGGAGCGAACGCAAATCAAGTCACCACCCATTTTCCGTGCAAGGCCCTTAGCTACCAGAAGCCCAAGTCCAAGTCCGTCTTTGCTCCGGGTCGTCGATGCGTCCTGTCGAGCGAAGGGCTTGAACAGCTTCGGTAGGAAGGCCTCCGGGATACCTGACCCCGTGTCCTGCACACTGATCATGATATCGTTGGCGTTTCGGCCAACCTTTGCATGTACCGTAATCGCACCACTATTGGTAAACTTGACGGCGTTCAAAAAGACACAGGATATCAACTTGGCAAGATCGCGGTCGTCGACGTATAATGTGTCTGGTAATGCTGCATCAACGGTCCAATCTATCGTTTTGGAAAAGACCTCTCTACCGGAAGACCGCGACCGCACTTCGATCTTTTCTCCGAGTTCAGTCGCATTCGTCACAGCAAAATCGGGTCGACCGCCAACGTGTAATGATTCGTTGATGACCAGTCGAAGGAGATCACGAAGCTTGGTGGATCGCACCGCCGGTCCTCGGTTGTTGAGATTGATCCCTTCCAACATGAGGTGAGACGCCGATCGTCGCGCCGCCAACGAGGGACGCGACTCAACCATACTCGCCATGACAGCCTCGATCTGGTGTACCGGGGTCGTCTGGAGGATTTTGTCGCTCTCGTGGACCGCGTTCTTGACCTCTTCACTTCGAGGTGAGAGCCCTTTCGGGCCCAAGACACGCGCGACTTTCTGCTTCGAGGCCGGCCCAGCGTTGTTATCGATAGGGTTGCTTCGTCGCCGTTTGTACGGATTTACCGTGATGTTGCTACCTTCGATAAAGATATTTGGGCGGGTTTCGGGCGCATTGACTGGCGACTGGACGGGCCCGCCGAAGCAGTCATTCTCGCGTTCAAACTGGGGGGTTTTGGGCACCTGCATGTTCAAATCATAGGCATGGACCACATTATCGGCGGCCTCGACCGCCCGCCTAGCACTATCTTGAACCATCTCGATGCTCTCCTTCAAAGTTTGGAAGATACCCCCTGTTGTAGGCGGCGGCTTTCCAAGCATAGCTTCGCGGACAGTGGCATGCATGACGTCTAGCATTCCAACAATTCCCTGCATCGGAGTTCGAAGCTCGTGGGACAGGCTTCGAGCATACGGCTTGAGGGCATGAGAAGAAAAATCAACATGCCCCTGCACAAGGTTGATATGCGTGTCCTCCACGATTTTCTGGCTCACAGAAACAGCATGGGCCTCCCGGGTAGGCCGATCAAATTTTGCATCGTCTACTTCGTCAGCAATTCGCTTGATGATCAGATCTTCCAGCGAATGCAGAATCATTTCCAGAAATTGCCAGGAGAGCGTCCGTTTCTGCAGGCCGGGTCCAGACCACATAAGCCCAAGGTAGGCCGCACATTTAGTTTCCGAAAACAGTGGGACTGCCAAATAACCTTCCGCAGCAAACGGGAGCTTGTCTTGGTCGAATGAGATAAATGACCCCAGGTTTTCGGGAATTAAGCAGGCTTTTCCGTGGTCCATGTGAGATTGCGGGTTGCCTCCTGCGAACGACCGGTTCCTGTACATTCCCACCGTTTGATGTCCATCGTTGTAGTAGAACGCAGTGCCGTGCAAGGAAGGACTTCGGCCCTCTACATCCTTCACGGCATCATTTTCGCGAACTTTTCGGGCCACAAAGGTGTACTGGGAATTGCAAAGTGAGGCAAGTTGTTCCATCAACTGAGTCCAGAACGATTCCGCGTCCAATCCTCGGAGATCTTGTTTGAGTTTGACCAATCGATCGACTGCAACGTTCTGCGGTCCACGGACATGTTGACTAATCGACGGGTCGGCTTGCGCGTCGCTGTTCCGCAGGGTGGCAGCGGAAGTGTCGCCAGGAAGGCATTCAGATTTGCAGGGAAGAAATGACGAGGTACGTCCAGAGCGAAAGGAGTTGGACCATTCTGATTCGATCGAGTCAGACATGGCGAGACCAAAGAACGCCTTTTGCCGAAATACCAATCGGCCAGTTGAGAGGTTCCGGAGGCGTCAAATTCCGGACGTAGTCGCCTGAACTAGGGTATAGGAGGGCGCCAGGAAATTGTTAGTGAGCAGTAAGCGATCGATAAGTCACGAAACGAATTTTTGAACAAGACAAAACGCATGGCTCTCTGTCTGGAAGGAACCACGGGTTTGATTAGCGACCGATCTTATTGCGGGCATAATTATGAAAGAAGGAAAATTGCCAATAACCCAGCAAATTTGCGGTTCCCCAATGGTGATCGAGAACATACATGACCCTAGTCTGACAGGGAAGACGAAGCCCAAGGCGAGCCTCACCGCGAGGATCGGGCGCTCGGCACGCTGGCACCTTTGGGTATTGCGGAAGAATGAAGCCGCTCCGTCTTCGAGTGTTCCAGCGTGAAAATAGGCAGATAGCAAATGGGAAGTCGAAATGATAATGTCGCCTTGAATCGAGTAAAAGGGACGGGTTGTATTGATCGGTTTCACGATAATTCCGCCATAAAAGAAAAAATTCAAGACAAAAAAAAGGAAGCACAGAACAAATGCCGGGCCAGCGATGGGGTCGAAAAAAGGTGTCCACACAAGACAAGAGCGTCGAAGCACCGATGGACGGGGAGAATTGGCGGATCCACCGGACGATAAGAAGCGACGACAAGCAAAGGTCGAGGGGAGCAAGTGGACGGAGGGGAAAGAAGAGGGAGAGGAGGGGGAAAGGAGGGAAGAGGAGAAGAGAAGAGAGAGAAAGAGAGAGAGAGAGAGCAAAGGGAAAGGAAGGGGAGGACGAGGAGGGGAGAAGGAGAGAAAGTCGATTTGCCGATCGGCCGGTCTAGACGCGGGGAGGCTGAAACCGATCGTTTCCCTCGCCTTTTCAGCGGTGAGTCTTGCTTTTCTATTCCTAGTACCTAAGTATATACTTAAGACTCTTTCTTAAGAAATTCTGTCAGAGAAATGAGAAAAAAATAACGAATTCATGGCGAGATTAATTGTGTGCAAAAGATGAACGTGGCCAGACCCGTCGAAATATATTTTTCCACCGCAATTAATCAATTTTAATAATGTCTCCTGACCGACGATCCTCATCGACCCCCTCAGTACGTGGAAGAGATTCCACTCGACACTCATAGAAGGGAATGTTCGGCAAGCTGCCTAAACCCCAAAAGACTCCAAAGATAGCCATCCAATAGCAACATCTTGTTTTCACTAGCAAACATCTCTCCCACTTCACGTGGATCGAGGTTGTGGTACAAGTGACACAACCAACCGAACGATAAAGAACGCCAGGAAACACAGAAACCATGGCAAACCCATTTGAAATCGCTGTCTCCGATGTACAGCTGCAGGCTCTGCGGCAGAAACTCGAAACTGCCTCCTTTCCCGATGAATTGGACGATGCTGAATGGGACATGGGCGTCCCGTTGGCGGAGATGAAACGATTGACTGCGTACTGGCGCGATGGATTCAACTGGCGACACAAGGAAAAGAAACTGAACGAGGCATTGAAACAGTTCCTCGTCCCCATCACGGTATCGGGCTTTGGCGAATTGGACATCCACTGCCTACATCATACCAGTCCCAACCCAAACGCCATCCCATTGCTCTTTATCCATGGCTGTAGGCCTCCCCGGTCCAGTCCTCTTCCAGGCTCGCAATGGCAATAGTAACAAATAACGCCGTCTCCCCAGGGCCCGGAAGTTTCCTTGAAGCAACTAAGCTCATCCCCTTGTTAACAGTGGGCAATGATCAGCCAGCGTTCCAACTGGTGGCGCCTTCGTTGCCCAACTTTGGCTTTTCCTCGGCCGTGAAAAAGGTCGGTCGAAATTCATTCTGAGTCCGAAACCAACTGAAAGTCGTCACCGGTATAGAAAGGCTTCGGTCTGGTCCAGTATGCGGAAGCCATGCATGCCGTCATGGCTGCCTTGGGCTATCACGAATACGGTCTGTTGTAACCAACCCCGTGCAGCTAAATTGCCAGTTAAACGTAAAATACTCATGCCTTGACAGCCATCCAAGGCGGCGACTGGGGAAGTATCATCGCTCGTGTGATGGCAAATCGCTATCCCGACCAGGTCAAAGCCGTGCATATCAACTTCCTGCCCGTGATGCCGCCCCTCCCATGGCGCAACCCACTCCTGTTTCTCCAGTCTCTCCTGACCATTCCGTTTTCGTCCAAGGATAAGGCTCATCTTGTCGCTACTAAGGAGTACCTGACGGAGGGGAACAGCTACTTCCGTGAGCAAGAGACCTGTCCTCAGACGTTGGGGTATGCTCTCCACGATAGTCCCGTAGCGCTGTTAGCTTGGATCTACGAGAAGCTGCATGCCTGGACCGATAACTATCCGTGGGCAGATGATGAGATCCTGACTTGGGTCAGTATCTATCAATTTTCAACCGCAGGGCCTGCGGCGTCTGTTCGGATTTACTACGAAGCGGCTCGAAGGGACTCCCCTTCTGCTTCCCCGGGTCTCACGACGGCCGACGTGATGTCGACCGTTGCCCCCCACAGTGTCCGGTTCGCCGTGGCCCAGTTCCGCCGAGAATTGTTCCGGGTGCCTCTGTACTGGCGGTCGCTCATCGGAAACGTCGTTCGGGCCAATGAATATGACTGCGCGGGTCATTTCGCGGCCTGGGAGGTGCCCGAGTTGCTGGCTTGGGACATCAAGGCGTTCCTGGGGAGGAACGGCCAGGCCCATGGTGCTGTGTCAGGGAAGTCCGGGTACTGATGGTAGTTTTATGCAATTCATATGTTGTGGATTGTAGACAAGAACCCGGGCAAGGGTGCAGAGATCTAATTTGTGTAAAAAAATCACCGTCTTGTTGTCGCCTTCCCTCGTATGCCCTCACTCTCTACTCTGCCTCGTCGCAATCGACAGTATGTAACATCAAGTGGAGACCGCAGACGCCGGAAAGCCGCTCCCGACCGGCAGAATATCAATCAATGGTAATGGTGCGTTAAATTAGAACATTGAACAGCGTGATTCAAGAAACAAAGGAAACAAAAATTCATATCCCGATTTGGACCGCTCTAGTCCTGTCTTCCCTTCAATAACCGCTTGGTCACCTTGTCTTTCTCTATGATGTATACTTGAGCACCCCAACCGGAGAGGGCGTCTCGGTCGACGGCACTGAGAAGGGCCTGAGAAATGGTTTCGAACAGGTCATCGGCCTCCTGGTAGACGTTAGCATCGGTCGGGCATTAAATCACCGTCGAGACATATCGTCTCTTCATGAACCCAGAAGACTTGGGAAAATCAACATACCAGACCCGGCTCCCACAGACCCTCACAAGTACCAAACAGCTGCTCGCTAGCCGTCCCGCTCACGATGAAGTCCTTTGCAAAATCGATACATCCGATGCTGTCGAAGCCGCAGATGAAAGGCTTGCCCGTCGTCTGGTTGATACCAGCCACCACGGGGCTGACGAAGAAAGGTCCGAATCGCTTTTCGTACAGCGATGAACTGACCAGGTTGGCTAGGGTCTGGGGGGCGATGTTCCGTTCCTCACGGAGTCGGTACATGTTGACCTTGTAGCGGAAGAGATCCGAGACAGTCGAGACATCGGTAGCCAGACCGGTCAAGCCGAGGAAGGTCTGGGGGCCGTAGTTGAAGATCTTGGGGAAGTTGTTGGAGACGGTCAGGGCCTGCATACCCAGGCGGAGATCACAGGCAATCGCGACGCAGTCCTTGCCCACCATGGCAACACAGGCACCGCCATCTGTAGAGCGAGAGGGTTAATACGGCGACAAATGATGGGGTTCAGATGGGAGACGAGGAGCACGGCATACTGATGTCGAAGGGAGAGCTCTGGGGAGATGGTCAGCTTGCTTGCTTGGTCAGTCAGACAGAGGAAGGGCACGGCACACATACCATGATTGCGGCAGGAAAATCCCAAAGATCGGAAATTACAGGAAGCTTCCAGGAGAGGTTGTAAGCCGAGAAATCGTTGAAGCGAGAGAATTGGGAATGGGAGAGAGAGGAAGGGGAGGGAGTTGAGGGGGACGGGGAAGAGGATGGAAGAGTGGAAGTTGGAGTTGACGGAAGCTCTCTCTGCCTGTCCTGCCAGCAACGCGTGGAGCCGCCGAGCTTCTGCCGATGACGATGCGCCCGCTGCCTATTCTTTCCTCTCGTCTTCCGGCTTCACTTTCACCAACACTTCGAGCCTTTCTTTCCTCTTCCACGGTCTTCTGTAGCACCCTTCTGCGCAGGCGCTCCCTCATATTAACCGATCGGTCACAACCTTAAACTCACCCACCACATTCTCTTCCTCTTTCTCTTCATCAGCCCCGCAGTATCAAAGCGGCCATTCTGTGAACCATGAGCTCCCATGTCGTAGTCCTCGACTCGACAGCTCGGAGAGCTACGATCAAGACGACCCCCGGGAAACATCTGACCGATATTCTACAAGAGGGGTGCAAGAAATTAGGCGTTGACGCCAGCCAATATGGGTTGAAGTAAGGTCTACCACCCAACACTCGATTGTACACCTGAGTGCTGACTTCGTCCAAGACACAAGGGAAAGCAACTCGACCTGTCTCTAGTATTTCGACTATCCGGCCTAACCTCCGGCGCAAAACTTGAACTGGTCCAACTCTCGCGATCGCCCTCCGTGGTCACCGTCGCGCTGCAGCTCCCGGAGTCCGAAGCACGAGGCACTCCGAACGGACGCATCTTGGACAAGTTTCCCAGCACGACGACGATATGGATTATCTTGCGCAAATTCGAGGCCGGAGTTGCGGGAGCGACTTCCACTCGAAATCTCACAGCCCGAGGCGTCCCCGTCACGAGCGGTGATACTGGAGCCGGCAGATTGTTCTACGAAACGCCAGTGGTGCAAATAATGGAACGAGAGCTGTCGACCTTCACTGATTTGCAGAAATCCCTAGCCCAGCTGGGCTTCAACAATGGAAATGTTTTGCTCAGATTAAGTTTCCGACGTACAGAAGAACCGCTGGAAGTGGCGATGGTGAAAATCCAAGATTATTTCAAAGCGTTTGGCGACGACGATGCCCCTGTGAAACAAGAATCGCCGGTGGAACAGACACAAAAGGCCGGGGAATCGGCTCAAACCGAACAGCAACAATCAATCTCTACCTCCGACGTTACCACGGACACACCTGCCGCATCAGCGCAACCAGAAATTCAAACCGATCCCTCTCCTGCCGCTGTTGAATCGCCGGAGTTGCCGACGGATTCCTCCCGCTCTATAACCGTTTTCGCCCCTCCGTCCAACGACACACCCCAGTCCGCGCAAGCTTCATATAATGACAGTGATTATGTTCCATCGGTGGACCATGCGCAAGCGCACCAACGCCGTCTCAACATGGCCTCCCAGAACAAAAAGCTCCTATCAGACGCAGAAATCGCCGCCAAAGCCGCAGCCGAAAACGAGAAATTGGCCGCAGTGCAAGAAGTCGACGTGAAAGTCCGTCTACCGGATCAGAGTCAGGTAGTAGCGAAGTTCAAGCAAGGAGATACAGGCAGAACCCTCTACGGTTTTGTGAGGAACTGTCTTGCTGGACCGTTCGCCTTAGAGAAGTTCATTCTCACCCACCTGCCCGCGGGCCCGCCTGGCACAGGGGGAAGAAAGATCCAGAGCGTGGTCCCAGACTCGGAGACGAGCCTCTTGATAAAACACCTCGGCATGACAGGCCGAGTCCTCGTCAACTTTTCCTGGGACGCCGGTGCATCACCCGCTGCGCGACAAAGTCGAGCTGTCCTGCTCAAGCCGGAGCTCCAAAACAAAGCACGACAGCACAAAGTAGAGCAACCGCCCGAGGTCATGGACACCTCGGAAGACATCGTCCAGCCAAAGCCAGGGGCGGGCCGACAATCTGGCGAGAAATCTGGCACTCGCAAACCGGGAACACTACCCAAGTGGCTGAAGTTGCCTGGAAAGAAATAAAATCGCTGATTGGTCTTGATCACGGCGTTTGTATGTGACTATGCCGTGCATGTCCTTAGATATGATTGCGAATCATTCCATTTAACGTTTCTGATGATACTTTTTATGCCGAGGACTCTCCTGGCGTTATACGAGTAGTAGCGTATGCGAATGGTAGCTAGTCCTAACAGCAGCCAGTTGCTGTTAGAAGAAAAGCCAATATGACCCCGCCGAAGACTACCATGACTACGGAGTGTCGCCAGGAAAACATCCTGGATGTAGAGTGTAGTCTAGACCCTCAAGTCTGGGGTAATAGCATGGGCCTCTTTCTCTACGAGTTCTACTGACAAATCCCCAACCTACAAGACCAAACAGACCAGATGAAAAAGAAAACAAAATCCCAGTGGTATTGAATTGATGTTCCAGCGAACCATTCATTATCGTCCTTTTTGCATCCAGTTTGTCCAACGTCTACGGGAATCAAATCCTTCGGCGACAAGAGGCAGGGGAAAAGCACAGACAGAGCAGCACAAGACACAAAAGGCACACTCTCGCATCCTTGATCCTGCCAGACCAGTGATCTTCTCCCCCCGGATAGTGGGTATTAAATTTCATATTATTTTTGATCATTTCCCTTCTACAACGAACACACGTCATTGCCAATCAGCCACACGAAGAGGGTTTAAATTCATTTTTGTTGTGTTCTCGTCATCTCGTTCTTTTTAAAAGGTCTTGGCTAATAGGAGAAAACTTTCATTGGAACGGATAATGAATTTAGTGAGCACCCGTGCGGCGGGCCTCGGCGATGACACGCTGCATATCCTCAACCTTGGCCTTGCCACGGGAGAAAGTACCGAGCTGTGGAGAGGTAGATGTTAGCTGGGATGTGCTTATGTGGAGAAAGACAAGGTGGTGAGGGCAATGTCCGCACTGCTCTGGTTCAATGGGAATTGGAAGCCTTCCAATGGATCGGTAGCCCGTCAATGAATGTCCTGACTACGCAGATTATCCCGAGATAGACTCCGTGCGAAGATCCCGAGCCGAACACATTGCAGAATATCCCAACCATTGAACCAGAACAAATAACCAGACACACAAATCCCTGCCACCAACTGCCATATCACTGTCGATCAGATGCGGGACAAGAAAACGTACTCTCTTCTTCGCGAGCTTACGAGCACGCTTGTCCTGAGTGTTTCTCAGGAGTTCGATGATGCGGCGCTCATAGGGAGCAAGACCAACAACCTCACGGGCGATCTCACGGACGAAAGCGGTGCGGCGAGAGGACTGACCCTTGGTGCGGCTGATGCGGTTCTTGGGGGTCTGGAAGGGGGTGGTTTTCTATAACAGGAAATTTGGTATTAGCATGGCTCCATGGCATAAAAGTCACTGATGAAATTTTCTTTGGTCCCGTCCGGTCTTGGTTCAGTGAGAGCGCGGTTTGTCGGATGGATTGGTGGATCGAATGTGTCGAGTTTCCGTATTGAGTCCAATTCCAATATGAAACCCATCTTTTGCTGTGTCCCCGTCTCTTGAAATTTTCCTCCTTCTGCTAGAAGGCCCGTGCGATAGCAATATCCCATCCCTGTTCATTTCGCTTTCTCCCTTGTTCGAATTCCAGGTACCCGGTTTCCATCCGATCCAAATCCAATCGACCGACCGACCAAGCTCGACTGACCATAAAAAAAGACCGGGCCAAGCATCAAGAGAAAAATCATCAGATCTGGTTGCAGAGAGAACCTACGTGGCCCTTGTTCAAGCCGACCACGATTCCGGAGCGTTCTTGCGCCATCTCGACGGTTGTGACTGGGTTGGCGACGACGGTGGTTGCTGAGGGAGTTT